CAACTGTATGAGTTGAGACAAGCATTAAAGTATATTGCAATTTCAATTTAGTCACCACCAATATCTTGCCGTATCCAGAGAAGATTTTATCAGTCGACCTTATATAAACTTGTGGGCGTGAATAGTTTTCGGGTGAAAACCATAATGGAGTGCTGGAAAGTGGAAAACGATAGTGAGAATTGCATCACAGTTAATTTTCATGCACAATTTTCACGTTTGATAATTCTGACTAAATATAATACAAAATTGAAGTTCGTTGAATCTTGATGCATCTAGGTACAATGACACAAAAAGACATATCACATACATGATATTAAAAGCTCAGAACAAATTACCATGTATATTAAAACTTCGTAGGTTAGTACAACGTCACATTTATTCATATTTTCTATTGTTATATGCATTTAAAACACACAAATAAAACATCATGTTACTAAGGTAATACAAAAGAATTTTATTTACTTGTTTGATGTAAATAAAATATTGTTAATACCATGATAGTTTTATCATTACGGTGACTATATTTTTGTTTTGATAGTAATAGTATACAAAAAGTGTTTTGTTTTCCTCTTGTCAATATATACTATGTCACAGTGTTCGTATATTAAAATTTGTGTAAGAAATAAATAAAAACTTGAGCAAAAAGTAATAAATAAATACATTTTATTAGAGGTGATTTTGTGTCATCTTTAGTTTATTTGACCTAATAAATTATATGAGCTAAACCTATGTTTTTCATCTTGTTTAAAATTTTTTTAGGATTAATTACAATAATGAAATCTTATGTAATCATTTGTCATGAGTCAGTAATATTTAGAAGGAACCATATCAATTAACCGATAACCATCACAAAAATATTAGGAATAAAATTTTAGGAATGGTTAGAAATGATGATTTCTTATCATATTTAGTAAGGAACAATATTGTTTTATATGTCTCTGCAGCAAAAAAAAAATGATAAGGAATAAAAAGGAAAAGAAATCCTTATAAATGGTAAAACAATTTAGGAACATTAGAGAATACATTATTATTAAAAAAAAGAAAGATTTTACATAAACTTGCGAGGGGTGAACAAATTTTCGATGAAATTTCCTAAAAAAGTGGCCGAAAAGTTGAAAACAACTACAAGGAAAGAACATGTTTTGTATCCACTGATTACTTTATCATAATTTTCACATTTGGTAACCCTGACTAGTTGAACCTCGATGTCATATATCGAGGTACAATGACACACACATGTAAAAGTGTGTCCCTATACATAACTATCCATTTTATTTATCATTGATTGTTACATGATTCATCATTGATTATTTATATCGGCTAGGTTTTTACAATAGCCATATTTATCATAGGGCACCGGTAGTAGTAACCAAAACGTGGTTAAGATTTTTTTTCTTTTGATAAGGTTTATTGGTTGATTCAGTCGGTTCCGGAAGGAACACAATTAATACATAATGAACTATTCCAAAAGTATACCGTACTGCATGGTTGAATTTGGAATACCTTCAGACTAACGTAAGATGATAGAACGATAGTCTGTTACGACCATTATATTAAACACTTGGGTCAAACCCAAAACTCATATTGACCAAGCAGTGATAATTTAGTTTTTAGATAAAATCGAATTCAAAACTGATGTGGATACATATCAAATCCTAAAAGATTATCACTAAATCACCATTAGGATTGTACTGGAATGATTCCAGCTTTGATCTTCAACTTCCAAGATAAATCATTTAACCTCTCTCTTTTTCTGTAACTACTGTGGATTTGGTTAAATGGTAACTTGTTAGTGTTAATTAGTTTACAATTTTGAATAAACTGTAATACAAGATATGACGAAGCAGGTATCATTTTGAAAAGTGGCATTTCCACTTTTGTCATGAGTTAGTGCGTTCCTTGTCGACAATATTTCTATTTTCATGTGTTATGGACACAGACTTCACTACAAGAAAGCATTGCATACTCCGATGACAATTACCGATAATACGTTTTCTCGGAAAATTTGTGACACAATTGCGAGAACTTTCCGAGAACCTGCAGATTTCGTCGGAACATTCTTGAAACTTTTCGATAAATAAAATTTCTCGGTGATTTCTTGGAATAAATTGTCGGTATCCTGTCGAAAACAAAATTATTTCTGATAAAACAAATTTTGTCGGTAGCTTCCCGGAAATGTGAAATCTCTTCTCGGTGATGCCTCGGAAAAGCGTCGAACAATTTCCGAGAAAATATCAACCAATACATTCATCGGACTATCATTGGTTTTCTCTAGGTGATTACCGACGATAACTGATTCTTGGAAAGAGGTCGGTAGTTTTGACAGAAAATCATCGGACAGTTTTGGTGATGATGGAAAATCGTTTTAACAACAGTTGCGTTTTGGCATAAAAGCTTTTTTTTTTTAAATATCCTAAACTCTATAAACGAATGGTCAAGAATAAATTCTATAAACGAAGGGTCAAGTAGAAGAGTTACATAATTTGTCCATCACCTCTTTTCTTAACCAATAAGNAGTTTTGACAGAAAATCATCGGACAGTTTTGGTGATGATGGAAAATCGTTTTAACAACAGTTGCGTTTTGGCATAAAAGCTTTTTTTTTTTAAATATCCTAAACTCTATAAACGAATGGTCAAGAATAAATTCTATAAACGAAGGGTCAAGTAGAAGAGTTACATAATTTGTCCATCACCTCTTTTCTTAACCAATAAGAAATTGATGCTTGGATTGATAATCTTGACCATTAGATTAAATATTATAAAGGGTCCAGATTAAATATATTTTGGGTTTCTTTACATATCTCTCCACTCTTATCATTCTCCTTTCCATTATGTATTCTCACTTCTCTATTACTAGTGAAGCTCATTGAACCAAAAGCAACGACCAGCTCATGGGTGACCGGATTGTCCTCTACGGTCATCGGTTCTGAGGAAGACGACGATGAGCTCATTGGTGCCGACGACCGGATCTGAGTAAGACGACAACATGCTCACCTCTTCTCAAGATCCAGAAAGTCACTACCTCGCCTCTGCTTGACTTGATCCACCTCGACTGGAATCGCCTTAGCTCAACTCGCCATAGCTAACTCTCCTCAGCTCGACTTGTCTCTGCTCCTCTCCTATGCTCGCGTCCTCTCAAGATCAGAAGCTCACCTCCGCTTCCGCCGACGTAAGACGATGTGCGGCTGAGGATTTTTTTTTTTTTGGTTTAGTTTTTTTTATAGATTTTGTAAACCAATGTTGTAAATCGATTTGGTATACCAATTTTGTAAACCTGTTTGGTAAACCAATGCATTTTCACTTTCAAATAAATTTTATGATTTGGCCACATTTTTCCCGACAATCAAACTATTATTTCTGACTTATTCACTCGCCGACACACCTCTGTTATTTCCGGCAATGACACCGACNGTTTTTTTTATAGATTTTGTAAACCAATGTTGTAAATCGATTTGGTATACCAATTTTGTAAACCTGTTTGGTAAACCAATGCATTTTCACTTTCAAATAAATTTTATGATTTGGCCACATTTTTCCCGACAATCAAACTATTATTTCTGACTTATTCACTCGCCGACACACCTCTGTTATTTCCGGCAATGACACCGACTACTTTTCGTTAAACCATATTCATCGGTGCATCGTCAGTTCCGAGAAACTAAACCGATTATTTACCGACCGCATGACCGACAACTTTATAACCTCAGAAAACCATCGAAAATTACCGAGAACCATGGACTTGACCGACAAACTTTTCACCTCAGAAAAGCATCGGCAATTACCGAGAACCAGTTCCGACGAAATTCCCGACAAGTGATCTTCTCGGTTATGTCCGACAATTGACCGATGACTACTCGTTTCCGAGACCCAAACGCCGACATCTTGTGTTTTATCGGAAACGCATCGGACTTAACCAATTCCGACGAGATACCCATAAATGTTACCGTCGGTATTTGGCACTCTTTCTTGTAGTGCTTGGACGCAGATGCGCGAAAAGAGGCGATGTCGTCCCGCGTGTAAACACTAACGAGTCGCTTACGGATAGCGACTTTTGTTTATTTTGTTTTTTAAGATTATAAATACATAATGACTCCCTCTCCTTATTTAAAGTACCACATAATGACATCAAATCTAAACCACGAAACCACAGAGAAATTTACATGCAGTGACTCTACACTATTAATTACTTATATAATTTTTTTTTTTTTTTGATGAAAGGCTTTGCTTCTATAATTTTCTTGCACGCCTCTATTTATTTTCTATGCCTTACTCTCTAGCTACGTAACTATGCTACGTAACTATATAGGCCACCATTATTTAAAAATTATATTTACGTTCAATTCTATATCACATCTAACCAATATGTGTCAGCAATTTTTTTATTAATATTAATCATGTTCATATTTGCTCATTTTCTTTCAACTGATTTTTTTATTGAGAGTCATCAAATATCTTTGGAAATAAAAAAAAAAAAATATCTTTGGAAATATGAAAAAATAAATAGTGAATTAAGGTTTTGAGAACAATGAAAATGCATCATCAACTAATCTGAATGTTTTGTGCATAACATAATCATTGAACCACTAAATATGTTTGGGTGATGAAATGACAAAACGTCATTCTATATTGTAGCTACATATGTTTCCTCTTTAGCTATGAATAATTCCGTAGCAATATGACTGATTTCTTGTAAATCATTCATAATTTTCACTTCTTTATTTGAACAATTTCCTAATTTTCACCCTTTTTTTTTAACAATTTTCTAATTTCACTAAACATGTGGTTTCCTCTAAAGTGATTTAAACTAGACGCAATCTACACATCTACCCCACCAAGGTAAAACGAAAAGCGACAGGGAACCAGGCAAAATGTTAAAAAGTAAAATATTATGACAAAAAATACAAAAAAATAAAGAAAATAAAAATGAATGAGAAAATCGGCAGTTTCTCTATAAAAAGGATAAGCCACACAAGAGGCAGAGACAACGCCTTTTGTCTCATCTACATCGTTTCTCACTCACCTATCATAACTTCATAATTCCTATCCACTCTTCTTATTATAACACTCAAAAACAGTTTTTTTTTTGTAACTTCGATATCCATACCGGCAAAAACATTCGTGGGTTCTTCTCTCTTGTCCAGACTCATCTACCGTTTTAGCCGTCCAAACAAAACCGTGATCATTCTTCTTTTATACAATCCAAAAGTTTACGTTCAGATTCTCCTCCACCCCTTTGTTCCTTTTCTAAAAAAAATTATGGTGTGCGTAGTTTCTCGTACTGGTCGTCAGTTCCAAAGATACAACAAGGGACGTCGTCAAGTCGTAGGGTACGTAAACAGATCTGAAAATATATAAATTAGCCAATCTAGGGTTTGACTTTCGTGTGATTTAAGTTTCTGATATTTGAAGATTAATTGTGTGAAAATTTCTATAGGTGTATACCGTATAGACTCAAGATTTCGAGCGATGGCACAATTAGCGACGAATTTGAAGTTTTGCTTATCTCATCTCAGAAGGGTCACGCTCTAATGTTCCCAAAGGTACTTAACTTTTTTTAACACCCAACAAAAGTACAAAGAAGAAATAAACCCTAACTTTTGGTTATAACTTATTAGTCTTCAGGGTATTAACTATGTAATGATTTTAATACAATGTCAGGGTGGTTGGGAGCTTGATGAATCTGTAGAAGAAGCTGCTTCAAGAGAGTCTTTGGAAGAAGCTGGAGTTATTGGAGACGTTGAGGTAAATAAACTTGAAGCTGATCATATTCTATACCCTTTTGGGATTATATTACTTAGATTGATTTTCTAGGTTTTTTTTTTTTTTTTTTTTTAAAGTATGTGTGTTGATATTTGAGCAGAGACAACTTGGAAAATGGGATTTCTTGAGCAAAAGCAGAGGAACATTCTATGAAGGACTAATGTTCCCAATGCTAGTGAAAGAAGAGCTTGAGCTTTGGCCTGAACAACATCTTCGTCAAAGAATGTGGATGAAAGTAGATGAAGCAAGAGAAGCTTGTAGAGATTCGTGGATGAAGGAAGCTTTGGATGTTTTGGTCAACAGGCTTTCTTCATCATCACCATCAATGAAGCCTATGGAAGAAGACACGAAGATTCCATTGATTTCCACCTGCTGAAATGAAGAGCATTCTCACGTGCTCGTGTTTATCTTTAACATCTTATGCCAGAGCAACGAGAAGATTGTAGATTTTTAGGTGTTCAAGAATACACCATGTGAACTTGACCGACTGGTAGTGACGTGGCCACGTGGGGGTTAGTTTGAACTTCGGTTTGTTACCAAAGATAAACGTTTTGTGATTGTTGTTATATAGACTGCTTAAGATGGGAGGAAGAAGATTATTATTAAGTAGAGACTGCGAAAAAAAAAATTGTATAGTTACATTTCCTCTCTTTGTATCTCTCCCCATCTTCGTGTATGTTCTGAATCATTTTACAATGTAACTATGATCTAAACAAAATTAATAAAGATAGTAAGATGTAGAAAATAAAATTTCACATAAAGAAAATCACAAGAAACTCTCTGGATTTTATAGCGATGCAATTAATTTTATTTATGGACGAAATATTTAGCTCGAATATGAAAAATAAATTTCCCAAAAAATTTATGCACTAAGTTTATCTATATAACTCGTAAACATATATATATATATATTACTAGTGCATAAATTATATATATATATATACATATATATATATTACTAATTATTATTATAAGTAGAAGGTTTTTGACAAAACCAACACTTAATACATCTATTCCACAAAGATAAAAGTTAAAAAAAAAACATTTCACAAAGTTAGTTTTATGTATTCCTATAATTTTTTATTATTTAACAATGATAAATAATAATTTTGAAGAAAATTAATCGAGTAGCTTGAAACTGAATGAATTTTTTTTGAAAATTAATAATGATGACATAAAGTGTTGGATTTATGATATAGAATTAAAGTGTCATTTTAATAGTACATGTTAACAAATGAAAATTTCATCTTTGTAGAACTGAAGAAAAGTATATTTTAAAAATGGTATATATACTATTAAAAGAGAAGGAGTCTAAATAAATCTACTTAAAAAAGTTGTTTGGACCCTTTCATTATACTAACATTTTTTTTATATTTCCTTATATTTCTCTAACAATATTGTACAATAACATTATATCATATAACTTACCTTATATTTCTCTAACAATAAATTAGTCAATATTCTTATTTATTATACATTACTCTTATCGGTCAATATTTTTATTTCTCCACAATACATTATTATAATCTTATACCATATAATTTCATAATACGTGACTGATTTCACACATTAAACAAAAAATATATCATTTGCTTGAGCCACCAACTGTGCAACAGTACCCTCTATCATTTCCATTGATTAATTTTCATAGCTGATGTTTGATAAATAGAGAGTATAAAATATATTGAACATCTCCATTCACGATAAATATGTTTAAAACCAAGCATATTATTATTTTTAGAGTAAACCTATATGTAACATAGTATATTGTAATAATACAAAAACCGGTTTATTATCATAGTATTCTAATGTTTGGGGATATTTATACAAACAAGTTATAAAATTAATGATTTACTATAACTTAAAAGAATATACATAATACCAAAAACATATATGAAATATCCAAACATATATAATTAAAAAAAAATATTGAGTGCTTTTATGTACCCGATCGGGTCTCGGTTATGATCCATACTAGAATCGATTCCTGCGGGTCTTTAAAGATAGCCAGTAAGTACTTTATCATGGATCCTAGCCGAAGCTATATTTTCGGGTCGGTTTGGTCGTGTTTTTCGATCCGGATAAAATGTCAGGACCTAGAGAAAGTTACATTAAAAACTTACATATAAAATCTCAAATAAACTAATTTATAAATTACATAATTTTTCAAAAAAATCTATTTTATATATTAAGATTTGTAGCCTAATAATGTACATCATTTCTAAAATACTAAATCATATCAAAATTTGTTTATAATCTAACAAAAACCCGCGCTTTTGAAGCGCGGGTCAAAATCTAGTTTATAGTTAAAATAGAGACATGCCACCAAGTAATCGGTAACATTAGGTTAGGACATTTATCAAAAAAAAAACATTAGGTTAGGACTTAGGACAATGGAAGTAACATGAAGAACATGATCGATGACATGATGATGGTGATGTATTACACGTGGTGAGCTCTTCCACTGAAACTTGGCTTCTTCGACTTTATCTTTTGGAAAACTTCCGTTCACATTTGTAGACAGTCGTATAAACCTGTTTTTCCTAGCTACTTGAAAGTGTCATCAGCCAATAACATTGATTAGTACTACTCGCCTACTTAGATGAAAACTGAAAAAAAGTTAAAAATACTTCAAGTCTTATTTAAACAGCGATTTTGATATTATTAGCTGTGGAAAACTCGGGATGTTCCACGTCTTTAATGTCATTCGCTTTGTCGGTACACAGAAAAAAAAATACCATCCGGTGCGAATCACGCTATCCGCAGTTTCCATATGATCCAAGTTTTATTAGAGCATTTCTAACCCCACTCCTTAATTTACTGCAAAATGGAGTAGGAAATGGAGTGATGAACAAAGAAAAAAATGATTACTCCATAAATGGAGTAATAGATTTTTTGTTTATTCATTATTCCATTTCCCACTCTATTTTACAGTAAATTATAGAATGGAGTTGGAAATGTTCTTAAACGTAGTTGTTAACGTAGACACATATATAGTATTTGATTTATTGGAACAAACGAAATATTCGACCGTTTCGGACCCATTACTCTTTGTTAGGATCGGTCTTGAGCTTTTTGAGATTCTAGATGATTAATTTATGGTTTTACAAACTTTTTTTTTCTAAAAAGTTGGAGACATACTTTTACAAATTTAGGAGCCTATGTCAATATAATTTTTCAAAAAACATTTAGAATTTATAGACAAATATTTAGTTAGGCTTATCACGGGGTCATCATTACTCTTTGTTCACGGCTTGATCACGCAAAAAAGTGACCTAGTACTACCCTTTTTGATATTAAGTATCTAATATATTAAAAACTAGTCATAATTTTTTTAATGTGTGATATTTTAAAATGGACCATCTATTAAAATTTATCACATTACCTTATTTAATCATGAATTAATAATTTTAAAATTGGTTACCTATAATTTTGGACTTACCAAAAAAATTTATTGGGCTAACAATAATTGAATAACGTCCATTAAATTTATAAATAAGTATAATAAGACACATGTTTAAATTAAATATATATAATTTAGTGTTGTAATAGTATACCTTTATAAATTAATTATTTATATATTTGTCGATGTTAACTTTTAAAATTATATAGTTTATTTTTTAAAATAACAAAAATCATCATTTTCTAATAATAATTAATTTGTACTACCTTTATCCAATATTTTTTTTTGTGAGCTATATAGTTTGTTTTAAAAAAGAACAAAAACTAAATGTTTAATTATGTACTACATAATATGAAAGTAAAAGTTTTATTTCTATTAAACTTTCTAAATTTGAGAAATATTACATCTTTAACAATGAGAGTAAAACAATATTTTACTAATCTTTACATATATTTACGACTACAATAATGAAATACTAATCCAAAATAATATATATATATATATATATATATATATATATATATATATATATAAAAGATACAAATACATGTGAAAGTTTGAAATAATCTTTCGATAAAAAACTAATATATGATAAAATTATGATCTTTAAAAGTTGATATACACATCTCATATATATATATATTATAATATATATCAATTTAAAAGTGAAAAAAAAATTGTTTAAAAAAATTGAAAACAAAATATTTTTATTAAACATAAATGAATACAAATATCCGTGCATTTACACGGATCGAGATATAGTTTTTAAATTAAAATTGTTCGTTAGTTTCTTTAGAATGTTTTTAATAGTACATACTATGGAAGATGCGTCCATAAATCTAGCAACGGCCTAGCGCTAGGCCGTGCCGTAGTTTTTTTAATTAGTTTGTGAATCATTATCAAATGAAAAGGTTTGTAACATTAGAAAAAGAAGTAGACAAGAGGCCAATATGAGCCCAAAAGAAATAAAAACAGAGATTGGCCTACTAAAATTGATATCGCTAAAAGAGCAACGTGATATTATAGAACCTCACTCAAGTCATACCGGAGCCAAGCTTGTATCGAAGTTTTAAACTTCCAGAAAGCAATGATCAAATTTAGAAAGGCTTTGTGCCTCCCACCGACAGGTATCTCATCATCGGTCCTCCCGTGGATCTGCTGGGCTATATGGACTGCTAGAAACCGCCTACTCTTCGAATCATTGTCTCTAACCCCTGTTGAGGTATCACAAAAAGGGTTAGAGTTAGCGAGAGAATGGATTCTTGCTCAAGAAACAAGCCAATCAAAGGAAACCAGAGGAGTACATGTAAGCTCTAGACAAACAGAGATCAACAACCGTCGAACCTTATCGTGCAATACTGATGCCTCTTGGAACACAACAACAAAATCGGCGGGAATCGCCTGGATCTTCTCCGGCCCGACGATCAACACCCCGATCGAGGATTCGAAGCGGGTCGATCGGGTCTCCTCTCCCCTTGTCGCTGAAGCACTCGCGATCAAATCGGGAATTCTAGCAGCAGTGACACACGGATTCACCTCCATCGAAGTCAAGTCTGACTGTCAAACGCTCATCAGAGCTATTCAAAACAAATTGCAGGTGAAGGCACTCTTTGGTATTCTCACCGATATCAACCAGATCGCCTCTGCTTTTGTCTCTATCTCTTTCACTTTTGTTCCTCGGTCTGATAATCGTGATGCCGACTTGTTGGCGAAACGGGCCTTGTCTGTTTAATTTCTTGTATGAACCTGGATAATGGGCCAATTTACGGCCCGATATCCCTTTCCCTTTAATATCAGTATCCGTTTCACAAAAAAAAACTTCTTAGATCATCTCCAATAGAATATCTAAAAAGACTTTGTTTCATGGTTCTATTTAATTATATGCTCAAACTTAAACTAAAAAAAAAAAGAAAAAGTAGATAAATATAGTTTTAAAAATAGAACTTTTGGAACCAATTTTAAAAATGTTCTATCTCATAGTGTCATTTTCTAATTGGTTAATATTTTTAAGAGAAAAATAAAATTTACATCCAATTTTTGTTCTCTCTCTTTTTAAAATTTAGAATCTTTAATTGGTTTCTATCAGTGGAAAGATTAGAACTAAACAAATATCTAAATTTTAGATTTGGTTATTTTTAATAAAAAAATTGGTTTAGAACTCTAAAATCATATCTATTGTTTGAGATGGTCTTACGTTCCTATCTAAAAAATGCATGCATAAATCTCGCAATGGCCTAGCAGGTCATGCCGTAGTTCTATGTCGCTCCATGCGTTTTCCTCCCATCCGAAAACGTGTGATATCGTGCATGCGATATATGACTATAATTAAGATACGTCGACTTAAGAGCATGATTAACCACATGTTCTTAAGGCGGGTTCTTAGTGGAAACTAAAAAACTGTTTCTTAATTTTTAACTAAAAACGTTAAGAACTGGTTCTTAAATAAAGATTTTAAGAACCGGTTTTTAGCGTTTTTAGTTAAAAGTTAAGAGACTGTTTCTTAACTTCTGCTAAGAACCCCGGGTTAAAAATCCTGGGTTAAGAACCTCGGGTTAATCATGGTCTAAGAAGAGGTCATGAAAGAGGAAAATACATACCAAGAGACATACTGAAGTAACTGAACCTGCGGTCGTGGTATTCTTGAGTTAAAGCGCTTACCTTGCATAAAAATGTCTACACAAATCTCCGAAATCACTACCACGAAGATTGTACTGAGCTCTCATTTTGTCTCTGTAGAAATATGAGTAGATACATCATGCTAGTGTGCTTATATACGCATGGATGGCTGATGGCTCCAACCTTAACGCTGCCAAAAACAAAACAAAAAACCTTAACGCTGCGATTTCAAACCGCTATTACTTATTGATATATCTCCCATTTAGTATAATTTGAGAGAACCCTCTCAGAATGGAATGTGTCTAGATCATTTACAGTGGACTCTCACAATGGAATGTGTCTATAATTCAGGGGGGTTCGCGATCAATAATTATAGCTAATTGGCCAAAGGTAGTTAACGCATGGGCACCAACATGTGATGCAACATGTTTCAGTTTGTAGAATCAACATTGTGTGTTAATTATTTATTTCCGTACATTATATGTCACATGTAAGTGTAACTTAATTGTTTTAAATAGATTAAAGTAGAGTATGTTTTCAGTTATAAAGTTTATTATTACACACTGTATTCTTTTTTTTGTTTTTGTTAAAGAATACACATTGTATTCTATATCATTCATCATCTTGAATAAGTGGAGAATTAACTCAGCTCTTACTTCTCAATCTTAATCACATTTTAAATATTATATCTTATCAAGTTCTACACATCTCCAAGTTAAATTTACATCAGAATAAATCGATAAAATCAAATCGAACCAAACCAAATCCGAATAAATTGGTGCCCACCCAATAATTCTTGGATGTTAACTTGCTTTTCCTCTTAAAGACAACTATAAACAAATCTGTAAATTTTCAAGAAGAAAAAAAAAACAAATTTAATTGAAATATTTGTAGACTATTCAACCTCAACAATAACAATCTCGACCAAACCAAATTAATCAAAGACGTATTATGACATGTTAGCATGTGTCATATTCTTGACCGAGTATTATACAAACATATACAATCACTTTCATAAATCATAACAATCATATTACACAAATCCACACAGAGGATTAAACCTCACTTTATTATATGACTAAATGAATTATATATTCAGGGGGTCTTTAGCGGGTCATGCCGCCTTGGAAGACTGGAGCACCCATCGCCACGCCTTGGTTCTGTTGCAGCTGTGCGTTCCCGGCCCATCCTAAAATACCACATTAATTTTAATGAATGTGAATGTTTTGAGATTACAATAAAACATGAAAAAGAAATCATTACCAAGTTTCATATCGTAGCCACGGTTCTTGAGTTCACGGTATTGTTGAGTGAGTGCACAGAGCTCGCAGAAGAAATGTTTAAGGCAATCTCCACAATCACTGCCTCCAATATTGTATTGAGCTCTCATCTTTCCACGATAGAAACACGAGTAGAGACATCCGCAACCAGTAAAACAACTTATCAACGTGTATAGTGCCCCAGCCGTACCACACGCTGAAATTTCCAAAAACAACAATTAATTTATTTATCTCTATCGCTTGCTACCTTTCTATAAGTTTGACAATATTATATATGTTGTTATATGGTTAAAGATTTATGTAATTAAACTTACTGGTTGATCCTTGATCTACAATCTCAGCGACTTGACCAAATGTAATACATGGACACCAGCATGTGATACAACCTGTTCATTCATTTTTCGAGATCAATAGTAAGCTTTGTTGTTATTTTTCTATAAATAAAGTATCAGGGGATAAAATTAATAAATAGATCAAAGTATAAACTGTAGACTGATAACAATCATATGATTTGTTCTATATTACTATCTTTCTATACGTACAATTATATATGTTAAAATAGTTAGGGAAATATTTTTTTTTTTTAAAACAGCCGGAGATTATTTATTACAGTTTTTGCAGTCGGAGAAGCAATCACAGAAGCCTGTGGACCATTCTCCTTCAGCTTGAGGCTTGCCATGATGGTGTTGAGCTTCCATCGAGAGAGAGAAAGTTAGAGAAAAGGATACTTACTTTTAGAAAGGAAAATACAGTATTTTTAGTGTCTTGGTTAAAAACGAAGAATGATGCTAGTATTTATAAGGACGACACTGAAGTCCTTTATGTTTTTTCACTCGTCGACTATTTCAAATCATAATAAGTTTTAGCCAGCGCGATTACTTAATATCTTCTTGACTTTTACCATTTCTTCTAAGGTTTTGTTTTAAGGAATCCAGTTCATTTAAAATGGATGATGATGACACACATGTAACACTGTGTTTAGTCATTTCTCAACCAAAAAAAAAAAAGCATTTGTATGAGTGCTGTTCTTTGAAACTAATCATTATATTTGATTAAAATATTTAATATGTCTTTATCAAAACAAATGACACTAACAGAAAGGATAACTATGAATATGAATATGAATATGAATATGAATATGAATATGAATATGAATATGAATATGAATATGAATATGAATATGAATATGAATATGTAAAGTCTTCAATCCAATCGGTAAGCATCACTGGGGAAACAGAAATCAGATGACTTTTCTAATATCTTTAAGTTATACTATGTTTTTCTATTTCAGAGTGATAGAAAAGTTGAGTTTTTAACTTTTTGTTTTGGAAAATAAAAAACTTAATTGTCTCTCTTTTTTATTAATATCCCCATGAACGATCAATTATGGTAGATAACCATTAGTTATTTACTACATTATCAATGGGTTAGAAAATCCTACATACATGACTCTAAAATACTCCTTCCGTTTCAAATTACATGTCATTCTAAAGTAAAATTTTCGTTTCAAAATAAGTGTCGTTTTATAATTTCAATGGAAAATTTATTGATTTCAAATTTTATTCTATTTTTTCATTGGTTGAAAAGTGGTTAGGTGTATAGGTAATTGTGTTTTTATTTTGAAAATATGTAAAATTAATTATTTTCTTAATCTGTGTGCAAAACTCTAGAATGACAATTAAATTGAAACGGAGGGACTATAAATTGGGGGCTTTTAGAAAAAAAAAACTATGTGCGAGAACTCATGAAAGTTTTTTTGCTCCAAAATGTTATGAAAGCTCGCAAAAAAAAAAAAACATGAACTTAAAGAAGTAACAACAAAATAGTTAATTAAAAGGGAAATTAGGCCAAATGACCAAGAAAAAAACTATAATTCAAGTCGACGGTATCATATAGAAGATATTCGATGGCACGCAAGTGGACTATTTCTATTTTCATATCTTTGACCCAATATCTTTATTACCAGGTCCCGCCAATCATTTTCTTAACTAGTGATATAAATTTTCTATATATTACTAAAATAGGAGTATATATAGAATATTAGAACACTAATTAAGCTAACATGTTAACCCATTATATTGTACACAGATGATGACTCATGTAGTTTGTATCTGAAGTATTTCTAGGTTAAAACTTTTTGTATGTTTTCCTTTCTATCAATGAACATGGATTGATATATAAAAAGAAACTAAGTCTGTTATATGTGGGTGTGGACATTAAGCGCATGATGAACTAAAAGTAGGATGTGGTTGTTTGTTTCAATCGCATAATGAAGTGGATGTATGTATCATTAATCTTATAGGCCACCAATGGTTTATGTCTATCAGTAAGTAAGTTAACAACGTGATCATCGATGAAGCCGTCAGCATCAAGACAATATACATATAAAGGCTTCAATTTGTCATACTGTGGAAAATAAATGCTTGTGTAGATTAAATGGTAAAACTAATCATAGCTAAAAACCAAAACAACAATGCAAACCAAGAGATTGTGACCTAATGAATCTCTAGTTAGAGTGTCTGTTTTGGGTTCGAGTCACCTTGACCACCTTTCCGCCTATAACCATACATACCCGGATAAAAGGTTTTGTGGGAGTTAGTTTGGATTTATCGCCAATACCCAAAATATATATATAAGATTTAAGAGGGGCAAAACTTGAATCAGTAAATGTAAGACGTTTTAGTAAGATATAAGACCCACCATGTAACTGTAAGATGTTATTTATTTGATAATATTTCAAGTGGCCTTTTACTTTTGATATACTTTAAAGTTTCTGGTAGAGCTTATTGAGCCGCCATATATGATTATGATTTATAGTAGAAACAAAATTTGAGAATGGAACTTCAAATTAAGTTTGCGGATCTACCGACCACAGTTATAAAAGGCTCAACTTAAAAGTTTTGGACCATAGTAGACTTTTCTTTGTACATGTTCGATGTTTTTTTTTTTTTTGAGCAACTCATGTTCGATCTTAATATCACTTTTTTTTGCTAAATGTTAATATCACTTTACTAACCTGAAAAAAAAAACTCAAACTCAAAATAACTATTGAACAATGAGTTAAAAAGGTTTGCAATGCACTATCTAATGATTCAATGAACATGGTATATTATCTCTAAGAGAAGCTTCATCATCTAAGTTCAATTTTAAAATTCACTCTGAATGATGAGATGCTTCTTATTATCGTATGACAAACTTTTTTTTGTTCAAATTATGGTATAACAATTTAAGTCGTTTGGATAGAAGATAGAAGTAACCAGGAAAATCCGAAACAAGTTCCGTAGGCAGTAATCCCTTCCTATAGAAGTAACCACGGCGAACTCACGCGATACGAGTTCACTACTTCTTGCCTCGTTAAACGTGTGAATCCCCTTAAAAGTCTTCGATGGGCATGCTCTTAAGCCATTAACTGACATCACACTAATCATTTTTGGGCTGTAGTTATGATAAAAACCAAAGGGTTGATGGTAATGGGCCTTATAGTAATAGATCTGCTATGAATCTTTCGGGCTTTCAATGTATATTCGAGAAACTTAATTTGGTTAGATCTTTGACCCATTTTCATGTTATAAATAAACACAATAGTTGTTGTGTTGTTCATTCAACACTCTTGGCTAGTGTTGGCTAAAGTCTTCCCTATCTCTGATAGATTGCAATCTTCTTATGGGACAAAGTTCCACATAAGTCAGCAACATACTTGATTTTCTCGAAGAACAACAATTGATATTGTACTGGAAAGATATATACATCAAAATTATGGAACTACATTACAGACTTTAGAATATCTTTTTAACTTAACTTTTTTGTATCATCTTAGTGAATATTTACACAAAAGTAAGCCTACCTCAAACAATACTACCAATCAGATCTTTTATAATATACTATATCTAATGTCGGCTACCTCCCCACTACATGGTGTACACACCCTTTTTTCCGAAGTGGCATTCTAAGTGGACTTTACTACTTAAGCAACATGGTGAGATTCGTTTACTAAAGCAATGGTGCATTACATGTTTTTCATTCACACACACCCATACTTAAAAGCGATAGATTCCAAAAGCTTATATTAGTTTATATTATGAAATTGATAGGCACTATTCGTTTAACCATAGTTAGACCTACGTCATGCCATGCGATCTGCGATTGTCGTTCGTTTGTTCGTTTTGATGTCGCACGACTAAACGCCCGATCAATCACAAATTCTAATTCAAGTCTCCCGTAAAAAATAGCGATTAAATATTAAGAAAATTTTGGTCTCGCGCGATTGATCGCAGGTTGCAAGTCACTTGACACACATAATTTTATTCACAGATCACAGGTTTAGTCGCAGATCAGAGGTTTAGTCGCATATCGCATGTCACATGTGGCGCGACACCTAAACAAACACAACACACGATAGTCTCTTGAGACTACAAAGTACATAAGATGTTAATTTCCCCATAGTTTGATCTCCTATATGATTGTATCTTAATCCCACACTAGAGTAAAGCAGAATCTAAAAAAGTTGCCTGCAATGAACTTTTAAGATAAATTAGATCATTCTGAAAAAAAAATAGAAATGTTTAATAATTTACGCGTGCGTACAATTTTCTTCTCGGACAACTTTTTATATGGGCAGAAAAATTGCGGGTAGGCGAATTTCCACATAGTCCATCCGCAATTTGGTGAATCCCATCATCGTGGTCGAGTTGCAACTGGTTATGTCCATCCAAAAATCTCACTCACGTGCACACCCATAATTTCATTAAAAACCTAAAAGTATTGGGGTTTCTTTAAAGGTACGGCAAAGAGTTGAAACTACAAAGCCTTCTTTTACACATCAGCCATGAATAAAATGCACCCGACAAAATGATTAGTGGCAATAACGTGATTATAATGAACAATGTAAGGGCACACATGTCAAATATCTCCATTCCTCAATGCCTACATAAACCCTCCAATCTTTCTTGTATAAACTCCCAAAACCTTAAAAACATAAAACAGAGTTTACAGTCTTAAAAAGATGACAAGGCAGCTTTACACTTCAGCCTTTCTTCACTTAGCCACCTTACTCTTCATCTTCCGGACAATCTCAGCCGTCCGTTTCCCTCCAGGACCAACAACAACTAACGACCTAGATTTCATCCGTACGAGCTGCAACGCAACGCTATACCCAGACGTGTGTTTCACGTCATTATCCGGCTACGCCTCCGCCGTACAATATAACCCGGCGAGACTAGCTAGGCTCGCCATCGGCGTTTCCATTTCCCGCGCAAAACACACGGCGGCTTATCTCTCGAAACTCTCACGTGTCACCGCCTCAGCCGCCGTCCACGACTGCGTTTCAAACGTGGGAGACGCCATGGAGCAGATGCGTGGTTCGCTCCGGCAGCTTCGGGAGATGAACCACCGTCGTCTCGGAGCTCCGACGTTTAGGTTTCAGATGAGTAACGTGCAGACGTGGATGAGTGCGGCGTTGACGAACGAGGAGACGTGTACTGATGGGGTCACGGAGGAGATGGAAGACGGAGAGACGAAGATAGCGGTTTGTGACAGAGTCGCTGACGTTAAGAGATTCACGAGTAATGCGCTTGCTATAGTTAACACATACGCCAATAGTGGAGCCTAGCACTATATAGGCTTTGATATGAAGTTATAAATACAAATACTTGTGTATAACTTTTAAAGTATGATCGGTGTTCTTCAGATTTTGTGTGTATTCGAGGCTCTCAGATCGAGTTTACTGAGTTGTGTGTTCCTTTAAGCTAAGTTTAATTACACCAAAAACAAAGTTTAGTTATATCTGCAAATCGCATTCAAAATAAGCAAATCCTTGCGAAGGAGTGACTGTTTTGTTTAAATGCATTAACAAACGCCTTATTTCATTATCTTCTCATCAACCAAAGAGAGATGCAGTTTTACAATTATGTGTTCTCACTCGGAGTCTTTCTTTACAAGATTTCCCATAACTCACAAACTTGTGACAAATGAAGCATTTACCCAAAGCTGCAAATCACAAGCCACCAAAAGGGTTGGTGTTATATTGTTGATGAGCACCTGCTGCGTTAGCTGGAAATTCCCCAAAACCAGTGCTCTTTTGCGGCTCTGAAGCCGTAATTACTGAGAATTCCCCCAAACCGGAGTTCTTTTGCTCTTCTGAAACTGGGACTACTAGACCGGATGTCTTTTGCGGTTCTGAAACCGCGAATGCTGGAAATTCCTCGAAGGATGTCATCATCTGAGGTCCTGAAACTGTGGCTACTGGAAATTCCCCAGAACCGGATGTCTTTTGCGGTTCTGAAACCGCGAATGCTGGAAAGTCCTCAAAACCGGATGTCATCATCTGAGGTCCTGACACTGTGGCTACTGGAAATTCATCGAAACCGGTGGTCATTTGCGGTTCTGAAACAGCAAATACTGGAAAATCCTCAAAACCGGTGGTCATTTGTGGTTCTGAAACTGCGGATACTGGACCAAAACCGGTGCTCATTTGTGGTTGTGAAACATTGGCTACTGAAAATTCCCCAAAACCGGATGTCATCATTTGCGGTTCTGAAACCGCGGCTACTTGAAGTTCCCCAAAACCGGTGGTCATTTGTGGTTGTGAAACATTGGCTACTGAAAATTGCCCAAAACCGATGGTCTTTTGCGGTTCTGAAACCGCATCTACTGGAAAATCTTCAAAGTCACCAAAAGGATTTGAAGCGCCTGCTGCAGGCTGAAACTCTTGCTGTTGTTGTTGCTGATAGGCTGGCTGGTATGGGCCGAATGGGTTGATTTCGGCTGAAGGCTGCGGAACGCTGTTGGAAAATGCAAACGGGTCTTGAACCTCAAACGGATTAGGAGCTGGTGCGCCGTAAGTAGGCTGTGGGGCTCCTCTGTAGGTTACATCGTCATAAAGGCTGTTCAGGGTGAGCGTGTCTAAGCCACCCGCCTAGCATTTGTTGCAGACGACAAAAATGGTTATAACTAAGAAGCCACAAATTCAATATACTAGCCCTAGACAGGATAATGGCAACTAATGATGCATGTTAACATAAGAATTTATCTTACCAATTGCCTCTCTGTGGCTGCTGATATATCACTGCTAGGTGTTGTAACCAAGGCAAGCTCCCATCCTGACGGATCCGAATTGCTTGTTTGAGTAAAATCAAAGATCGAGGATTCAACTGGAAACAGAAAGGGAATCAGAAATGCGAAAGATAAACAACAAAAGGCAAACTTAGCGCTCCAGTATATGGTTTAAGAAGCTCACCATCAGTAGAAACTAACGCCAAAGCAAGCGCATTTTGATCCAGGATTTCTAATGGATCAGGTGCATCGTTGTTGTTCAGACCCTGAGTAACACGGAGAGAATCAGAGACAGGAGAATGACAAGGACATAAACAAAATTTAAATCTAGATCATCTGCAATAAGGCTTCACCAATAGATCATCTGTGTCAATGATATTCTGTGGAGTTTCTGCTGAAGCAGGAGGTTGGGTCTCTTCAGAGGGAATAACAGTAATATCGGACGGCAATGATGGTTCATGTTCTTCATGCGAAGGTTCTTCAGAAAGCTCTTCATCCGGCCTATATGTCAGAAGCTGTATGTAGCAGAGTTTTTAGAAAATAAGTTACAAAAGAAAAAACTAATGGTTTCCGTAGGACCATAAATATGAGAATGTAGACATACCAGTGGCCCATCTGAGACGTCAACCATTTGAGGTGCGTCTCTCATATACTCCTCCATAGTTGCAAGAAACGATTGTGGAGGCTTGAGAAAACAAAAAACAGAGTTATATCATAATACTATCGTCGCTGCCCATAATTATTGTAACAAAATAAACGTTCTTATCTGATACCTCTCTTAAAACAGGAAACTGGAAATTCCTAGCAAGTTCTAATCCTTTGCATACTTCGTAGAAATGAGAAAGGTTGCCAGCCTGCATAGATAGACAACCCCTCGTTAAGTGGAATCTAAATGGATCCAACAGATTAAAAAAACTCAACAAAGTTACCTGCAAACCCGCGCGTTTGTATATATCAAGGGCCTTGACGGCCTCATGTCTTGGCATTTCAAAGAACTGCAGCATATGCATATATGAGGCATGGAAAAAGCAAAGAACAAATGAAGGGAGCGAGTAACTTCTGAGGGAGAAAAAAAAATTGGGCCTACCTTTTCTACTAGATTGATAATGCCTTCATTGATGGCACAATAAATTTTAAAGCTCTCCTTCAACACCTACAAATACATTTTTCAAAAGATCACAGAACTGAATTCAACATGTTCTTTCCGGACATAACATAAAATACTCGACAGAGAACTAGGAATAAATGTGAACATGTAAGTTACATGCCCGGACTTATTTTAACGTACCAGAGCGAGTGCATATTGTATGATATGATTGTGCTTCGCAGCACCTTCTGGCTGAAAAAAGTCAAAAGAGAAAAACAGTTCATTCGTCAAAGAACTAAGCTCCAACACAATGTCAGAACAATAAAAGAAACATAGAGCACGACTCTAGAAAAGAAATCAAATAAGCACCTTACAACCAATGAGACGATGCAGAAGCTGCTGTAAAGCAGGTAACTGTTCCAAGAGATCTTCACCATCTAAACCCCTTGTTTTGCTATACCCCTAACAATCAATTCCCAAAAACAGAATACCATTACAGAGGAAACGAGGCCACAAAACCAAGTATGCTCAAAAACAGAAAGATACCTTCTCCTGCCCTGGGGTAACTTTCGGAAGACGCTCAGCCTCAATATCATATTTCAAAATCCTAAAGCATTGAAGCCGTTCCTCAAGAAACAAAGCATAAGCGCGTACCCAAACCGAACAATCCCATGCTGTGATAGGCAGAAAGCAAAAATATCTAAATCAGCGAGCAAAATCTTCGGCAGAAATATTAAAAGAACCCCAATTTTTTGCTTCTAAACACATTAAGAGAATGCCCCATGAATGTAGGTAACAGTAAAGAACTCACCCGCTGTGGATGAGTCATCCTTGAAATTAGAAAGCTGCAAAAAGCGTCCTTTTCTAGAAAAGTTCAATAACTCTTCTCTAAACGTAGGATCTCCCTCCCTTACAAGTCGGTGTAGAACAAGCAATGATTTTAACGCAACCTGTTGTGAAGCAGAGAAACACATATAAACAAAACGAGTAATTTAAATGCAAAGATCTGAGAAACCTAAACAATACAGATTCCAGAAACAAAGTTGTATACAACAAAAATTTGAATCAATGATTCACAAACAGTATTCGATCTGATTAACAAGACTTTAAACCCTAAAACACACACATTAATCATATAATTAAACGAATAATTCTAATATAAAGATTTGTAAACAACAATAAACTGAATCAATGAATAACAAACAGTGATCGATCTGATTAACAAGACTAATTAATCATATAATTAAACAGTAATGAGATCATAAAGGATGAATCAGTACCGTCCAGTTTCTGGTTTTGTGCAACCGGCGAGAGAGAGTGTGAATGCAGTAAGCAACATCTGCACGAGGCCGAGTTGCTGACGTGGCGATGAAGATCTCTGGTGACAGTTACAACAGAGAAGATTAAATCAGATCTGGAAAAAAAAAAAACAAAGAGTAATCAATATGAATCACATACTCGTGAGATGGCGATCTTTGGGAGGACACTCGACATGGTTAGTAGCTTTGACTATGGCAACCTCTATATCCTGTACAAAAAAAAGAAAAAAAAAACGAATCTATTAGAGATTTGATGTTTAAAATAAAATTGGATCAGAGTATGGAAACGGACGGCGTAATCGCTGTTGACTCGGACGAGGCCGACTTTAGTGGTGTCTTTTAGGGCTCCGTATGCTCTTCTGAATGACTGAAGCGTTCCCATCGGAGACTAAGGCCGTTTAGATCTCTGACTTGGATCTTATAAGATGTTAATATCTTCTTCCCCGATAAAACCTCTGAGAGAAAATCTTTTTTGACGAACAGAGACGAAACTTCGAAGAAAGAGGGAAGATAAGGAAGGAGGTAATTTATGGGAAAGGTTGAAAAAACATTAAGGGAAAGATCGACATTTGTATATAAGGGTTAATATATAATTATATAGATTTGTTTGTTTCGTTGTATGACTAATTGTTTTAAGAGTTAATTGGATACACCCCAAATTGACCACATATTTATTTTGTCTGACCAAATTACCATTCTTTCTCTCTCTCTTTCTTTCATGTATTTACATGTGGGTGTGTCACTTTTTTTTTTCATTTTCGTTATCAATGCTCTTCTCTCCTCTTATCATTTTCAAAATGAATTATATGCAAAATAAAGATGTTAAATATTTTTAAGTTCACTTTGATTCTTAAATAATAATTTTAAATTTACTCAATGTGATTGGAAAATACAAAATTCAGTGATACTTATTTGTTAACAGTTAATACATAACACCTCTACCAAAAATATATAATTTTTAAATATGTTGGCTGTTAACAAATATCGTAGACGTTAGAGAAGTACCCATATTTGGTGTTGATATTAGAGAAGTATATACAATTAAATTTTAAATTTCATTATTTTTTTCATAAGTGGCTTTGAATCCTCAATTTTTTGATGATATCAATTTTTTGGGTTTTAGATTCGACGTCGTGTTAACGGTTAACAAATATTGTAGACGTTAACAGAAGTGTTAGTTGTTAACAATTATTTTTACGCTTCGCGTTAATAAATATGTTCGCTGTTAACAAATATTGTAGACGTTAACAAAAGTGTTAACTGTTAACAATTATTTTTACGCTTCGCGGTAATAAATGTGTTGACTGTTAACAAATATTGTAAACGTTAACAGAAGTGTTATATGTTAACAAATGTTTTTACGTTTCGTGTTAATGAGAGGAAAGATAAAGGACATTCTCGGCATTTCCTTGCCAAATGGTTGTGTCAGTATCCTTCATGTCCAATGATATTTTGCTAATTTGAGGTTCAAATATGGGTAGTTCACTAAATCACTCTTGTTTTAATTTGATTTTTAAAGAAAATTCTCAGTTGACAAAAACAAAAAAATTGTCATTTTCTTTTTATTTTTTTACAACAAATTGTCATAGTTCGGCTTGATTTTTTTTTCCTCAACAATCTAAGCAAACTCAATTAGGACTTTGCAAATGAAATCGGTAATTTTCTTGGTTTTAGCATTTTATGTAAGATTATCCTTCTGTGTATTTTGCATTTGAGATATATGAATGATCTTTAAGTGAGTGAAAAATCTTTTAAATTTTTTTATTTTAGTTTGGCTTATTTTTTAACACTTAATTTCATTTATCTTAACTATTATTTACTAAATGATTTTTATATTTGAGCTCTTACGTTAAAAGTTTGAGCGATTAATATCGTCTATATTCTTAAGAAATAAAATATATAAATAACCTAAAAGTTAAAATGAATTTAAAATTTATTTGATTAGATAAATTGTTAAAATTATTAATAATCAAAATTATCCAAAATCTAAAAATATATTTTCAAATTAAAAAATATCTCATATATATACTGTGTCAGTATCTGACAAATATTTGTTAACAAAAAAATCAGAAATTTAAAAGAAAATAGATAACTAAATATAAATCAAGTACAATTCTTAAATTTATATAAGTAAAAAGAGAATATGGAGTGATTTAAAAGATGTATTTATTAATAATGAATATAATATAAAATTTTCAAAAATATTATATTATGTAAAGAGATAGTAGTGTTCCAAAAAAAAAAGGAGATGGAGATGGAATGGGGATGGAGATAGTCACAAAACTCCAATACAAAAAGCTAGGACCAAAACAAGATAAACCTCGAGCAATCAAAACCTAAAATCAGCCAACATAGGGGATAGGAAACAACAACCTTCTACAAAGCCAAGGTAAATAACAAAACCCAAAGTACTTTATTCATGCATTTAAAACAATACTACTTCATAGAAGAGATCCAAACAAAAGCAAAAAAAAAATTAAAACGCCGGAAACAAAGCGGGAAAGTACCTTGGGAACACCCAACACAAACAACCAACATAACTAACACCATTTGGCCAACCAAAGTTACCAAACCTTAAAAACCTATTTAAACAAAAACTAGAGACGGCTGAAAAAGGTTTGATCATTCAGCTTATATGATGATCCTTTTTATGTTTTAACCTCTCTTTTAGTTATCTTTTTTACTTCATTTGAATTGATCATGTTTGTAATTATCCATTTTTAACTTAATGTTACACGATTTTTTTTAAATGTGTTAAAAGTAATTTAGACGAAAAGTACTATAAACTCGAGTTTGAATCAGTCTATCCCTCTCTCTATTCTTAGGTGGTCTGCAATTCATCATTAGCAAAGACTTCTTCATGACTTATACTAGAATTGTTTAATTTTCTGGTTCAAACCTTGCTTTTCTGCTAATATTCCACCTTTAAACTATCCGAATTAATCATAACTGAACGTTGGCAACATAAATCTTATCAATACTATTAAGAACATGTTTGAAAAATTCTCACCAGATGCTTCTTATTTGATATGTTTTGTAATACCTTTTAAAAATAACATTGTACAATCTGATTTTTCAATCTATTTTCCTTTCAACCAGATGCTTCTTATTTGATATGTTTTGTAATACCTTTTTAAAATAACATTGTACAATCTGATTTTTCAATCTATTTTCCTTTCAACCAGTTTAAATTTGTGTAGTATTTGCATGTTCACGTCTACTAAAATCACAAAACGGTGATAAACTGACATAACAATTTTTCTTCTTATAACTTATAGCAGTTTTAAGTTGTGAAATTTAGGATATACTAATCAATTGTACGTTTTATGGAAGTTATTACAATATCAACGGCAAAAAGAAAATGCATTCGTCTATTAAACTTAGTACTTAGTAGTAATTAATGTAGCATTTCATTGACTTTAAACATTTACAGATTTACTCGAAGATCATATCATGATCAGTATTAAAAACAAGTATATTTGTATACATGTTTTTTTTTTGTATACGGAGCATATCTGTATACATGTTAAAGTAGGGGATATATCCTTTTTCATCCTTTTTAAACAAAAAAAAAGTTAGAATAGGGGACCTAGGGGGGTTGTCTTTTCCAAAAGCAAATGTTTTTTATGGGTACCCTAAAGAAGTGGAGAAAAGCATAGCCACCCTTCACCAACTCTGGTTACGTTAAACGTTAATACATAATATGGTGACAAGTGACAACAAACATAAATGGGCTGAGTATAATAGTACTAATGGACCTCAGTGAACAACCCATTACATTTTGTAAAACAAACATAGTGATTGTCATGGACCATGGTACAACTTAGAAAAACATAAATCAGAAAAACTCAACTTGAAGTAAAAAAGATTGAAAGGTGAGGGGCATAAAATGCAGCTTCGAATTGAGGAAAACATAGGATTATACATAAGAAAGAGGAAATGGTGAGGGCAAAAACGTGAGAGAGGAAAATATTCCTCTGATGTTTGAACCTGAGAAGTTTAAAACAAGAGATATATGAACCAACTTCTATCAATAGCTGTTGCCCATTTTTAATAACATTTTGGCATCTGCAATTAAAATTGGTGCAATGTAGGCTTTACTCTTATGATAACGTTCATCTGGTGTAAATGGGACTAGACTCGTGCTTTCTTAAAATTTATTTCTGTCGGAGATAATGAGACTTAATATCCTAACATCATGCACTTACATAAATATTAGACAACGGACACAAAATTATCATATTGCGAATACCATAACAACTCAAATTGAAACCTTTTTAAAAAAAAAAAAAACACTCAAACTAGCAAAGGCAAAGAAGATGTATAAATATATATACATGCCTATAATTTAGTTTTTTCGGTAAGTCAGGATTTTGGTTAATCAAACTGTCATTGTGAATTGTTTCTTCTAATTTTGTGAAATTTACTGCATGTGATAGATAATGAGAGGATGTCCTAATACTATGCGTATTACGAACACACCATAATAACAACATCAAAGACAAATATGATACATAAGCCTATAAGACCGCCATTATTATCAGCATAAATTGTACAAAGGAGAAAGAAGCGGTTGATAAGGCACGTACTAAACAAACCCAACAGACACACATGCATGTGGATGTATACGAAGATGACCATGGATGATATTTAAGCACCATTCTGGCCCTTGAGAACGTGGTCGTCCATGTCAGCAACTAAACTTTTAACAAACTTCATGTAGTTGATGGGTTCGGGGGTGTCTGCTTTGCGTTTCTCCCATATCAGTGTTATCTTGCAGACGCAGCCTTCCTTTGACTTGGGAATGAACTGGTAGATGACGTCATACACCTTGTACTTCTCTACAGCATGACCGGCTAGTCCTCTCAACGTCAATGTCATTTTCTCGTCGTCTACCTCTCTCTTCTCCTTGAAGACTTCAGGCTTCCCATCTTCATAAAAATACACACACAGAGAAGACTTAACATTACCAACAAAAAAGAGAGAAACCTGACGTCGGTAGCTCTACCCCCTTGACCTGGGAGAACTCTCAAGGAGAGTAAGACCAAGTCTTGAGCCTTACCAAAAAATTAGGATGACATGTCGGATACCAAAAAATTAATAAAATATGAAAAGAGTAAGATAAGGACCGCATGTGATGTTCCAGGATCTGATGGAGCCGTGGGAGTCCCAGTCGCCCTCGTGCATGGCCACACCTTGGATATGGTGGCCGATGGCGTCCGAGAAAATGTGATTTTCGCTCTTCCACCTTTTGTAGTGGTTCTCCGCGGACCCTTTGAGTGGCACCTCCGCTACGTATGTTCCTGACGTCGCCATTTCTCGATTAGTTTTCTTTAGAAATGAGTGAGTGAAAGTGTCAAGTGTGGCCCTCCCTTTATATACACAAACTCACCGCAACACTAGACATGTACATATCATCATTTATTAAAAAAGTATACACATGCATATATATATAATTTTTATCTTAATATATAGATATATAAATAAAGGGTTTGATGTTGATAAAAATAAATAAAAATAAAGGGTTTGATAATGCGGTATAGGGTTTGATTATCATAATTAAACTAATTTAAAGATCTCATCTACTTGTTGCTCAAAAAAAAAAAAGATCTCATCTACTTAATCTTGAATATAAACGCTTAATTTAAATTCAGAGAAAATTTTGCATCCGCTCATTTTTCTTTAAGAGCAAAAGCTTTCAAGCCAGACTGTTGAGTACTTTTAACGAAATTTTGTTTCATTTTGACACATTTTAATTGGTAAGAGCAACTACAGCAAATGATCATGGAAAAGTTCACACAATTCCAAAAAAAAAAAATTATTATAATAATGAATAGGGATGAACCCAGCTCGTACAGGTTGTCTCTGCTGAACCGGTTCACTGCTATTTTCGCGGGTCCCATGCCACGTGACGGCTCGCGATTGGTCGCTTATTTATTTATTTTTTTTTAAAAAAGAAAAAAGTCAGACGGAAAAAAATAAATAATAAAAAAGTAAAACCATGAACCTCACTATGGGTTTATTAATGTGGATGCCCTAAAACTTAACTATAACAAAGTCACAAATGTTAACCAATTTTCTGCAGACGTAGCAAATAGCAATAAACTCGAGCAAGATACTTGTTTTTATTTATTTTGTTCTGTAACCACGAGCAAGGTATTTATCAACACTGCCCTAAGTGACGCCCTTAATGAGATTTAGTTATTTTTTAAACAGTGGAACTAATTTTTAATGTCTATTATCATAATTTTGCTGATTGATTTACCCTTAATTTTAATTCTAGATTATGTATAGAAGTAAAACCAAAATCAAGCTATTCTTAAACGAGGGGTTTGCGGTATTTAATAACGTCATATTGATAGGTGCTCCACACGTGTGGTATATGTGTAATCAAGTCCACATATTCCTCACAGATTATTTGCATCCGGTACCCATTATGTTCAGATGAATACTTGTTATGCTTTAAAAGTCTTTCATTTAGATATGAACACATTCTTTTTTTTTGTCAACGGATATGAACACATTCATCTACATTAATTTATGATCCACGAGTCAGAGATAAAAGATGCATACATTGACATGTCACATGGCTATCTATGAAAATTATAGTTGAATTGACTAATTTATGATGAGATGATGATTGATCATTGTTTGTATATAAGTTTTGTCTTTCGTTTTTAAAAGCAAAGGGCTTAAAAAGTTTGTCTCTGTAAACTAAACCACTAAGAGTGGAGAGACGGTGAGAGTCAGTAGACCCAATCGTTCATCTCGAAGCAAAACACAGCCTCGTGATAGTTCACGTAGTACTAAGAGGAATCAAACTTATTGAAAAGTTTGTCTCTGTAAACTAAACCACTAAACATATATAGTTTGTACAAAACATATATAGTCACGGCTTTTAGTACATCGATCTGTTGATGCACGTTTTAGACATGTGAAAGCTTGCTTCTGGTTTTCAATCACTTAAGCTAAAAGGTTGCAATACTTGTAGCGTGTTAATCATCTTGACTGATCCATGTTTTTTTTTCCCTTTTATTGTAGCTAATGCAACAAAGTTAAGTATGTGATAAAATATATGTCAGAGTAGAAACAAAACTATACTCTATATTTTTTCCTTTTTATATTATCATTTTAGATACTTTCTTAACAACTCCACCATAGGAATTGCTCTAATGATGCTCTAAGTTTATTGCTCAAATAAGATATCGTGGGACCTGTAGAATTTTTAATCCAAAATAGCACATATAATTCATATAAATAAGCATGGAACGTAAAACAAAACACCATGTGATTTAGAGGGAAGTATCATGCATGAAACAAAACACAAATTATATAGACACACATATATAAATGCGTAGACGAAAGAGGATGTGATGATGATCAAGCATCATCATTCTTCGTCTTGGAGGATGTGGTCGTCCATGTCAGCAACCACCATCTCGACGAACTTCATGTAGTTGATAGGCTCAGGAGAGTCTTCGTTCCGCTTCTCCCACACCATAGTGATTTTGCAGATGCAACCTTCCTCAGACGTAGGGATGAACTGGAAGGTTACAACATACACCTTTAGCTCCTCCATCAAGTGACCCTCGAGCCCATTGATCGTCACGGCCATATTTTCGTCGTCTATTTCTATCATCTCCTTGAGCGTTTCTTCCTTCCCATCTTAATCACACACAAACACAAAGATTCCTAATTTAGGTATTAGTAGTTATAATTAATCATTCCAAGGAATTTAGTTTGAGATCGAAAAGTATTAATATTATTATTATTAATACAATCTTGTATCAAAAATATGTAATGTTAATATCCCAATCGTGTTTGATTACCCTATCTTATGTACCTAATTTAGGATATATCAAATATGGCGCAGCCATGCAAATATTATAGAGAAAGCGAGTACTATAGAGATACCAAGAGTGTAGTTCCAGATTTTAATGGTGCCGTGACAGTCCCAATCGCCCTCGTGGACCGTGACTCCTTGGATATGATGACCGATGGCGTCGGGGAAGATGTTTTGCTCGCTCCTCCATCTCTTGTAGTGTTTCTCTGCCTTTCCCTTTAGAGGCACCTCTGTCACGTATGTCCCTGACATCGCCATTGGTGAATTGATTAGTGTTTGATTGTTTTATTTAAAACTATGTTTTTGTTTATTTTTCTGATGTAAACACTTCTACCGGCCTTTCCTTTTATATACACAAACGCAACATTAGAAAATAGATAAAGAAATAACAATGGCATTAAGACCATTTTTTTTGACAAAGTACAATGACATTAAGATGGAATTTATTATACGACTTTCCAAACTGTCGACGGTTTATTTATTTAAAAGAAAATGTTATTGTCGCCGGCTCAATATATCAAATTCTTCTACTTCTATTATTGAGGTATATTAACTTTAATATTTGTGCTATTTGATTGACTTTCTAGCATGTAACAGATGTAACTGATAAACATCAAATTGTTTATGTGCAAAAAAATTAAAGATAGCTTGCATTAATTTCTATCACCAGATTCAGTATTTCATTTTCAATGTCTGTAATAATTCCATAAACTTAAGAATTTCTAAGTCAACGATCTAATAACTATAAACTACTAAAGTATAATAACATTAAAAATATTATTAAAGCGATGATTTATATACGTCTGTAACTGTGCGATCATTCCACAGCATTTGTAAAATATTAGTTTAGAAGGAATAAATCATTTCTTATTTATTTAAAAATCTCATCCAAGAAATTCATGACGGTTTACAATCTCACCAAATCTTATAGAAAAAGAAAGAAAAGAAAAGATGCCAGCCTTTTGCTGACTAACACAAATCTCCCAAAAAGGATAAGTCAACTGTCCAATGATATAGACAATCGTTTAAATAACAATTTTAAAATACAAATAAGTTATGTAGAATGCAAAAGGATCACCAAAGTTACATATGTAAATGTGCTTAGAAAGCAAACAAGAGATGTCCAATGACATGTGTAAGCTTGTTTCTGGTGATTGATCACTTAAGCTAAAACGTTGCAATGTCTTATAATTTTCGCGTGTTAATCATCTTGACTGAGAGAAACTAGTTCATGGTTTTCTATTAATGTTGAGTATTGATCGTATAATAAAGCTATAATGAGTCAAATAGTTTATCAATTCTTAACACGACTTAACCTTAGTCATTGTTTAAGCTATAACTTCTTTTAATATCTCCCAAGATTTTGATTAAAAAAAATTTACTACTTGAAAGTTGAACTGATTTGTAAGAGAGAACCCTAAATTATATGGATTAATTCATGCGTACTTTTGGACTAATTCGCTTGACCGGATCGGATTGGATCCGTTTTCCGGATAAGATTGGCTCAAATCAGATCTTGTGGGGCTTGTTGATATTCTTATATCCAAAATGGCACATATAAATTATAAACGAGCACAAATATTCATATACTTGAGAGCTGGACATAAAACACCATCACGATCATAGAAGGAAGTATCATGCATGAATCAAATCACAAATAATATAGACACACACATATATGCGTAGATGAAAGAGGATGTGATAAACTGATAATGATCATGAATCATCATTCCTGGTCTTGGAGGATGTGATCGTCCATGTCAGCAACCATCATCTCGACGAACTTCATGTAGTTAATGGGCTCAGGGGAGTCTTCATTCCGCTTCTCCCACACCATAGTGATTTTGCAGAGGCAACCTTCTTCAGACATGGGTATGAACTGGTAGGTTACAACAAACACCTTTAGTTCCTCCATCACGTGACCCTCGAGCCCATTGATAGTAACGGCCATATTTTCGTCGTCCATCTCTACCATCTCTTTGAACAATTCCTCCTTACCATCTTCATCACACATACAACAAACACTCTTAAGTTATGTACTAAGAGTTGTATTTAATCCTTCCAAGAAAATTATAGTTTTAAGATCGATTATTTTGTATTAATATTACTAGGTGTTTTACCCGCACATGCGGGCTTAATTATTTTTATGACAATTTAAAAAATTATCAAAATAAATGATTATTTTCATCCAAAAAATTAGACCTAAAACATTGTACGTTTTAACATATAAAATTATTCATAAATTAAAAAAAATCTATTTTCCCTTTAAAACTTTGAAAACAAAATCTAAAATATGTTTCATTTCTTCTCAATTGATAAAAAAAATATAGAAACTTATCTTTCAATTTGTTAAATTGAATCAATAAATATACATTGAAAAATTGATTTTACAGAAAGAATAATATTAGTTTGGATAATAATACAATATATTTGAATTTATTTTGTCAACAACGTATTTTTTTCATTTTGAATAATATTTTATTTTATTATGATTAATTCATGGTTAATGTTATACTATATAAAATATAAAATAAATTTAATTTAACGTGTGAGTTCAGAGGCGAAAAATTACTTCACAAATATATATATCATTATGTTATGTTATTATATTCTTTTAATTAGAAAATAATTACGTCTTATAATTTTTTCAATTTTTTCTTTTCAATTATGTACAATTAAAAAGTTTCTTATGAGTATTTATTTATGTGTTTTCTGTTTTTGATTTTTTATTAAAATATATTTTCCGGATAACTACACAATATATATAGGAATTATCTTTTTTCTTTTTAAATATATATTTAGATTATGGATAATTCTTATCATTATTATTAATTATTAATTTAAATATCAATTTCGTTTTTATTTTATGTCTAATTTATATATTTTATTCATTAAGGGTATAAACGATATTAACCACTGTAACTTTCAACGTGGGAACTCCGTTGCGAAAAATCACTTCGCAAATAATAGTACAGATTACAATTTCCTGTGTCAGAAATATAAAATGTTAACATTACAAAGGTATTGTCTGGTCTTTTACCGTACATTATGTACCTCTATATCCAGTGGCAAACCAAGCAGATTTAATTGGACTAAACCTGGTTTTGAGGGTGTTAATGATATAAGGAAATAACCATATTTGCTAGAGATTCTTTTACTGATACAACCCAATTTAATTTATTTGGTCATTTTAGGGGTGTTCTCTGACTTCCTATAACCGTAGTGGATCGGCCCCCGCCTATAGCTTTAAATATCATTGTACAAATATAGAACATATTAGTGCTAATATCTCCCAAGGTTTCTAAGACAGTTACGACTCCAAATGGTTGCATTCGCTTATTGTTTTCTCGTTATTTTTCGTCTATTCGAGTCCATATACTGCAGCCATTCAAATTCTGTTTGTAGAGAAAGAGTGTATGGATACTGACCCCAAGTGTAGTTCCAGATTTTAATTGTGTCGTGAGAGTCCCAATCGCCATCATGGACGGTGACTCCTTGGATATGATGGCCGATGGCGTCAGGAAAGAGGTTATGCTCTCTGCTCCATCTTTTGTAGTGTTTCTCTGCCTTTCCCTTTAGAGGCACCTCCGTCACGTATGTTCCTGACATTGTCATTGATGGATCGATTAGCATTTTATTGTTTTATTTTTAGCTTTAGTTTTGTTTATTTCTCTTGTGTTACAGTTAAACACCGCCATTACCCTCTCCTTTTATATAAACAAACACACAATTTAATAATACATTTAATTGATAACATTGACATTAGGAAGGAATTTCTTATATGGCTTTTCAAATCGTCGACGGCTCAATATATATCAAATTATGTATACCTAGCATATAATTATACTGTTAATGCGATCCTTTCCAAGTAAATTCTGTCATAATTATAAACTATCATATAATTATATTCTTAATACGATCATTTCTATACGTATGTAACTATGCGATCATTTCGAAACATTTCCCAAATCGTTGTATCTTGACGTGGCTTGAAGAAATAAATAATTGATTATTTTATTCAAAAACATTATCCAAGATATTCATTACGGGTTACAATCTCATCAAATCTTATAGAAAAAAAGATGCCGCCCATTTACTGACTAAGAGAATCTCCAATGTATTACTCTATATTTTACTTCAAAATTGTGCAATTCTAAAATGAAGTAAGATTTTTTTTTTTTTGTTAAAGGGTTTAAATGAAGTAAGGTTTTATTCCAATGTATTACTCTATTTTTTACGCCAAAAATAATTAATAATACTTTATATTTATAAAAGTTTACCAATTAACCCAAACTATTTTATGTTTATGAAAGTACCTTAAAATATAGTTTATTTAAATTAAACATTATTATTAAAAAGTACAAGAAATCAGAAAATAAAATAAAACACAATATAAACTGATTCAATAATGAGTATCAGAATATTTTTTCCCACAAATGCTCAACTAATGCATTTCGTAAGGAAAAATGAGTTTTGGACAATACTTCAGCGGTCTTAATGAATCCGGAAGCGATTTTCTAAAATGTCTTATTTTATGTTATTTTTATTTAATATTATTTATGTTTTTATTTATGCAATGTATTTTTGTGTTAACTTATTAAATAATGAAATATCTTGTTTTTCATGTTATTTTATTTTTTTTAAATATTATTTAAGTAAGAAATAAAATATTAGAAAGTTAAAGGATTATTTCATAAATAAAAAAAAAGTTCAACTCCAAAATGGAGTAGTATGTAAGATTACTCCATTTGAAAATGGAATGGGGTTATAAAAGATTTTACTCCAAAATGATGTTTTGAATAGAATATGAAGTAGGATTGGAGATGTCCTAACACAAAACTCCCAAAACGAACAAACTCAACTGTTCAATGATAGACCGTTGTTAAAATATAATTAAGTTGAATCTAATTTTCCTTTCTAAGCTACTCGCGAATTAGAGTTTGAAGCAGGAATGGGAGAACGATCGGCGCACGACATTACCGAATTTGGACAAAGACGTTTTTGACTTGGTTATGAAGCTAAACCGGACATACAAGAGTAAGAGTGCCGTTAGAGTTATTAAATTGGGTTTCCTTGTTCAGCCGCCTGTCTTTTTCTTAGTCGGGAAAAGAATGATATGGAGCTGACATTTGAATTATATAGATTTCCAGTTATTAAACAAGACCTTAGACGGCATTACTAGGAATATATTATATATCTAAATAAGCGACAAAACTTTGGGCAGTATGAGTCAGTAGTATGCAAAATGATCACCAAAGTCACATACGTATAAATAAATATGCTTAGAAAGCAAACAAGAGATGTCCAATGAAATTAATCTTTGGAAGTAGTGGATGTATTTCAACATAGCTCACTGGAAACTATAGTAAGAAATGTATTTTATTCGAAATCCTTATTACTAAATCATGGTTACAGGAACACGATTTAATTATACAGATTCAGGAATTAGACATTTCCAAACAAGGGACCAGTCTCTAGGAAATAAATAAATAAATAAAAATGTACCTAGCCAAAATTTACAGAAGCATCACGTTCTCCCAAAACCCTACATTTATTTGTTGTGGCCAACCCAACACTAAACACTAAATGTACAAAACGCACAGGGTTGATTCTTGGTGGGAGCTACTCTCATTTTCTCAGTTAAAATACACCAACTTCGACGTGCCAAAAAATCCCACCCTTGGAGAATGCTTGACAAGCCCTGAAAGTTGCAGGCTAGTCCTCTCTCTCTGTAGAGCTCTTTTCTGCGGATGTGGCCAAAGAATTGAAAGAATTTACCAGTACAATGAAATTAAACAATCGGACCAGATTCCACAATATCTGGCAAAAAATGTGTCAGGTAGTTGCTGTAGTTTTGTTCCTGCGGCACATACAGTCAGGGCAAGGGAATATGTAAATGGAGTCACTAGCTCGTTTCAGCTCAAACCCCTTGGAGTCGCTATGAAACCTCATGTTTACCATTTGACGTTTAAAACTTCTCCAGCTGAGGGTAAAATCAGAAATTATCACTGAAGGATATCAACCAGATAGTATAGAAAACAAAAAATAAAGTATGTGTATAGGTTGAAGTGGTAAGCATCACTACCTCAACTTGGGATTGTCAAAGAGTACTGCTAACTTTCGCTTGTCAGGCCGAATCGTCTTTGAATGTCCTCCAAACAAATACCTCCGATGCCCCATGAGGAAATGAGGGAAGTTTCCTCCTTGTGTTGTCACAAAGACTTCACTGTGGAGACACACTGTGTAATCTATTGCAGCCATTCTTGAGGAGAAACCCTGAACTCGGACACATAATTTGATAAGTCAGGTAAGATTCATCACTTGGATGAGCAAATAATGAAACGAGAAGACGACCTTAAAAGGAGCCAGTTCTTCCTCAGACGCAAGCATCTCCTTCGTCTGAAGATTAGGGAACATCTCGAGTAGTGGAGCCATAGTTCTGTTCCCACCATATATCGGCCCAGAGGCTAGGTATATATATGTGCTTTTGTTGAAGCCCATTCCTCTAAGTATCAAACCCACCTGATATGTGTACAAAGAAGAAAACTGAACCAATAAGAACAAGCTACACTACCACTCACATCATTGCTCACAATGGTTTGCACTTTGCACAGCTACTCTGATTAGTAACTACGGATGAAAGAACACAGTGATATTCTGGAATAGTTTATGCTTACCTCTAAAGGAGTCAAAGGGCATTTGCCATTGAGCCTGTTAGCTCCTGGTCGTATCACGCGTCCCGGTTTTGTGAATTTCCCTTTCCAACCCCGTTCTCTGGCCGCAATCATGTCTTGTTTTTCTTGGTTGCCACCATCAAATACACAACAAGAGAAAGCTACCATATCCTGCAAACATGTACTTACGATGTATTAAATCTTTCACCTCAGACACAGATCTGTTTTCAGTATATCAAGACATGATATAATGAAGCGTTTCTCCTTTACAGGTAACAAACCTCTTCAAAACGAAGATGCACAGAAACGTACTTCCCAGTGTTGTTTGCACTAAGCTTTTTCATTTTCTTTACCAGTGTTTCTCCTTGGGTGAGTATGGGTTTTGCAAATCGCAAAGCTACATTATTTGCCAAACATCTAAATTTCTGGATAGCTCTTGGAGCATCAAACGAAAGTCTATTTGCAAATGGGGAAATTCTTATCACCCTGTGCCATGAAAAGACAATAAATGCTTCAAAAACCTGTGTCCTAAACCAGAATCAAGGATCCCTTACACACTCAAAAAGCGACTTAATGAACACAGTGTCACTCACTTCTCTTCAAGTAGCTTTGGCAGAACTGAGTCCCGGTAATAGCTAGTGGGTGCCCAAGCTTTAACTCTAAAGTTATAGACATTTGTCAAGTTATAGTCAAAACGCTCCATTAAGTACTCAGGAACCGAATTGACCACCCGCACATCATTTGCCAAGGTACTGATAAAGTATTCTTCATCATAGATATCCCCAAATTTACTGCAAGAAAAGCGCTCTGTCAGAAAGTAATTGAATAAGGGACGGCTTTTTTTAATTCAAAACACCAACAGAAGATAAGAAAAAAAAAAAACAGATATCCGAAACCTCGGATCTTTCCATATGCTGTGATAGTGAAAGTTGGGAATTACAAGAGTCGCATTAAGGTAGCCTGCCACAGCAACCGCATTGCAAATCTAAGCCAAACATATTAGAGACAACGTCAACAACTTTACCTTAGACAAAGTCTACCAGACACATGCAAGAAGGCTAGAGTGAAACAAATAAAATTTACAGCAAAATGAAAAGATAGACAAACCTACCGAAGTCCGCTGCTGATTTAAACCTCCATTTGCCTCAATGAATATGAAACCATTTGACTCGGGCAAAACTACAATTGTCCCCAACAGACACAAAAAATAATAAGAAGAAAACTTCATTAATTATGTGACAAGGCCAATGTAGTTCTGTTCTTTGAGCAGAGCTTCATTAGTGATGCAGGTTTTACATCAATTTAATAACTTTATGACAAGAAATGCTTCTCAATGCTGCAACTTATCACATGGAACAAGTACAATTCCACGGAAATCACAAAAGCAATGTAATACCTCCATTAGACTTGTTCACGCATGGCTTCCACTCCACACCTTTATAGGAACGTTTCCAAATTGTTGAAATCTAGAATGAATACAATTGCATATAAATTAGGAAGGATAGCATACAAAGAACAGTAACTGGTGGCTAATGCTATACAGTGAAGACAGCAGCATCACTAACCAACCAGTCATAGAACAAAAGTATGGATTGGATAGTGATAAACAGAGCAATGCATTATCCTAGACACTCTACTCTAATTGGATCAAACCTAAAACTAAAACTCATACATTCTTTCTCTATAGTTTTGTGGCTGAATTGATTAGGTAAATGTTGGATCAATCTAAACATAGTGCATTCTCCTAAACATTGTTATCTAAACTGAATCAAACCTAAACATGTCAACACTCCCAGAGATAACACAACGCCCACCACATTCTCAAACAAATCTCAGGCAAAAAAAAAAAACAGAGGCAAACCTCACCGCATCAGCAGTGGCATTATCAGCGTCAATCTCCGCGCGGAGCTTAGCGTAAACCTGCGGGCTCCTGTAAACGGATCCAGGCGCGGGACGGCGATGAATAACGGGACCAGGATCAAACGACGCCGTGTGCATGTGAAAAAGCATACACGAGATGTAGATCAAAGGAGCGAAGAGTAGAATCCCCTGACGACGTCGTATGAGAATCGATAAGACGATCCACGAGATTCTGTGCCCGAAGGTGTGATTCGATTTTGACCGGGGGAGAGTAGGTGAAGGCGGCGGAGAAGGGGAGGAAGAGTGGGAGCTTCCCGGGAGATGGATTTGAATAATCGACGGATCTTTATCCGCCGAGGAGATCATGGCTTATTCCCGTCCTAGTTCGTTAACGCGGTGCGTCGTCGTGATGATTACATCTTTGCATTGTAAAGGATCAATGGTAACAGTGGCAGGCAGGTGGCAAACGGTGATTGGATGGATTTATCCCGACGGCGGAGAATCTGTGAACAGACAAGTTTTTATATATTTATGTACACTACTCGTACGGTGGAAGCGTGATCGATTCGATCACATGCACTTTGATCTGTGTTTTGTGTTCTACGATTCTCTTTTTTTTTTTTCTTTTTCCCCTTTCTACGATTCTTTTCTTTCGTTTTCAGTGGAAAACTCTAATCGAATGCATCCGTTTTTTTGTATATAACCAAATATAAAACACTCGGGACAAAGACGTACATATTAGTGGCTTCTAGTGACCGATATTTTGATAATGACACAAACAAAGTACATTTGCCGTATCGCAGCTGACACAAAGGCAATACGGTCGACCAGAACACTTTGTCTATTATTTTGCCTTGTGAACTCAAAGAAATGGTATCTAGACCTGATTCAAATGATAAAATGTAGAGATGTCAAAGCTATACAAACAAATCAAAAAGTCAAATAAGCCTGATTTCTAGTTATAGATTGATCAAAGAATATAGTACTGGAATTTGGTAACAAACAAAAAAAGATATCAAGAGTAATCACAAAATGCAACACACGAGAGTTAACTTGCTCTTAAGATCGATGCTCATTTAAAAAAAAAACTGACAGATTAAAATAGTACATTAAGGTTAAATCTCAATGATAACGTCAAACCACAACTTTTGAAGATAAACTAAACTTATAAAATGACTTGTTTGTTCTCTTCCCACATAACATGAAAAAAACGCCAACAAGACCTCTCTCGTATGTTGGATTTTTAAGCCTTCTCAATCCTCGTGCAACGTCCCCAACACGTCCTCATCTCGGAAAAGATGATACCTGCGCAGGATCATCACAACAAACATTTTGAGTCCAATCCTACATTTGTCATGTCAACATGTTCTACACATCAATCAATTCGTAAATACAGTGCTGATGTAATTGACATTAATATTCCAATGATCACAAAGTGTTTCCGACTAATCAGGAATTAAACTACTCGGTACAAAATTACATAATTTATATTTTCCATATCTAATTGTAACATATGTAACACAGTTACTAATGTTCCGAGGAAGCATCTGCAATGTAAAATGAACAGAAGACAGTTTAGTTTGACTTACTCTTTCTCTCCGAGTTTGACTTGAGTACCACCGTACTCTGGGAGAAGAACAGTGTCGCCTTCCTTGACAGAAACTGGAATCAATTTCCCGTCCTTATCCCTTGATCCAGGTCCTACTGCTATCACCTTACCCGAGTTCAGCTGTAAATCATCAAGAGAAGCTTAGCGTCTATCAGATCCTTCTGAAAAACCAAATCAAATCAGAAGATAAAAGAAGGCTCATACCTTGGAGGCTTTCTCAGGGAGGAGGATGCCGCTTTCGGTTTTGGCAGGCTGGATGACTCTCTGCACCAGGATGCGGTTGAACGTTGGGATCAGACGCTTCATCATTAGTCTCGATGCTTCACTTTCTCGGGGCTGAGTGTCGGAGGAATTCTAGGGCTCTCTTAATAAGACGGAAGACGGAATGTTCTAGAGAGCAAAATGAGGCCAAGGGTTTAGGGTTTATTCGCACCTACTTGGGCTTTTAATTAGTTCATGGGCCACGCTTATTTCTTGCTAGCCAAGTTCTTCTACACATTGCTGCAGCGACGGGTAATGGCTTGGAAAAAAAAAGAACGGACTCAATAAGCCCATCATGGACTGGTCAGGTCACCACATTGTTCTTTTCCCTACTGATTCAAGAAATTTATGTCTCCTTTTGCTCAGTCCACTCTTAAATATCGGTGGATTTATAGGCTAAAGGATCTGGTTGATATAAAAGGCATCAATGGCGATGAGGCTAATCATGTATAGCAACATTTACAAGGAAACAGATATATAAAAATGTGTCAAAATGAAAATCAGTAGGGGAGGTGAATATTTAGAAAAGGGAGGTAATCATGGAGTTGGAGTTGGTTGGAAAGAGCTCAAAGCTGGCTCTCTGTTGATCAAACGTCTAACAAAGGTATCTACTAACCCCGAAACTCTTGAATTTGTGTCTCCACTAGATGTTTTATAAGATTCAGTTTGTGACACTATAAGTCCAGGAAACGCAGATGGAAGAAGGTTACTATCTACATTGTTTGTCGCAGCTAGCCAATGATTATTTAGTTCATGAAGAAATTGTATATTCTTAGCCAATCAAAGTGCTTGCCTAGTTTTTTTGCCTTGTACAGCATATCAAGGTCTGATCTTATGTGTGTTCATTACATAGTGCGCGTACGTTTCATGCTCTATACACCAAGACATGTTCTTATCTCTCGTGGAGGGAAACTAAACAGTTACGATCCCCATAAAAATGAGGAAAAAGAGTTTGACTCTTCAATAAGATTAGGTACACAGCAGAAACAAGGGGTGTTGTTTTATAAGTCATCGACGCCTCTTAGCCACTACCATCGAGTTGACCTTGAGAAAGAAGGTGAGCCATATATTGCTGCATTTACAAACAAGAAACTCAGCACTTACTTTGTTTTGAATCCGAGAGCTAGCACACATTTCTACTAACATAATGGCACACCAGAAAGTCAGCCTAGACCTAGTGTATTTATGGAACCAGGCCATCAAGAAACTATGTTAAGAAGCTAAACAAAGCCAATAGAGAGATTTAGAAAACATACGGAGTGGTAAACGTATGGAGATTTTCCCTGGCGTTCAAAATGCTTAGCCATTATACAGAACTCCACAGGACCCCAATCCTCAGATTCATAGCAGTTCCCAAGCGCCGCTTTATACAGCTTTAACACCAAACCAATTCCATCAATTTCACACAAATATGTAATCACTAAGAACAAATCAACTCCACAGGACACAACTCAAATGTCTCTGTCAAGACACAAGGACTAACCTTAGCTGTATCGGTAAGAAGTTCGGTACCAGCAGGGTACGATGCATAAAACTGATCTCCCCTTGAGAATCCTGCTCTTGTCCTACAAAAAAAAAATAGAAATTAGAAAAAGCAATAACAATCCAAATGAAGAAAATTGAGATCCGATGTTAAGCTTTGAAGAATTTCATTACGTGTTGTTTGTGTAGAAGAATGTAAGGGCGGCAGTGAAGCTGTAGAAACCAGCGTAAGAGACGACCCGTCGTAACTTCTGGATCTTTAGAATCTCACTGCATACATCCAAGATCATCATCTTCAACCTCAGAAACCTGTGGAAACTCTCTCTCAGGTATTATATCGAACACCTTGTGATCACTTTACCAAAGAAGCACAATCACAAATCAACAATTATAAAGCCATGTATTGACCATCTTATTTTGGGTCTAATGAAGCCTTTTATATTATTGGGTCATTAGAGAATTATCAAACTAGGAAAAGCATACCCAAAATAAAATCGTTAAAAGGTAATAATTTATTCATGTTTATACAATTTAGGTTCGTACCCACTTGTCGATAGTAAAAAACAAAAATAATGTTGGTAGCCACGTTACATTGGTCACAAGACAAATACACAAAAGTATGTTTTGCAATCAAATAATACAAAGCGAATCTTTACGTAAAGCCACGAGCTAGTGGCGATAATGAACCACGTCAAGGTCACCACAGTCTTCTTCTTGCTCTCCACTCTCCTCCTCGCCGTATCCTTTGAGTCTCCACCAACCCCACTCTTTCCCGATGAAGCTCTCCCAACTAAATCCGGTTACCTCCCGGTTAAACCCGCCCCCGGCTCCTCCATGTTCTATACCTTCTACGAAGCCCAAAACCCAACAACTCCTCTCACGGACACTCCGCTCCTCGTTTGGCTCCAAGGTGGGCCAGGCTGCTCTTCCATGATTGGCAACTTCTACGAGCTTGGCCCTTGGCGAGTAGTTTCAAGCGCCACGGAGCTGGAACCAAACCCTGGCGCCTGGAACCGCATATTCGGTTTACTTTTCTTGGATAACCCCATCGGAGTCGGATTCAGCATCGCCGCTTCAAATCAAGACATTCCAAGTAACCAGAGACAGATGGCAGAGCAGCTCTACGCAGCGCTGGTGGAGTTCATCGAGCAGAATCCAGGTTTTGAACACCGACCGGTTTACATAACCGGTGAGAGCTACGCAGGGAAGTATGTTCCAGCCATTGGTTACTATATCCTCAAAGAAAAGCCCAATGGGAAGATAAATTTAAAGGGCTTAGCTATTGGAAATGGGCTAACCGACCCGGTGACTCAAATCAAGACCCATGCGGTCAACGCTTATTATTCCGGTTTAGTCAACGCGAAACAGAGAGAGGAGCTCGAGAAAGCTCAAGAGGTATCCGTATCTCTCGTGAATGCTCAGAAATGGCGTGAAGCAGCAGACGCTAGAACCGAACTATTGACGCTACTGGGAAACATGACGGGACTTGCGACGCTTTACAACACGGCAAGGACGGTACCGTACAGGACAGACCTTGTGGTAGACCTTCTGAACCAAAGAGAGGCGAAGCGGGTTTTGGGAGTTAGTGAAACGATGCGTTTTGAGGAATGCAGCGATGATGTGGAAGAGGCTTTACGTGGAGATGTTATGAAGAGCGTCAAGTTCATGGTGGAGTACGCGTTGGAGAGAACCAATGTGTTGTTGTATCAAGGTATGTTGGATTTAAGAGACGGCGTCGTTTCGACGGAGGAGTGGGTAAAGACAATGAACTGGTCGCGGTTGGAGATGTTTTTGGAGGCGGAGAGGAGGGTGTGGAAAGACGGTGACGGTGATTTAGCTGGGTATGTACAGAGGTGGGGGAATTTGTCACACGTGGCGGTTTCTGGTGCAGGGCATTTCGTTCCGACAGATAAAGATGTTAACTCGAGAGATATGATGGAAGCTTGGGTTTTAGGGAAAGGATTGTTTGGTGGTGAAGATGTCAATCAGACATTAACTTGGAGCTATTGATTCAGAAAAATTGGATTCTGGAAATTTTAGTGGAAGATTTATTGTACTACTAGTTGTGTTGTGTGACACTGAATAAAAGTCTGATTCTGGTTATACTTTGGCTAAACAAACATTAAAAATCTAATCTATTAAAACAGAAGTACAAATATAAATTAACCCTTAAACTTGTACAATATTTACAATCTAATGCCATTAAGAATTAAATAAACTTAATAATCATTGTCTTCTAAACCAAAAGTTTACCTATTTTTTTGTGATTTACATATCTCCTGAAATAAGTTAGCTAGATTTTAGGAATATTAAATTTAAAAACGAATTTAAATATTATGTAAATATTATCAAATATCACATAATCCCACAAATTTAGTTCGTAAGGCCTAATATATGTATACACAAATTTAGTTCGTAAGGCCTAATATATGTATAAATATGTTATTTTAAGTATATTTTTATATAAATAATAACTCAGTACAAATCAAATATATAAATATCGATCAGTATAAAATATATATAAGACTTTAAATAATATTATATAACAGTTTCATCTACATTAAAATTTAGATTCATACAAAAATAAAAACACATTTGTGGAGATCCTACAAGTCATATTTAAAAAATGTAAATAATAAAATTAACGGCTCAAAAATAAAATAAAACTATTCACTAGAAACTATAAAAATATTGTGTTTACAATATATATATTAAAAAGTTATTTACTATATACAGTAAAAAAATTAAAATATATACTACCGCTCGTAGAAAGATAAATCTATTTTTTTTTGTAAATATGAAAATGAAAACATGTGCAGGTGCACGGTCAAGCAGTAGTTCTTATTATGACTTAAATATATACAAATCAGGGTTTTATGGTTGCCTAAGCTTTTGGAGTTTGACTATGAGATATAATATAAGCAAGACAAAGATAATATGGTTGCATATGCGTTATCTCGTGTGGAGGTTCAGAGATTTTACATATGGCCATGACGGTTTTGGAGTGTGATTTGATAAGAAATATTAAGGAGGTGTATGAGAGGGATTTGGTATTGAAGAATATCATTTAAGAGTTGAAGAAAATCCCTCAAGAGTAAACGATTCTACTCTTGGTATCAGGGAATATTAAGAAGGAATAATAAAATTATGGTTCCATCACTGGCGAGCCTCGGAAACATGATATTGCAGTGATTACATGGATGATCCGGTTACAATATAGATTTTATATATCCACAAATTATATAAAACACAAATGTAATATAATACAACTTATGTATTTACCCTATTCACTTTTAAAAATGAAAATTTTTTAAAACAAAATTGCTAGAGATCTTTTTTAATTGTTATTATTATTGTTGTCTAAATAATTAATATTTTTTTAAAAATATCTATAAAATCATAATTTAAAAAATAATTTCAAGAAAAATAATAGTTTAATAAAAAACACCATATGTGCGAGACATTCTAATATTTTACATTTAATTTTTAGTTTACCAACTAAACAAAAAAGTATATATCAAAAACATACAATCTGATAGTTAGAAAAAAAAAGACACTAAAAAATAAACAAGATACACCGACATAAGAACTCTAAAAATTATGATACATAAATATTAATTTTTCGAAACTCTCAAACCTATAACATCAAAACTCTCAAACCGACATCAGAACTCTCAAATACATAAATATAAATATTTTTTACAACTAACACAAATATATAATTATAAAGAACACACATCCGCGCGGGCGCGCGGGTCAAAAGCTAGTAATAATTAAGAGTTAGAAATCTCATCACATCTATTAGACGTTTGCTTTTGATATAGTTTTTGGATTATCCTTCTCTTTGAATTTTTAAAATAAGAGGTATTTGAGTAAACTAGTTCTGGTCATACTTGGGAAATTACATTTGTACGTGCAACTGATCAACCTGTCCTGAAGTTATTACTGTTCTTGGATATAATTGTCCTCTGGATTTGATAAAAAAAAAACAAAAATAATAATAATAATAATAATAATAATTGTCCTCTGGAAATTTTTGTGAAAGATTTAGAGTAAATTGGGTGAAAAACCATAGAAAATGCACAAATTAAGGATGTACCCATAACAGAAAATTGTATTGTAATGGGTATATGCTAATGACGAAAAAACCCTTTCCCACTTGCACAATAAACTTCTGACTATTTTTGGTATATAGGATGTATAGGTGTATCAAAATTAATTAGATTTTAGTAAGATTCTGTATAGATATTCTGTAGATATTGGAAGATATTATTAGATTGCATCGGTAAAAAAAAATAGAAACAGTAGCAACTTCAGGCGATTTCCCATCCACATATTCTCTGACGCAAGTGGCACATACCAAAAAGGAATCAAACTCAAAGATTTGTCTCTTCTATTTACACACGCTGGTATACATGGTGTGAGGCATTAGGTTTTGCAATACTAGTCTAACATGTACATACAAAGTTTTACGAAACATATTGGACGGCTAACAAAAATACTTGCCCTTTAAAAATAATAAATTTCAGGTATTATCTTCTCCATTTCATATAAAATGTTCCAATTATATTTACTCTCTATTGCAGTATATATAATTGGACGGCTAACAAAAACATTTGCCCTTTAAGATCTACGAAACACATTGGACGGCTAAAAAAAAACTTATCCTTTAAAAAATATTAATTATCGGTTATTATCTTCTCTATTACATGTAAAATGTTCCAATTATATTTACGAGTCAATGGTTCAGATGCCCTTATACAAAAAAATTAAATCACTTATACCCTCCACTAATCTACATACCCTTCACCATTTTATGAAAATCCCAAATAAATCATTCCCAAGCGATCAAAACTAAACAAAAACCCCCCTATGGATAAGTGAACCCATGGGTAAATCTTTAAATTCTATATGTTTCAAATTCAAAAAAAAATATTTTAAAATCGTTTTTAATCATATTTTGATGATTTTCGGAAAAATATGAAAAAACAGTTTTTTGATATTTTTCAGAAAATCATCAATATATGATTAAAAACGATTTTAGATTGAACAAGCACATATGTTGTTGGTTGTATATATATATATTAGAGAAGGGTCAAGATACTAGTTTCACTAAACGTTTGCCAGCTAACTGATATCCCATACATCAGACCTCCGAAGGAGAAACATAACCATACCCATCCTAGTAATTTAGACGGTTACTTCAAAGTTTAACCAGCAAAATACCAACCCCAAAAGGATACCCTTTGCTGTAACCGGCCAAAAAAAATTGTTCCCCACCCTTAAACCATGAACCCTAAACCCCAAAACCCATAAGAGTAAACCCAAAATAAATATCGTAAACCCTAAACCCAAACGATTAATCCCTAAACCCTAAACCACTTAACCCTAGACTCTAAAACCTAAAACCTAGACACTAAACAATCAACCCAAAACCTAAAGTAAATACCCTAAACCCTAAACCCTAACCACTAAATCTTAAAACCTATAACCGTAAACCATATACCCTAACCATTATCCCAAACCGTAACCACTAACCCTTAACCCTAAACCTTTTACACTAACCACTATATTCTAAACTTTCAAAAACCCAAAACTATTATGATAATTAGGCTAAATAAACGGTTAGCTGGAATTCCTATTTATTGTTTGTGAAACATTAAACATTACCGTGTACGAATTAAATTGAATTTCATACACATGCCAGACACTATAGATGACGGCACTAGTTTGATGAAATAGATAATGTCGGCACTAGTTTTTACAATTCAAAAATCTTTTTGGTGTGGGTTAATTAATGTAATCTGACACTATAGATGACGTGTGGCAGGGAATTTTATTTCTTTGATTTTCTAATTTTTGTAGGGAAACAAAAGGAGCTGTTTTGCTCGTAGGGGTACCAGAGACTTTTTAACATGTGAACAGTTATGATTTTTTCGTTCATTGGCATTTCTCTAAATACACATCTTCCCTTGGTGTGAGGCCTAATTTCTCAAAGATTTATTATGCTTGTTATCTGACACTGAATAAAGTTCTCATTTTTTAGTTTTAGTTTGGCGAAACAAACATGAAAAAATAATACAAAAGAGTCAGAAATCTCGTGTGGAAAATCGACGCTCATCACATCTATAAGACGTTTGCTTTCGATATAGTTTGGATTTCATCATTCTCTTTGAATTTCTAAAATAGCAGATATGCGTAAACTAGTAGTTCTGGTTAAAATTTTGGGAAATTAAATTGGACGGTCAACTAATCAATTTTTCCTGAAGTTATTAATTTTTTGGATACAATTGTCCTCTGGAGTTATAATGAAAACTATAAACATAATGGCATGAATTAAGAAAAAAAACATGTTATGGCGATTGGAGGCGGGATTATGGAAAAGAGATTCAAAGTGAAAAGTAAGAAATTACTCAACACCAAGAAAGCACATAGAAACCCGTACTATGAAGCCATTTTATCGTTTTAGGGAAGAAGAAGCAAGGGCACCCCGTAGAAAACCTACAGGTATTTCAGAGCTATTTATAAAATCTCTCCCCTTTTAATTTTGCTTCGTTCCCCCGATTCATATTTTCCAGAACAAAAAAAACATTACCACTAATGAAAGAAAAGCCAAATGATTTGAACAACTCCGACAAGAGAAAACGATCAACATAAACCGAAAGCTCTCTGATACGTTTGAAACCCTAAATGCGGCTCTATTTCAATCTCAGAAACTCGCACCTTTTATAATGCGACCTCAAGAAAATTAGGGCTTACGATAGTCACTGGAGCTGGGCTTACTTCAAATAGAGTTTGGAGTTAAATATTTAACCATAAAGCCCATTGGGCTTCAGTATATACTACGTCTCCGTTGTTTGATTGATCTAATACGCTCATCAGCCATCATCCCCTCTCTATTATTTCTTAACTCAATGGCTGCTGGCTGCTAAAACAATAAAATAGATAAACCCTTATGATCAGTCCATGATTATGTTAATCATTAAGAGCCAACCGTCTCGTACGTAAAAAAATTACATAAACAAATTAGAGGTCAATGGTCATATAATTATTGTTTCTTTATACAATAATGAATTAACGATATAGCTCCAAATTAACTTCCATCATCTTTTTTCTTCTGAGCTTCATGTGTTTGATGTATACGTAACTAATCTTGAATCTCCGACCGTGTCCTCAAACTTGTAAAAGACGTGTACCTGATGAAGTCGATGAGTGAAACTATAAGGAACATGAGGAATGTGGTCCTATCAATACTACAATGAGGCTAACGCGTAAAATATTTTAATTTCTTAAAGCCAAAGTAATCTTTGTCCGTTTATATCAAAACAAAAATAAAAATCTATTCAAATACTTCCTCTATAAATAATGTTACCCAATCCATCAACCTGTGTCCTGAGCATCAAAAAAAAAAAATGGAAGGCACACTGATCTCATTGTCGCCACTCAGGTTCCACCCTTTGATGACGTCACAAAGAATCGCTACCGTAACCAAGAGGAGAAAACAAACCACCGTGTGTTGCGACTACTACTACAAAGGAGGGAGAGTGGTGGACGAGAACATGGTGGTGCTTCGGAAACGGATCCATGAGATGAAGATGGTTGAGAGAAACTATGAACCTCCTTCCCATTGGATGCAGTGGGAGAAACGTTTATACTGCGGCTATGACGCTATTATCTGTGACGCTCTCTGTATTCTCCAAACTTTCCTTATGAACTCTCGTCCCAGCGTCGCGTTTGGAACGTTGCTTCTTATTCTCGTTAGCGTTCCCGTCTCCACTGCTTTCTTTGCGTTTCGCATCCTTGACATCTTTCTTTGGCTTATCAATGCCATTCACGTAGGATGATCGTGTCGTGTTCGTGTATATTGTCTTAAATGTGTTTATATTTTATTGTAGTTTAATTTTTTTTCGTTTCCTAAGATAAGAAGAATCCTATTTTGATATAAAAGAGATCACAGACAATATGAAGACTAATGTTTCAAGAGAGTAACCAACTGATGTGGTGGATTATATTTTTCCAACGACTTCAAAGCACCCATTAAATTCAAAAAAGTTTATAAAATACGATTCCAAACGAACAATTTCAACGAACATTTTCAGTTTCTAGTATTTTATATGTTCAAAAGGATCTAATAAAAGAACTATTCTGTTTTGAGATATGTATAGATATATAAGAGGGTCTATTGTATATTCCAAAACTGAAGAGAAGAATCTATACAAATTCGTAAACAGGACCTGAAGCAGGTGACTCTGTCTATGTTGTTTGTGAGTTGCAACGAAAACAAATCTCAGCTTCAGTTCCAGCTAATTCCTCTGCTTGAATGTCAAAACATGTTAGCTTCTTCCTCTGTAAATTAAATTTCATCTCTCCTTTTCCCTCTCGCTTTCATTGTTACCGAATGTGTTCATAACAATAAAGTTACTGTTATATCTCTTTAGATAATGCGGATTGTGGTAATACTTCCGGTTCTTCTGCTGCGTCCTCCAGTAACATGCAAGCGCCCCAAATGCGCAGCTTGCAAGTGCTATTGCCAATGCAGCTCCCACCGGCACAACTAGAGCGTTGGCAGGCACTGCCATTTCTTCCACAGCTGCAACCACCTCCTTCTTGCTCGCACCGTCACTGTTTTTCTTGTAAGAGGACACAAGTCTCTCTCCGTAGTACTTCTTCAAGAATTTATAGACTTCATCGTGATCCCAGTCAATGTTCTTCTGAGTGCTCGAAAGGTAACATGACGGGCAAAGCTGCTTTGGTGGCCATATCATCTTTGGGAACTTGGGATCTCCTGTTCCGAGAGAGGCTTCGTCTTTCTTGAGTCTCTCGTTGACCTTGTTGTGAGTGCTCCACAGCCATAAGACGATGTCACGTGCCTTTTTAAACGGAGTTTTCACGCTGGCAAATGAAAACACATGAGCTGTTAGATGAGAAAGGATGGGATAAACGAGTGCGCTGACTTTACCTTAAGCACATGTCGTGAAAATGCTGGCGGCATTCATCACACATGAAGAAGTTGTTGATGAAATCACAAATGGTTGTGAATGCAAACTGACTTTCTCCATCTTCAATCCTCACAGAAAGTGAATGCATCATTATCCATAGTCCACAGCTGCAGTCAAACCATTTTGAAAGAGTTCATATGCTATCCTATCACCAAACTAAATAACTTGACCAAGGACTGTTTGCAAAACACTACCTGAACCCCCTAGTTTCATTCTTGCTGCCACGGCAAAACATCTGGCAATGCATATAACATCGAAGAGTTAGATATCTCTGCGTTTAAGCAGTGAAATGAAAACATTAAAGCAAATTGTTAGGCTCACTTACGTAATGTCCACGCGGAAGATCATTTCCACATATATGAAAGTTTCGTAGGGTATTATTCACTGCAGAATCCTGGCCATAAGAGCATTCGCCTGACGGGCACAAATCATCAAAATTCACGAGAATTTCAGCACTTCCCTTGCGACACCTATGGAGGTTTCATATAGTAGATTAGGTATAAGAGAAAAGAATGGAGCTGAAAAAACGTGAATCTGAATAAAGAAGTTGGTATTTAACCTTCTTGAAGGATGATGTGGCACTAAAAGCTGTAGGAACCTCATAAACGAAGTACTTGTTTCAGATGACTTGATTGCCTGTGGTCATCATCCACTACTCATCAACAAGGCTAAAAGGGATTATTCTTGCAAAACTCAAAGACATGCTCTACCTTATGTGACAAAATAATATCAAAAGCTTCTTCAGTTGCCTCCTCAATGTCATATAAAGCCTGAGAAATCTGTGATAAATCAACAACCAGCTCTATTTAGTCTCTTAGAATACCATTATAGCAAAGTAAGGGCGTTAAAATTTCTAAGAGACCTGTTCTTGGTCAGGTATATTTGTCAGGAGATTCTCATTTCCAAATTTCTGATCATCTAACCCATAAGAACTGCACAACATTGAAAACAAAACAGATTTAAACGAACATGGATTTCCATATTAGCCAACATAGAGAGAAATTTAAGCAGAGTAGATATGATGACTTCAGTGTAAAAAAAAAGCTTTGAATGCATGCTGACCTGCCTATCTGCTTATTAATCCAGCTCAACAAAAGATCAGCAGTGCGCCAATCATCCATCACAATAATCTCACTTTTATCTAGTTTAGGTCCCCATTTTCCACCAACGAACATCCTGGGAGGGGCCCAAAACAGCATTGGATAATGCTTAATGGAGAACTTGTCACAAAGCTCCACATTCATCTGCTCTGCCAGAAAAGTCACAAACGAACAATTAGACTAAAATTGCATAAACAACACAATAAGAATCAATATTCAGTCCCCAACATGTGACACTTGACCCACTTGAAGTAAGTGTCCGTCCCAATAAAAACAAGTTAGATGGGGGCAAGTACCTTTACAGCACAATCAACTCTGGCCATTAAAACGAGGCCAGGATGTACAGCGTCTGGTCCATTGAACAGCCTCGCCACTTTCTCATAATGCGGCTGCAGAGTCACACAGTTTCAAACGCATTGAATACAAACAGCTTTTGACAAGACAAAGACATTGTATTTACCTTGTAGTTTCTACACGCAGGGCACCTTGAATCCCATCATCAATTTAGCCACATACGAAAACAATTATCAACATCAGTACCTCAAAAAAAAAAAAGCCTTTCACATTCAATTGGTAAAGTTAAGTCTTTTTTTCTGGCAAATGTAAAGTTAAATTCCAAAACAACGAAAAAAAAACAGTAGAAACCAATTTTTTTTTTAAAAAATGGAAAATTTGTTCAGACAGAAGATCAGAAAGACTAACCAATGAGCGAAGAACTCCAAAACAGCGTATTTGGCGGGTGTGTCTCGGAAGACTGAATCAAAGTTCGTAGCGTTTAATTCAACGGCGTAATCTTTCTGATCGGCGATGGCATTGCCAATGTCTCTGAGAATCGAGCGCGATCCAGGTGAAAACGACGCCGTAGCTTTAACGCTAACCAAACCCACGAACAGGAACAAATGTAGCAAAGACATGATCCGAAAGCTCGAGACTTTTTTTTTTTTTAATTCAAATTATCTTCCTTTTTTCTTTGTATGGAAAGTTTCACTTCGATTAAACGAAGAAGAAGCGTTACAGAGGGAAGAAGATCTAAGAGAAACTGAGAGCTTTCCCTCCCCTTCCGTTGAGAAACGAGGACTGTAACGACGTCGTATAGTGCTTTGACCGGTGACGATAGCTGCTCTCCGACTACTACTTTCATAATAGGCTTTACTAATACTATTACAATTAAAGCCCATTATATTTAAAACCCATTAAATGAATTGGTTGGGCCGATGGAAAGTGGATAGAATACTGGCTGAGTCAGCAAAAGCTTGGAAAAATCGACAGTGTGATTCCAACCACAAGTCAACACCATCTGTCTTAGTCGGAAGGACACACCTCACACATTAACATACACACTATTTATATTATCGTAAATTCGTAATTGTCAACACTTCTCCTGCATTATCTTTTGTTTTGTTCCTTTTTCTGTACGGGAAAGTAAAATGACACTAAAATGTAGCTATCATGTGCACATCCTCTACCTCTAGTAATAAAAAGAGAACTCTAATAAAAAATAGGGAAAAATTGACAAAATAATCCTCAACTTGCGAAAATAAGCCAAAAAAATCTCCAACTCACAAACAAGCCGTTTTAATCTTCAACTTCTAGTCAAACACGAATAAATCTCATACTTTCGTTGACCAAGCCATTTTAATCTCGTCAAAATTCAACCGTTTAGTTCCGTTAGTTATATTTAACAGTTGACTTTTAATGAGCCTAAAATGGCTTAGTCAACGAAAGTATGAGATTTTTTTTTATTTTAATTTAAAAGTTGAAAATTAAAATTGTATACTTATCTTAACTAAAAATTGCTATTTTTTTTTTTATTTTTTTCAACAAAAATTGTAGTTTATCATATCGATTAGAATGACAAACTTAATAAAATATTTTCAAATAAGCTTAGTTATAATATTTTTAAATGAATTAAAAACAAAAACTTGTTTAGTAAAAAAATTTGGTTAAAAATATAATTATAATGTAAATCCAGATATAAAATAAAATAATTAAGTGCTTATGTTCAAAAAAATTAAGAATAAAAACATAAAAGTTAAAGGTAAAACCCTAAACACATTATTGTTAAAAGTATAATCGCATATACTCAATAGAGGATGAAATAAGTGAAAATGTGGAACTCAAGTGCGTGAAAGGGATTTCCAGCAGCTAATTTATATAAATTTTTTTAATTCGTTTTTAAATATTATATCTAAACTTATTTGAACATATATTATTAAGTTAGTGATTACAATCAATATGAAAAATTATATTTTTTCGTGTCAGTTAAAAAAAATAATTTTAGTTAAGATATTTTTAGGTAAGCAATTTTAATCTTCAATTTTTAAATTAAGTTAAAAAAATCTCATACTTTCGTTGACCAAGCCATTTTAGGCTCATTAAAAGTCAACCGTTAAATATAACTAACGGAACTAAACGGTTGAATTTTGACGAGATTAAAATGGCTTGGTCAACGAAAATATGAGATTTATTCGTGTTTGACTAGAAGTTGAAGATTAAAATGGCTTGTTTGTGAGTTGGAGATTTTTTTGGCTTATTTTTGCAAGTTGGAGATTATTTTGTCAATTTTCCCTAAAAAATAGGGATATTACAAAGAAATAGAAGAGAAAAATGAAACTGTAATACCGACGTCCACGTGCATGAATTCATTTTCTGATATCAGGAGAAGTGGCAATATATATTGCATTCAGTCTGACATGTTTAATTCCCTGATTTGTGTGACTATAGTAACTGAAAACCATTTTAGTATACTGTGTTCTCATTTCTTCGTTTTCATATATGTAATTTGTATACAATATTCATTGCCTGAAAAGTAACTAAAGGAGAATTAAGAAAACATATTCATCTCCACCTTCAATTTATATATATTTTGTGAACTAACTACAAGAAATGAATATTTTTGTAAAGTCTACTAAAATAGCAATTTCAAAAGTCCAATCTAAATAATGTTTTTAGCCCCTTGCCGTCAATATCTAAGATCCCACCACATATAGTATAGCCTTACCAAGGCCATGGGCATATTTGTAATAAACCCCTTCGATTATACGAATTTCTCACTTCTTCCCTTTTTGTTTTGAAACTATAACACATAACCCAATAATTCCAATTAAGAACATTGTAGTCTTTCTTTTAGACAGCTTCAAATAATCATATCTTCCTTCAAAGAAAAATGAGAGAAAATTGTTTTCAAACCAAACAGAAAGAACTCTTTCTCACATACCCATTGTCCAATGACAGTGGCCTGGGTGTATTAATTGATAAGGGTTAAGAAGTACGGGGAAAGAAGTAACTAATCACAAATAAAAGGTCGAATTGTGCAATAAATAAAACAATTAGTGGTGCCATCTCATTATTTTGACTCACTCGTCTCCCTCTCTTCTCTGCAGTGAATCAAAATCTTCTTTCTCCTCATTTGCTTCAATCACTTTAAAAGTTAAAACTCATTTCTTTTCTGCAATCTCTCCTAACTCGTCGTACCCTCCTCTCAGAATCTCCTATTCAAACCTGCTTCGTAATCTTGTCGGAAAAAAGCTTTTTTTTTTTCAAATAAAAAAATTTCGCAAGAGGTGAGTCGCGTCGCGTGGGTACGACAAGTGGGACGAGTGTTGTTGTCTAATCGTCGTCGTTTTAAGTCCCGTGTGGTGTGTGTGAGTGAAGAAGAGATGTTGAGTGGTGGTTTACAGTTGACTAAGCTACAGAGAGCTCTCACCGACGCATCTAATGTCAGATCGGTTTACAATAAAGAATGCGAGAAAGAGTCTGCGTTTGAGTCGACAACAAGTAATGTAGAACGGTTTTTGGACACGGTCACACCGTATGTGCCTGTCCACTATCTCTCCAAGGTTTTGTTTCAAACATGTCAAAGTTAAAAGTCAATACCTTTTTTTTAATAAAGACTATAACTTTTATACGGTTTTTTAGCTAATGATTTTGAGTAGTTGCAGGAGGCTCCTTACTTCGTTCTTGGAGATGTGTGGGAATCTTTTGCAGAGTGGAGTGCTTACGGCACTGGAGTTCCTCTCTCTTTGAACAACTACAAGGATCGTGTTATTCAATACTATGTTCCTTCTCTCTCCGCCATCCAAATCCATACTAATTCTAATGTCTCATCTCTTCAAGCAAGGTGAAATGTCATTATCTTGTGTTTGTTGTTGGATCAAGTGTTCATCAAGTTCTTGTCTTTTTTTTTTTTAAGGCGGACAGGTGAGGAGAGTGACAACGATTTCAAGGATTCTAGTAGTGAAGGAAGCAGCAGTGACTCAGAGAGAGGACTCTGTATTTATCCGAAAGAGCAGATCTCTGTGAGTATGGACCAACTCTCGTTAAGAAAGGAGCATCTGGAAGACTTTTCCAGTGATGATGATGGCGAGAGTTTAAGCTCTCAAGGTCGTTTGTTATTTGAGTATCTTGAACGTGATCTTCCTTACATCCGTGAACCCTTTGCCGACAAGGTTTGTGTATATTAACTCTGAATGTCAAGTTATCAAGGCATGTGTACAAGTTATTAGAAAAACAGGTTAAGTGTGCTTCAGACTAAAATATTAAACATCTTGTAGATCGAAATAAATTCTTTTATGCGGCTACACGGAAGTTAGGTACAGAGAGAGGCATTTATTGATGTTTTGAGCTTCTTGTGTAATGCTTTCTGTAATCAGTTAACTTTGACTTTTAAATGCAAACATTTGTAAGTGACATATGAAAGTAATATGAGTCAAACTCAACAACTCTTCATGAGGGATGTTCAACTACTGTCTAGCAACTTTTTCAAATCTCAAATGAAAATGCAATTTCGATAGCTGTTTATATTCAATTGTTATCATTGCAGATGTCTGACCTCGCCTCTAGATTTCCTGAGCTGAAGACGCTGAGAAGTTGTGATTTACTACCTTCAAGCTGGTTCTCTGTGGCATGGTATTGTTCTTTGTAGACCATGCGCATGTGCTTTATTCCACGGTGTCCCCTAGAGTCTCTTAGAATCCTTTACTATACTTTTGTAGGTACCCAATTTACAAAATACCTACAGGACCAACGGTCAAGGATCTAGATGCTTGTTTCTTGACGTATCATTCACTTCACACGCCCTTTCAAGGTAAGATTACCACTTCTGCATTATTTACATGTTATAAACACTTCTTCACACCATTTTTTAAGTCAATCAACCAGATTATGAGGCTAGCTAACATTTGGATAAATATTTCATTTCACTATCTTTGGCTCTTTTAGGTGCAGGCGTTGCAACACAGTCTATGTATGAACCAAGGGAAAGCGTTGAGAAGACAGCACTGCCTATCTTTGGCCTTGCCTCATACAAATTGAGAGGCTCTGTATGGACAAGCATCAAGGGCTCCGGGAACCATCTCGTGAACTCCCTTTTTCAAGCTGCAGACGATTGGCTGAGGTTGCATCAAGTCAACCATCCTGATTTCATCTTCTTCTGCCGATGATGATAGGATTATTATGACAAAAAAAGATGTAGGAAACTCTTTATAATTACTGTCCTGAGGAACTCATATATACATACATATAGGGAACTTCATGTATTGGGTTTGATCATCAGACTTTATTGTGAACCCTTCTCAAATGGTGATGTATACAGAAAACTAATTTTCTTTTATATTGCAACATGTTTTTGCAATTAAAAAAAACTAATAGTTGAGGAAAGACTATGTCTCAGTTTCAGGTTCCAGCAGCTTCCTCTTGATGGCATCAGAGCAAAGACGAGCCATCATACGGTGGAATGAAAGAAGCTCAGATAAACGCTCCTCGGACAACTTATCCATTGCTCTCTCTTGCTCCTCTTTCCTTTTCATCCTCTTCATATACACACACGAGTTCCTCACCGTTGCTCCCATCTGCTTCAACCTATTCTCTTGTTTCTGGCTTAGAACCGTGTTTGCCTCTAGAAGCTCAGCCATGGAGAAGCTTTTGACTAACGTCTTCTTCTTCATCTTCAGCTCCATCACAATCTCTGCTGCGTCTAGTTGCTTCTTCTGAAACGCAGTCACAGCTTTCACAAACTCCTGATAAGCAGTAGCACATCCAGGATAATCAAACTCATCAGATCCCGAGAGTCTCATCCTCTCTGGATGAAACTGCAGACCCACCAGAAACTGACCTTCCTCTGGATCATAACGGTTCGGATCATAGAACCCTTCTATCAAACCATCAGGAGCATAAGCCATGGGAACAAAACGTTCCCCTAGTCTCTTCACAGCTTGGTGATGATACGAATTCACCATTATCTGATCCATCTCACCAAACCATTTATGCAACGGTGTCTCCTCAACAACTCTAGCCTCGTGCCTATGCTCATCGTAGTTGTTATAATCTATATGCTTCGTCGTAGTTCCAAGCTCCTTGTCAATGTCTTGGTAAAGAGTTCCTCCAGCTGCCACGTTGAGGATCTGAGAGCCACGACAAATGCCTAAAAAGGGAATGTTTCTTTCGAGACAGAGTTTAGCTAGAGTCAGCTCGATGCTGTCTTTCTCTTTGTCGATGGTCGTGTCACTCTCGTGCAACCTCTTGATCTCCTCCATGTCTTCTTGAGAGAGTCCTTGGTTGTGTTCTGCGTCTTCGTAGAGAGAAGGGTCAACGTCTTCTCCTTCGCAGAGGAGTACACCGTGGATAGGCTCAAAGCTCTGGAGCATAGAATGTATCCCGCTGACACGTGGTACGATGACAGGAACTGCACCGTTTGAGACGATGAGATCGAGATGGTACTCTCCTACAAAGTCCACGAACTTGTTTTTGCGTAGTGTCCGACGAGAGACGATGAGAACTCTAGGGAGAATCTTGGAAGAGAGATGATGATCATTAGCAACCACCATGTTTTTAATTAAGAATCTTGTGTTATATGTCTTTTGTTCTAGTTCTTGTTTGTATGTTGTTATGGTTCTTACGTTGTAATGTTTGTGTTTCTTATTTATAGATTGGAGACGCAGCGTACAGGCAATGCATAGGCTTACACTGTTTCCTTCTGTTACATCATCATGTTTATCTGGTCAAAGCTTTACAGCTAGATGCTGGCGTGGACTTTTCTGGATATACCAATTTTTGTTTCCTTTTTTGTTAGGTTGGATGATTTAAAAAAAACGTTACATTTACATATATTTGTAAATAATAAATGTGTTTCCGGATTGGTCTGATTAGATATGAATGGATGACTCAGTGACTTGTAATCAAATATTAGGCAGGCGTTAAGGCATAACATTACTATCTTTATTATTCTTTTTATATATTGTACGTAACGCATATCTTCTGTATATGGAAAGTGTTGAATTAAATTATGGATATCACGTTCCACGTTAAATTTTTAAAATCATCTTTAATCAACCCCTTGTTTTTGTTAATTAGTCTTTAGTCATGCATACGTGTAAGATAACGCCGTAGAGTTCAAACCAATTGGTAAATGTAAGTGGAAGAGAGATCAAAAAGCAGAACCAGAAAGAAGCTGACATGGACATTAGAACAAAATGTAGAGGGAGATGAGAAAATCGTCAAAGTTTTTGAGCATAAAAGAAAAGTAGAGAATCGTTTCTTCTTGTTATTCTCAGCCGCTCCACGCTTTCTACCAACTCCCTGCCATGTTACAGAGCGCTTTATTTGAGTAATATTACAAGTTTGAATACATAGAAAAAGTTTTGAGAGTGTACTTCCATGAAACATCCCAAGCCTTCCTCCAAGTGCCTTCTCTGTCTTTGTAAACCAAAGAGAACTCCGACTTTGTCTCGAACAACTTTAATCCCGACACACTGTGCATCCCTGCAGAATGTCATCAAAATCGTCATCAATCACGTGTAATTCTATTAGGAACATTACAACTTACTCATATTTGAATCAGTGAGATCATCAGAAAAAAAATGACTGAGATAGAAAACAAGCACGCACATACTATGGCAAGTGGTGAACAAAGTTCCAACATGGGAGACTAAATATGCAACATACCAGTCGTCCTCTCTCACTAAATCATTCATAGTGTGCATAACGTGGTCCGTCTGGTGATCCAAGTAACTTATAAGTGACCAGGAAACAGCTTAACAGTGTCTGCCATATTCACAAGGAGTTGTGGTGGTGAGAAAACAAAATGCATGTTTGTGCATATCAAATGTTTTTAACTTGGGGACCCTCTCCTCTTCAGAATAAGTAAAAACAACTACGTTAGTTGTGCTTCCGTTGATTTTTTTGGGCTGGGCTGTAGCCAGATTGTATGAAAAAGGCCGTATGGCTCGTAGTGAGGGAAAAACAGGCTTGACACCAGTTAAATTTATGACACCATTAGCTAACCAACGAGTAGAGACCCTAGAAAAGGAGGGATACAAAAAATCTAGCCTCACCTTGTGGCTAAGAGCCATCTGAGCTATTGCAGTTTATTGTTGACAGTTTACACTTGTGAATCCTAGAATCAAAGCCATAAGTTTGAGAATTACAGAATAAATACTTATATTTTTGGGTCCAAAACAAATACAGAGTTCAAAACTGGATTTTATGAGTGTGCATGACTAATATAAACGACTAGGCTACACATTGAGTCGATAACATAGTACGTTACTATATATGATAAGATTTGTGAAAGTGATAACTAGTTTACATGAATTTGTTATCTTCTCTTGTTCAATGGTCATTTGGGACCTGTTAGCTACTACATTGATGTTATTTTCTTCTTGTCAAAAGGTAATGCGAAAGGATATTTGTGGGGTTCAAGGCCCATGCGTCGCTTAGGAATTGACCCACTGCCGTTTGGCCTTTCCTTGATTTTAGGATAACATAATTTTCTCAATTCACACTCTTTTCTACCTTTGAGTATCCAATGATTGCTTTTATTCAGTAGGAGTATATTTTATGGCCGTTGAACGAGCAAATAGTAAAATATGAACCATTTTATTTAGGCTTTTGATGACTTTGTCCAGTGAGGTTTGCACTCTATGTCTTGGATTCCTCCTAAAAGTCACTCTTTTTCACCTCCTTTTACTTTTACCTTTGTTGAATTATGCAAAATATAACTTCCTTATTATAGTATTAAAATAATATTTTTATTGTTGTATAATTGACTAATCAAGTGAGCTGTCTATGGACTAGAAACTTGGAAAGATTTGAGTTCAGCTGAGAGTTATAATTTCACCATTCTTGTAATATTATTCATAGGACACTCGGTAACAATTCAAAGATTATTAAAGGTTAATGAGTTCCTTTCATCCCAAGAATATACTTCTAGTTAAGAGATCGATCGCAATCATATTATTTATTTGTGTGTAGTGTAGTCTGTATAAACCATTTATGGCTGATTATTGTTATCATTTTGAAGACTCAAAAAGTGTAATAGCATTATGATTATGGCTTAAAGCAAGCCATTTGACTTCCTATACACACACACGGGCCTCCTACTAATAGGAAAAAGGCAGTGCTCATATCTTAGAATTATCATTATGTCGATCATAAAAAAGTAACAAGTTAATAGTATGTCAAACCAAAACAAAAAGATGATCAGCATACAAAAAGAAATGAAAAAAAAAAAACAAATGAATGACGCAGAAAGTGGCGTTATCATGATGTATTACAGTCTAATCTGAGTAGTGCGGTGTGTGGACGGCCAAGATTGACGGAAGGCGTGAGAGCAGTCCTACTCACAGTGTAAATGGGAATATTACGTAAGAGTGGAGGGTCAACGTAAATAGATATAAAGTTGTTACCTTTTTGTCTATTTAGTCACTAAAGTGTAAAGACGTTTGACAAAAACTGAAAAAAGTTTTACGATACGATAAAATTGAGACCCACCTCTCTGACTACCACCATACGTCTTCTCGTATGTTCTGTTTCTTGAATTGTGATTGCTTTGCGAAATGTAGATGTGATTACAATTAGAAAGGCTACAAGACAATGAGTTTAACTTAGAATTTGAGATTAATTACTAGTGAATTTATTAAAGCTCTAGATCAGTGGAATTAACATGGATTGGGACTTGCATTGGACGACGAATGAGTAGCCCAATCAGCACACAAAAACATACATATGTGTGTGTACAATATAAAGAGAACGTACGGCGACATGGATGACCAAATGAGGAAGGCCCATTTTATTTGTCTGCTTATAACCTAACATCCAAATCTATATTCATTGCTCTACGCGTCTTGTTTTGTTTTTATGTGCAGAAATTACTAGTTTCTTTATAAGAAAAATGAAATTACACTACCAAGAAACGTATGCAATGACCAAACTACTAACAAAGTAATAAAATAGCGGAAGTGCCTGAAGCTAAACAATTTTTTCACAAATAATCATGAATTAAAAAAAAATCATGAAATGCTGGTAAACCAACTTTTATAGGTTGGTAATTTGTTCTTTTTTAAGAATAATTTGTTGTTTTTCTAATTATGTTATCATATGTAAAAATTATTTTATGAAAAAGCAACAAAAATAAAAATAGAAAAAGTAGCGGAATTGCGTTAATCAAATATAAAAACGTGAAAATATTATGCCATTCAACACTGGCGTGCTATAATTCAAGTATTTTCCATTTGGTATAACACAAATGCCACAAAAATAAAAATACAAACGTTATATTAGTATGAACAAAATAAAAAGATAACCTCGTAAATATAACACTGGCGTGCATAATTCGAGTATTTTCCATCTGGTTTACACAAATCCACAAAAATAAATAGACAAAAGTTATATTTGTATGAGCAAAATATAAAGATAACTAGAGATGGACACGGATCCGATATCCGAGTTTTTTTAAGGTATTTGTGATTTGCTTCGAATGTTATAGATATCTAATTTTGGTATTTATTTTGCTTTGGAAAAATATGGATATCTGGAAAAACGGATATCCAGAAAACAAATAGATATTTGCGGATATTTACGAATATTTATAGACATTTCATCCATTTTGATCAATACAAATAATCTTAAAATTTTGATACAAATTTTCTAGGCAAAAATATTATTTGCATGAGATAGATATAAAAGAAAAATTAATAGAACTAGTGAATTACATATTTTGTAATTTTTTTAAGTTTAAGCTACAATTATAATAACACAAAAGTTAAGAAAAAAATATAATTTTCATAAACTTTTTCATGTAATAATATGAATAGAATTTTTCAAAATCATGTGTTAGAATAATAATTATATAATTTTACACATTTAAAATTTTAAATATAATCAATTTATATATATATATTTTTTTTTTATATATTTCCGGATCGAATCGGATATCCGCTTCCTAAAATTTTAATATATATGATTTGCTTCGATTTTAACGGATATTGATTTTTAATATTTGCTTTGATTCGAAAGTTTACAGATATCCGAAATTTTTGTACCGAAACGAATAACGAATTGAATCAAATTTAACTGATAAAATGTCCATCCCTAAAGATAACCTACTAAACTATAGCTGGTATAGTGAGGACTGAGAAAAAGTAGGAAGCTGCACAACACTCAAGGCCAAAGACTATTCCACTATCTCTCCATCTACGTGCCTTTCTATGCATTACTTCCTGATACGTATTTAACTAAATAACCTGCTCTCATTATCTAATATTAATTCGAATAACCATCCTTCATCCTTCTTAAAACTGTCAAAAGGAGTTTAGAGAAAACATACCCTATAGGCTCGGAGACCAAAGTTAATTAGAATTCTTTTACATTCCCCCATGATTTTAAGTTTTCACTTTTGCCCCCTCAACGTCAATCTAATCTCCAAGTCATACCCCAAACTGTGTGTCAATCACTTGTATATCATTGCTAATACACAATCATATTACTTTTTCTCTTATAATTATTTATATATGAAAAAGGAGGAGGGACATAACTCCTTGAACCCTTTATATAAGACGCACTCATCATTCCATCCTTTTGCACATTGCCTACTAATATCAGTCTTCTCCTTCTTCTTCTTTTAGTTGCTGCTTTTATATATAACCGAGTCTTTTCTTTTAGAGGTCAGATATGGTGTCCACTGAAGAAGAAGACGACGGTCGTAAAGAAGTGATGGAAGGTGTAACAGATATGAAATAACGATGATAACATTTGGAGAAAGATGGGCTTTGCAATAGTCTACGCTCTTTCATAGAGAAGTAAGTTCTAGGGAGAGCGAGATTATTGCATTGCTTGCTACTGGGGAATCGAAGGTTACTGGTCCGATTTTTTCCTTAACCTGAAAAAAAAAAAAATTCTTACATCTATTAGTTACTTTGATAGTGTTTGTGTGTGTGCGCCTGCGTCTGTGTGTGTTCAAACTACGAATACTTTTATGTTATGTTATGTTATGAAGATTCAGTCTCTTGTAATAATGGTACTATAACTTAGTAACAAAGGTTACGTTGCAAATAAAAAGAGTGTGTAGCAGCATCAACATAATATCAAATGGATAGTGGATTGAATCTCAACAAAATAAATGCTTTAAGAATTAAGATAATCGTGTCTCCTCAATTATATCTAACCCAAAGTAAAGCAACACTTAAACAACGTTCTGAGCTGGTAAGATTAGCTTAAAAATCAAAGTTTGTGTCATATAGAATATATGGACGGTGATTAATAACTGATACAGCATAAACAGAGTTCTTTGATCCAACATAACAACAAAATATCATTCTCCTAGCTCGTTTGATCCAACATAAGAATAAACCATCCTTTTCTGAAGATAGATACAACGTTTTATTTGAAAGCCTAACAAAGCGTCGAATTGCATTCAAAGCTTTGAAAGCCTCTTAGCTTTTTATGAACACCATAAATAGCTTTGTGTTGCATTGTTGTTGGTATTCTAGATTTGAGTCATCACTCATCAGTCTATGGTGTTAACAGGCTAATACATTGGAGCCGAAAGCCCAACTATAATATTAACGGGCCTTGCACTCGTATTTAAAGCCCATATTAAACTTTTTGAACTTTTAAAATATCGTGGACAAGTTCTGCTTGACTTGACAAAAAAAATAAGAGTTCTACTTGGACAAAGACGGGTAGGTGAGCCGTTCTCTAACTACATTCAGTTTACGAAAGTTGGACCATTGTTGATGAGTCTTTATATGTTTTTTTATTCTTTGACTACTGATGAGTCTTTATATATTGGTGAAGCGGTTTCGGTTTCGGTTTCTTCTCCAGAACATCGCTTGGCCACAGCATATTATTATATGTTTGCAATAATATTTGCAACGGTAATATAATTTGTAGAGGAGAGGTAATGTTTCTATCATCTTATATGTCGTATTGAAAACGCACTTGACATGCTTTATGTAATGATATGAGAGTAATAGTTTAATCAATATACACATCTTCGCAAGTTTACATATGAAACTAAAAAAATGCGAGAAATAAGGGCGCGCATGACCAGCCACTGAAATCTCTCATCTCTACCACTCTTTTTTTTTTGTTTAAATAATAATTCATATATATTAAGAACCACTGGAGATGGATGAGTCACCACCGTTGGATCGAAATTTTTAGCGAAGAGAGAAGCACGAGATCAAATCTCTCCCAACGCGCCGCTGCGTTCGGGAAACGCAACTATCAGCGACCAAAGCTGATCTACAGATAGGACAAGTGAAATTTAGTTGGTGAAGCCATCCCTCTAAGCACCGCTTGTGGAACACGTGTCCACACTCCAGCTTCCTCACCTCTTCTCCTTCCTGTAGCTTCGACAGACACACAACGCAGTCTGAACCGCTTTTGTCTGCGCACCGGTACGAGAAGAGACGGTTTAGGCTGAGCTGATCGGAGAGGAAGATGATGTTGGCTAGTCCAGACGCTATGAGGGAGGAGGAGTCGAGTGGGAGATTATTAGAATCGGAATCGCAGGGACGGTGGAGGAGAGAGCGGAGACGGTTGATAAATACGGCGAGGAGAGAGAGGAGCATGAGAGGGATTGAATCGGATGAAACGTCACTGAGCTGACCTTGTAGCCCCATCTTCTCTTCTTCTTTTTCTTACTACTACCTCTGGCTCTTTTCGAGATATTTATAGCTTTCTTGGCTTAAACCTTTCATACTGTTTCTATTTCTATATAAAACAACTTGAAAATATTACCAATTGGCACATTTAGTGATGAATTTAAAAAGCGGAAAATAATAAAATATGTATTTTTCTCAGCTCAAAGTGGCTAATGAAAATAGTTGACAAAGAAATGCTTTAGAATATTTTCTATAAAATTAACAGGAATTTATAATTTATTTATATATACAAGGAGATTAATTAAACTAAATAGGAAAGCATTTGATTATGTTAAATTTAATTAATTATGTAATTTTCCTAGTAACTAGGAACCAAGACGATATTTTCATGTTATTGTTCTGTTTCTGTCATTTTCCTACCACTCCTTGAAATAAGTTTAGTTAGTCGTTAATACCAAATCGTGTATACATTCTGGTATATACAACCAACCGATTAGTCTCTTAGAATTCTGACTACCGGCATTAGTTAGATACTTAGATTCAATTGTTTGCAAGGGAAGTTAGATATTCCAGTCATCTAGCCACACAATAAAGTATTTAGAAAGTAACATATTCAAATCCACCACTTTTAAAGCATGAGCATTGAGAGATAAGAAAACAAAATTCACGAGAATTCTAAAAAAAAAATATTAAAATAACTTAATTTTGTTGAACTTACGTCATGTGTGAGTTCACTGCGGTGATACCAGATTGTTATTACTTCGTGAACCACTCACTACGTGTTGAACCATAACTGAACCATTATTAATTTAAAAAAAATCAAAGAAAAATAAATCAAATAATTAAAACTGAACCATAGATAATCAAGTTTTGCGGTTCACCAATGCTCATGCTCTTAGAATAATTGTGGACACCATATACCACCTGATCACTTAACGCTTGGTTTTCTCGAATATGTTCCATTTTCTTCATATTTGGACCCTTCCATTTTTTTCCGAGAAGGTGTGCCGGTAAAATAGTCTAAGAGATTAATTTGAATGAAAGTAGAGAGATAAATGTAATTCCCACCAATTTGTATTCATTTAACATATTTATAACATATGATTATAAGTTTAGGTTTATAATAAAAAAAAAAAAGTGGGAGAAAATAACTCCAAAAAGGATTGATAAAGAAGGGGCACAAGTTGCGATTGAGAAATTTAATAACATATTAATTAGACAACGAACAAGACCGTATCATTGTAGATGATAACGAAATGCTATGTCGCTAACAAAATAAATAAATAATTTTCTTTCATGCAACTAACTAAATAAAGATAAACTCCGAAAAGGGAAGGCTTAAAAGCAATTGACGGAAAGGATCTGTCTTGTATAATCTCAATTAGCAAGGGTTTATTTGTTGGTGTACTACTCCAAATATCGTGTGGTTACAAAACGTTGAATAATAAAGTAATTATACAACGAGCATCTCTTGTTTTTTTTCATACTTGGTTGGAGAGGAGGCAGGAAATGTAGATGCCATTCATTTCAAGCACATGATGTGGCCAAAGGGAAGCCATACAAGTTTAACAAATTTTTTTTTTTTTTTTTTTTTTTTTTTTGTCACTGACAAGTTTAACAAATAATAGTGTAAAAAAAGGCAAGTCGCACCCATAGCTGAAACAATCAATAATATCAGATGGCTCCCACTTGGGCCTATTATACCTCGTCGTGGGCTTGACTAATTTTATTTTTCAATACTAGACGGCCCAGTTTGTCAATGATCTTTGTTTAGAACACATGTGAAAGAGGGTTCTTTTCTCATTCTTCTGTAACATCTTTCAAGTTTTTTTTTGTTTGTTTACTAGCTTGAGTGACTCAGTTACATTATATTAGAGGTCAAATTGGTTTTAGACACGTTAACACGTTTTAACTTTGTATGGGCGTCTGCCGTGTGCATGGATGTTCATAACTACTTCATTGATATACGTGGGCGCACCAAACATATGCACAAGAGCCATACTTATCTATGCTTGTAACTTGTAAGTATATTCCTTTATTGATATATACGTTTACTTGTTCTACATTTATTCTTGTCGACATTTTTGGTTTTTAGTGAAGAAAATTGGGTGAATCTTTTTATTCTACCAAATGAACTGTTAGTTTTTGTTTAGGATTTATAAAAGAGAGTTAGGTTCTACAGAAAATGCAACTTTACCAAATAGATTGAAAAGGAAGGGATCACATGGTAGTTTGGATCTAACGAAACAAGAGGCAGTTAATTGGTGAATGTACCGAATGACAAACTTCTGACCTGAAAGCAGCAAGTAAGAAGATATGTTGTGTTATTGGTGGCTTTGCAAGACAATTAATGGGGAACGTTATACTATATATAATATGTGAATATGTTTGTCGCATTTCTTGTCGCACTATATTGTATTCACTGAATTTGCGAAAGTGAAAGTTTTCTAAGTTTGACCGGCCAGTGAGAGAGGAATCATTTGATTTCAGTTCTTGTTTCTTATGATCTTTGACTGATCAGAAAACTTCGAAAACATAATAAGTAGACCATTAAGTATCATAAAGAATAACAAACAAAAAAAGACCAAACTCTAGGGGTTGGTGGTCTTAAGCAATTAGAAGCATGTGGGTGTATCAGACATATATGCATAAAATAGAAACCATAATTAAAGTCGTCCGGACAGAACCATAAACAAGAATGGACCACTCTTGATGCTTGTCTTCATGCTAACACTTATACTTGAGACTGACTATTTTGAGGTTGTCCTTCCTAACATCATTTCTAGATGTAGACCACACCTCCCTTGTTTTACCATTTACATGAGATTAACTCGTTTGTGGAGTAATTGTATGTGTTACAGTTTCGTCATAATCATAGTCCTTACAGGGTGTATGTGCACTTATGACGAAAGCATTATCACACCATTATTGTTGTCAATCAAATATTTGGTAATACTCATTATGTAGTGATAATACTATATAGTTAGAGCTGTAATGCTTTTTATTCTGCCAATCATTACTACCTCAATGATTCCGGAATATCATCAAATCATTATTCCTAATCCCTCTAATCTAATCTCATCATTTACTTTGACCCTAATCATTATTATCCTTCTCACGCACACGCTTTTTTTCTTGTACTATTCTTTTACTCTTTGATCTATCTTCACTTTGGTTCCAAAGATTCCACCTAATGACAACTTCTTTTTGTTATTTTCAAATCACATTGTTTATTATTTGTTAATTATCACTAGTGAAAAGGTAAAACACAAAGTTCGAGAGAGAGAGGAGGGTAAATGTTGTGACAAGTGATGACCACAAGTGGCGTCTCCATCTGCATGTTCTTCTTATATGAGTGAGCTGTTTAATTTGTTTCTATTCAGTTTCAATTTCTTCGAGATTTCTTTTAATTTTTATTATGTGATCTTTAATCAAGAGGTAGGTGAATTAGCTAGGCTTTCAGTTTTTTTTTGGCTCAACATTCAGTTTAGCATTTAACCAAGGATTGTGTATGTTAAACCTCTACAAAAGATTTAGTCCAAGAAGGCATAATGGAAGACAAAACAGGGGTTTCAGTTTTCTACATTTATACAAGTGCAGCAGAATGATTTGTTATAATTTTTATCCATAGACATGTCGATATCAAATACTCTATGACTTTCATTTCCCCCTTTTTGTTTCTTATTTTTGCCCATTTAGTAAAATAAAAAATAAATGGTTTTATACTAATTAGGGTTATTATTCTCTGCTTCTCGTTTGTACTTTTGGGAATATCTGTCAAATCAATTACTTAAACAAGAATATGAATATACTAGCAGTATTTAACCACTGATGTGTTTTATTTGGTTGCAATGATACAATCGCTTTTAGTTATTGCAATTGTACATCATTCGCAAGCCATTAATGGTTGGGTTACTTTCCTCGACCCATTCTGTATAACTAGATTTTGTTTTCAGTTTTATATACATATTTATTTTAATTTATTAATGGTATACATATTAATCAGATATTTAAATTTTTATATAACTATTTCAAATACAATAAATTTATAGTTTACATGTTGTAATTAATCGAATTCTATAAAAATTTTACATGTATTTGTCGCTTCTTGATATATAGTTATTTTATTGTATTATTTAGTTATTAATATATGCATAAAACAACATATTTAAAAATTAATTTGTATTCAATTCATGTTAAATTCAGATCCGTCGTTTAAAGCTGGATTTCCTTGTAGCAATATTTATTACATTTATGTTTTTCAGATAATATATTATATATGCAAAAGTCTAAAACATATTAAGTTTTATATATGTATTATATAGTTTGTTAATGTCAGTTCGTATATAGTTTGCTAATGTCAGTCAGTCTTACCAACGTCTTATATTTTTGAACATATATATTTTATATATGAAAATAGATATATATATATATATATATATATATATAAGTTTATCAATTAAACATAATTTAATCAGATTTATCCCAAATACGTTTATTATATTTTTGAACATATATATATATATTCTTTTTATATGATTTATTATGATTGAAAATAGATAAAAATAAGATATAATTTTTATTTTTATTTTACAAAAATAACTGAATATACTAATGCATAATAATAATCTATTATATTAAAAGAGAAGTCATGACTCATTTCATGTGTGATTTTTTTTTATTTGGACCATTAGCAAAAAAAAGATTTGTTAACTATATTTCATTTCTTTGTAACCACTTCAATCATAATATCTTTCATATCTTTTTATTTTAATATAAATATGTATTAATTCTTTTTAAAAAATCTGTTGAAAAGATTTTAGCAAGATCTTAACTTTAAAAACATTATATAAATATTTCACTAATTAATAACTTGAATAAAATTTCGAATTAGTAATGAAAATAATTTTACATTAATATATATATATATATATACATGAATATGAAAACAGATTTTATTCTTTTTATCTATTTAATAATCAAAAACTATCAAATTAAATGAAATTATTCTAATAAACTGAATGTTATAAAATTATATTAAATTGATAAATTAATCAATTTTATTTTCATAAATAGAAAATATTAATGTTAAAAATATATAATATATTGGCAGAACGGATTAACATTAGTAACTATAAATACATGTATAAAATTAACATATCTTAAAATTTTATAATATCGTATTATCTTTATAAACATAAAAAGTTTAATAAACGGTAATCTAACTTTGAAACTCAAATAATAATTTAGTATAAATTATATATAAAATAATATGATTTTTCATGCAAATATTAATTTTAATAATTAAATATAAAGCCAATTAGATAAATATATAATAAGAAAAAATTGATATTAACATACAAGCTATAAAACTATACTGTTTGTAATAGTTATATAAACATTTAAACATATGACTAACGTTATTAATGATATAAAACAAATATATATATATATATATATATATGAAAACAAAACCCGTGCGGTTGCGCGGGTCCAAATCTAGTTTATTGCTAATTGCGAAATTAGTGAAATTATATACATAAACTTTTGGAAATTAAGATATTGCTAAATTATTTTTCAAAAGATTTGTTAGGATATATATATATATATATATATATATATATATATATATATATATATATATATATATATCTAAACTAATGTGGTAATTAGTGAAAATATTTGCATATAATTAAAATAAAATATTGTCAAAATATTTTGAAACAGATTTGTTGGATTTAGTTTTTACTATTTAAAATAAAAAGATATCAAAATATATTATGATTAAAACAGTTCAAATATTTCTGTGTATCAATAGTATTAATAAAAAATTTTAATGGATGATTTAAATTTTTAAGACATCATATATTAAAAAGGTGAAGACTTTTGTTTTAATATATAATAAACGGTATCAGATTACATATTCTATTATCATTTCGGGCGAATTTAAACATAAATCATGGGGATTTATGTAAAGCACATGTAATTTGCTTTTCTCTTAATAGAAAATATTTTTTAGCAAACTTCTGAATTATCACATTTTACTCATAAAATATAGTAGTATTAACTTTTTATTTTGACAACAATATATATAATGTGGTAGTGACGCACTGACAACACGACGTATATATGTATGTTTATTAGGTGTATTTGTTTTTGTCAATATTTATTAGGTGTATAAGGAGACGAATTAGGTGAAAAGGGAAATAAATGGTGAATAAGACATGAAATAAAAATTGTTTCAAATAGTATCATTGTCTGTGATAAAAAAAATTAGACAAATAACAACAACACAATAAAATTAATATACAAATTTCCCGACCAGAAAAAATAAAAATAAATACAATAAACTGATGAAGAAGAAGAAGAAAGGGTAATTCTGGAAAAATAAAAAAAGGAAATCGTGGGGGGAAGGAAAAAGCAGAGTCGTTTTCAGATCGTGAATGAAGCACAGAAGCGTATCTCTCTCTCTCTTTACTTTGACCATTCCTCCTTCCTTTTTATTCCTCCTCCTCATCATCATCATCTTCGACCTTCCTTACTCCGATTCTTACTTCTTCTCATTCCTTTAACCAAATCAATCAATCTCTCTACGGTTCTTCTCCTTCCTCTTCAGGTATCCAAATCTCTTCTCTTTTTTCATTTTCCTGCTTACCCATTTTCGTTTTTTTGTTTGTTTGTTGTATATATTCGCTTTTTTTTATTACATAAACCTTGTTAGTATTGCGTCTGCTTTTTTCTACCTCTGCAAAAGACAGAACCTTTATCTGTCTCTCTGCTTTGTACCTTGTACCCTCTATCCACTCTCGTCACCCCCTTTTTGCTTCTTAATCTCCTCTCTCACTCTGTTTTTTTTTTGTTTTTTGAATATAACTTTTCAGAAGCTGGTTTCATTAGCCACCATGGAGCCCAATGGGTATAGGAAAGAAAGAAAGAGGGAAACTTTTGGGAGAATGAATGGTGATGTTGAGGCTGAACTTGATCCATGGACTGCATGGGCTTACAAGCCTCGCACTATCTCCCTTCTCCTTATTGGCGCTTGTTTCCTCATGTAAGTCTCCTCATGTTTCCTTCTTTCTCCTCTCTTGTCTCATTTCTTGTGATCCTTAAAGTTTGTTTTTTATTTGAGTTAGTTGGGCTAGTGGAGCTCTTGATCCTGAGAGCACTACTTCTGGTGATCTTGTCACTTCTGTCAAAAGGTTCTCTCTTTCTCTTTATTTATGTTTTTTCTTCATTTGAATTCGTTTCTTTGACAGTACTATGTTTGCTGTCTCTTAGGGGAGTATGGGCTATGATTGCTGTCTTTCTTGCTTACTCTTTGCTTCAGGCACCTTCAACGTAATCTTACTTAACCTTTTGTAAAATATCTCTGATAAGTGTGCCGCTCTGTCTTTAACACTCTGATAAGTGTGCTGCTCTGTCTTTAATAAAAGTATTTTTGCTTAATTTCAGGATTCTAATCAGGCCTCATCCTGCAATTTGGCGCTTAGTTCATGGAATGGCCGTTATTTACTTAGTTGCACTTACTTTTTTGCTCTTCCAGGTTCACTTTTTTTCCAGTACCCTGTGCATGTTATTATTATAGCTCTTTTGAGTTCTTGCAAACTTTAATAGTTACAAAAAAAAACCATTGCAGAGACGAGATGATGCTAGGCAGTTCATGAAGTTTCTCCACCCTGACCTTGGAATAGGTAAGATATATATATTTACTGCTGTTTATTCACCACATTATGAGTGACCGTTCTTTACTGAGTTTTTGATCATGTTTCAGAACTTCCTGAGAGATCATATGGTGCTGATTGCCGTCTGTATGTGCCTGATCACCCAACAAACAGGTTTAAAAATCTTTATGTATGGTATCTTCTCTCAACAACAACTCCTCCTTTATTTATTCAACAAAGATGTCTTATCATAGGCATAGCCTTTGTATTAATCTAAAGGCTTATGCTTTTGGTTGCAATTTTTCCAGGACACTATATTTGACGAGTTTTTCTTGGCCCACATCTTTGGATGGTGGGGAAAAGCAATTTTGATAAGGAATCAGCCGCTTCTGTGGGTGCTTTCCATTGGTTTTGAGCTATTGGAGGTTGGTCTTTTGTCTTGGTTCCCTTATGTGTTTCCTGGTTTTAACTTGATATAGCTTCCAATAATATGTATATTCTATGTTCTCCAGCTTACTTTTCGGCACATGTTACCAAATTTCAACGAGTGCTGGTGGGACAGTATTGTTCTTGATATCTTGATATGCAACTGGTTTGGTATATGATCCTTAACCCACCTTGCTGCTACATTCTATATGTCTATCATCTAAGCTTTTATGTAGAGATGAGTAACGTTTTATATTTGTTTTAATGTTGGTTAGGGATTTGGGCTGGAATGTATACAGTACGCTACTTTGATGGTAAAACATACGAGTGGGTTGGCATTAGCCGTCAGCCTAATATTATTGGCAAAGTAAGGTTTTGTTTGACCTCAAGTGTTCATAGTGCTAGCTGTTGTACGTTTGATTAGAGTTTTTGAATTTTACTTTCAGGTGAAAAGGACATTGGGGCAGTTCACACCAGCTCATTGGGACAAAGATGAATGGCATCCACTGCAAGGACCTTGGCGTTTTATTCAAGTACTCACTCTCTGCATCATCTTCTTGACGGTTGAGCTGAACACATTCTTTCTTAAGTTTAGCTTGTGGATCCCTCCTCGGAACCCAGTGATTCTCTATAGGCTGATCTTGTGGTGGCTCATAGCGATTCCAACTACACGGGAGTACAATTCATATCTCCAAGACCGGTATAACTATTAGCCACTGTGATATTAGTTTGGTGTTTGTTGAAATAGGGGTTTTTATTTATATAACTAGTTGTTTTCGTTATTGACAGGAAACCTGTGAAAAAGGTGGGATCATTCTGTTGGTTGTCACTGGGGATATGCATAGTAGAACTTCTAATCTGCATCAAGTTTGGAACTGGTAACTTGTTACTTACACATGCTCAGCTTTATTCATTTGATGTACTTAATGGTTACATGCTTATGATGTGACATTAAAAAAACAGGATTGTATCCAACGGAAATGCCATTGTGGGTAGTGACGCTTTGGGGAAGTGTGGGACTTGGGCTTGTGGCCTTCTTGATGGGTTGGACATGGAAGATCCAGAAGTCCCTTGAGAGAAAGAGACGCTAATAAGCTCATGATTATTGTTGCAGCAGAGGTGAGAGGTGGGACAGTGAAAATGCCATTGTAGGTTTTTTTTTTTGTAAATAGGGAGAAGAAAGAACAATGTAAATGCAATTTTTCTTTTAGGGATAGTTGTGTGATATTTTACATTACAGAGCTGCTTCCAGTCAATTCTTTCATGCATCAAAATTGCTTTTCATTGATCTTTGTTCTCTTCTACTCAAACTAACAAACATGGTTTGGTTTGAATGGTGTAACATGTTAGTGATATTAATATCATCAATGTTGATTTGGTTACAGTTCACACTTTTTTTACATTTAAAGCACGTTTTGATGACATTTAAATCAAGTCAGCGCCGACGAGCGTTATTATAACTTCTCCTGTCAATCTTGACATTGATTTTATTGACATTAAATGCTATTATCATTGAAGATATTCAAAGCTGTTATCTTCTTTTGATCTGGTATGTGATATAGGTACCACGATATTATACAGACACCTATATCATAATGACACAAACGACATTCTTTGTTACATTTACATATTTAGATACCTCAGTGACAGGCTAGGGTGTCTTGAAATCAATGCAATCGAGTCTCTATCTCCCCTTGTTATTATGTATTATCACAATCAACTTATTAGTTATTTTTATTTGCTTGTACGCAAAATGAAAAAGACAGAATCAAATTTGATATTGGTGGATAATGATAATATAAAGATTGTATGACGTGCCTCCCCAACATGTTACATGTGTTTTGATCTTTCTTAGGTTTGCAAAAATATTAAGTTGGCATCTAGACGACAATGTTGACCATCTTTTTATCACTTTTCCAACATCATATTCTATTTTAACTTCCTTAAAAGCCAAAAAAAAATGTTGTCAGAAGAAGTCGTATGTAAAAAGAATCTGTCGTCGCCGTTATAGGGAATATTGGGAGAATCTGCTTTCCGAGTATTTAATGGGCTTTGGGCGTTTGAGATTGTAAACTTAGTTTGGGCTTAAGTTCCATAAGAGATCTCGATATTGGGAGAATCTGTTTTTTAAGTTTAATGGGCTTTAAGCTTTAAAGATTTGTAAATAGTTTGGGCCTAACTTCCATTAGAGACCTGTTGAAACACGACATGAAATGAATCTAGAGACATCTAAAGCAAGACTTTTGACTCAAACTCGAAACAAATCTGTAGGGTTCGTTGTCTCCTTCAGGTCTCAATCTCCTCTCTAAGACAGGACAGGTATCGGCCAATAGATCTTTCTTCCGTTTTGATTTTGATGTTATCTTCCTACAAACCAATCAGTTCTACTTTTTTTTTTTGTTTCTAACAAGAATCTCATCTATGTGTTGCAGTTTTGCAGCTTCAGATTTGACTTTTCACCATGTAAGCTTCTATGTCATCCTTTTAATTTTTAATTACCAATCTCCACATCGTGTTGAGTTGGTAGATCTCATGTAGATGTCTGAATCTCTAGACTGGAACAATCATTTTTTTTTTTTATTGTGCTTATTTCGTGTGTAGTGATGTGTCTTGTTATGATGAATGATGATGTAGTCAGATTTACCTTCGTTTTCGTTTGATGTTAAGTGGTAGTGTAATACCCCTTGTTTAGATCTTAGGCCACTATTAGGTAGTGTTTTTTCATTGATAATGGAATGACCTGGTCTTCATGTAGAATCATATGAGAACAGAGCTTCATCTTGTAAGAATGACTCTAGAAAAGACATATTCTTGTATAAGGGTTTTGTTTTTTTCATCCTCGATGGATAGAGATGATGTGAGTTTTTTTTTTAATAAAAGATATTTCTATCGTTTTTGAATATTTCAGGGCAGAGGAGGAAGTTGTTGATCCAAAGAAGTACCTCGAGGAATCTTGCAAACCAAAATGTGTGAAGCCGCTACTCGAATATCAGGTGAACTGATATATGACATTGATGTTGTTACAATATATGAATCATATGCCATATGTGTGTTTGTGTTAAGATCATTGTTGACTGATACAGAAATCTTTTTTTTTTATTGGGTGTGGTTCTCAGGCGTGTGTGAAGAGAATCCAAGGTGATGACTCTGGCCACAAGCATTGCACTGGGCAGTACTTCGACTACTGGAGTTGCATTGACAAATGTGTAAGTAGCTTTGATTTTCCCTTTTCTGTTCACTTCGTCATCTTCTTATACGTTATGATACTGAGATGAAAACTTGATTGTGTATCTTCAGGTCGCACCCAAACTTTTTGCAAAACTGAAATGAAAACAAGGCGAAGCCGATATTGTCTTGAGTGTACTTCATGTGGTTTGAAGAGGATGTATAAAACGCAGTGGATGTTGAAACTTTTTTTCATAACTGCAAACCTGATTATGCCAAAATGGCTCTTCTTCGTGTTTTTTTTTTGTTTTATCGCAATTTGCGGTTATTACACTTTTTGCTACAGTTCTTATGCCTAATAACAAGAATTTGTCTCTTTTTTTTTATCTTGGACTTAATGTCCCCAAGAGACGCATTTGAACAAAATTTATTAAGCTTGAAGTTTCAGCAAAGATAGATTAGGATATATTAAAAACCCACCAAAGTGTAGGCCTTAACTTTGAAACTTCTCTGAAAGAGATCTCTTTTGTTTTCTTTCTTCTGCGGCAGCCGCCTGGGGACAGTTTGAAGGCGTGTGGGACGTATAAGCACATGGGAGTCGCCGCATTTAGACTGAAACTAATCATCCCATGAGAAATGCATGTATACTGAATCATTCCATGTGACGACAGTTTTTTCTTCCTTATAATTACAAACATTCACTCTCCAACGACAATGTAGTTTCTCACACCTCATACAATACCATCACACAGCCATGAACGGTGGAGATGGTCCTTCTAGCTATGCTCGCAACTCCTCCTATCAGGTTACATCAACTCTCTTCCACTTCTTTTTTCTCTTGATTCTAAGTATACAAACATGTTTAATTGTGTTTAGAGGGGAGCCATTGACGCTGCTGAAGCACTACTTAGGAAGGAGATCCACAAGCGGCTTGACCTCACTAACAATACATTCTCTTGTTTCAAGGTCGCGGACTTTGGATGCTCCTGTGGCCCCAACACCCTTCTTGCTGTAGACATCATCATTCAAGCGATCCTCCACAAGTTCAGCTCCTCTATGGCTAATGTTAAAACCCCCGAGTTTCAAGTGTTCTTTAACGACCTCTCCCACACTGTTTTCAATGCACTGTTTGCTTTGCTCCCTCCTCAGAGTCAGCGTCCCTACTTCTTGACTGGTACACTTCTTTGCATTAGTTTCAACTGTCTGTCACATGTAGCACCTCTACACTTAATGCTCATAATAATGTTCACAGGTGTCCCTGGCTCTTTTTATGGAAACTTGTTTCCCAAGGCATCTCTCAACTTGGCTTACTCCTCTTGTGCTCTCTGTTGGCTCTCCGACTTGCCACCAGAGATAACTGATACAACCTCTCCTGCTTACAACCGAGGCAGGATTCATTACACGGGAGCATCAGCAGAGGTCGCACAAGCCTACTCCTATCAGTACAAGAAGGATCTCAAGTCTTTCCTTGTTGCAAGATCACGTGAGCTCGCGGAAGACGGGCTGATGGCATTGATAGTGCCCGGTGTACCAGATGGGTTTCTCGATTCTCAGGCTTCAACGGGATCTGAGTTCGATCTGGTGGGCTCATGCCTCATGGACATGGCCAAAGAGGTACTTGGTTGATTTTTCTTATAACACAAGGACCTATAAGTCTAAAATACTTTACTGCAGGGAAGAATAAAGGAGGAGGATGTAGACAGTTTCAACCTGCCCATCTATTACACAACTCCAAAGGAATTGGAAGAGATCATCAGAAGCAATGGGGAGCTGAAAATCGAGAAAATAGGGACACTGGATGGTGTGGATGCACACGAGACCATGCCTGACCTTGACTCGAGGGTCCTGTATCTCAGAGCGGTGCTTGAAGGTCTAATTCGCACCCACTTTGGCCATCAAATCCTTGACGAGCTGTTTGAACGCTACTCCCTCAAACTTGCCCGTTCCTCTTTCATCCTCCATCCTCAAACCCACAGATCCATCATGATCTTTACCCTTCTCACTCGCCTTCGTTACACCTGATACATGTTCTCAAATTTCAACCAATAATAATGTTTACTTTGTTTATGAATTAATAATAATATGCTTTACACAACTGTTATCACATCGTATATACTTTGAATATTCAAAGAATTTGAGTCATTATTAAACAAGACTTCCATTTCACTCAAGAAACATGTAAAAGAGATAGATATTCATCAAGTACTCGCAGAAAAGCACAAAAATAAGAACAACACAACAGCTTATTGGTTCCACGGTAGAACTCACTGCCTGTAGTATCCACCGCCTTGGTGAGGAGGCTGTGGCTGAGGCGGGTGTAGGTACGGATTCTGGGCGGTATAAGGAGGCCGAGGCTGCTGTCCCTGAGGATCATAGTACGAGCCTTGTTGCCATGATTGATAAGGCTGTTGCTGTTGTGGAGCCTGAGGAGGGTATGGTTGTGGCGCCTGTCCATGAGGTTGCTGGCCATGAGGAGCATGGTACGGAGGAGGTGGACCATAGGGTGGGATAGAGTAGCCAGGTCTTGACATTTGTTCGGGCGGTCTATAGTATGGTGCTTGTGGGTGAGGATGTGATGGATTATGAGTTTCTTGTGGAGGAGGTGGACTAGTAGCCGTCGGCTGATGTACAGATGGGTATGGACCGGAGGTTCTATGATCCTGAAAACTCAGACCAGACATCTGTCGTTGCACATCTTCCATCATTTCTCGGCACTGGATACTCCTTGTCATCACAAAATCACTGCATTGCTGCTTCACGTTCGTGATTGCATCCTATTGATACCAACAAAGACAATGTCTCAGATTTTGCAGAGAAGTAATACCGTATCCTCAATGTAGTTTAAAAATAAGAATTCAAGACCATCCCAGACAAGACATACTGTAGAGTGAAGACATGCCTAGACAGTGAAGAGCTTGTAACTATAAAAAGAAAAGAAACTCACTTGGAGAGTGACATAGAACTTCAATCCCTCATTGACATTTTCCTTGATCTCTCGATACTTGGATATAGCCGCTTCAATCTGCTTATAGCACTTCTCTCTGGATGCTGAAGAACAGGGAAACACATAAAACAAATAAGTGGGAGCCAAAGAACCAAAACAGAGAAGCATAAAAACCATTTTCTCCGAAATCAGAATGTACCAGTTTAATCAGGGATTACGCATTAACCAGTACATAGAATGCTAAAACACAAACTACTTTGACCCATTATATTTCTTAAACATTTATATTCATGCAAGACAGAAGCTGCGAGCTCACCTTTATAATCTTCAAGATTAAAAACAGTTGAGAACTCTTCATTTTGAGCCTATAACAAAGGAAAGAAACCCATTATGAGTAGTCAGTTTCTACTAGCAATGCGACATGATCAATTCAGTCCCAGTAGAAGCTAGCACACTAAGTACTCTTAGATATAGATTACCATCACCTTACATTACTTGGTTATCAGAAAAGGACAAAAACCATGATAAAAAGTAAAGTGCTACTACAAGAGTGGTCGAAAGAGGTAGACCTGAATTTGCCTCAACAACTGTTCTTGAACTTCAATGTTTTGAGAAATATCTTCACAGATGTGATCATACTTTGATATCTCTTTCCTGAACATATCTTCATAGGAACCTGTAATCGTCATCAGCTTCGGCAGTATGTCATCCTAAAACATTATCCAGTAAAAGTCCAATGAGTTTTTACAATATCAAGAAACACAATGATGACCAATCAATAGAAAAGTTCCACCTTTCTTTTCATCTCTTTGAGCATGTCTTCAAGACCTGCCCGCTGAGCACCAAGATTTTCCAGTTGCCTCTGTGTAAAAGTAAACAAAATTGTGAGAATAAAGATTTGCGAAAGCTGTCCAAATCCCTTCCAAAGTATATAATCGCAGCTTCACCAAAAGAAATAAGATATACCAGACTCTGCTTCAGAGTTCCCACAATGGCATCCTCCGTTGCGTCCAGAGACATTATTGGTTTAGCTAGAGTTGGGACGGCAGATTCTATCTGATAGGTATACAGAAAACCATAACGTCTAAGAATTAGTTTACCAGATTTAAATGTGTTACTTCAGGAACTACGATAATCGAAACGAAGACCCCTAAGAGAAAACTTTCCGCAAGAGAAATATACAAAAACAAGAAACTACATACCGGCCTCCGATCAAGAATTGACATGAGGGCAGAATTCTCTCTCACAGATCGCTCAATCTTCACATCACTTTCTCCAGCTTGTTTCAAGTTGGCTGCAAACCGATTCAACCTATCCTGCAAGTTCTTTGTCAGAGTGCTAGACTGAGGCCTAGTCCACCGAGTCCCAAATTGGCTTCTAAACTGACCATCTTCCGTTGCTTCTTTCTGCAAAAGCTCTTCGGTTTGCACCAACAATTCCTGATTAACCCTCTTCAGATCTCTAAGTTGCTGGAGCTCAGCTTCCAAGCTAGCTGGACCACCACAGATCTGAACAGCTTCCACATCTTCTCTAAGATCAACAGGAAGAGTTGAATGACCATCCACCGCAAGAATGGAATCAGGAAGGTCCATCTCCTTGAGCCTAACACGAGTTAGTTCGCTTGCTTGCTGTAATCTTTCCGCCTGGGTCCTAATTACATCATCCAACATCTCAGTGTATCTAGAGAGAGCTTTTGCACTACTATCCGGAACAAGGATGGCAAACATCTTCTCCTTGCTTGCATCCAATATATCAGTCATGTTCATCGGCTTAACCATTGAAAAAGTCGGAAGTGGAGACAAAGAAGCAGGAGAAGGAACTCTCATAAGGTACACTCTATCGTTTTCCTTAACAGCCCTATCCAAATTGCAATTAATGCTCGCCTCTAGTTTATTCATTGCTTCTATAAGCTGAGCAGGAGCTCCCCTCGAAGACTTCTTGGCCTCTGCCAAACGGCTACTTCCGCTCCTCAGCCGAGCTATCTCTTCTGCAATTTCCTCTTTCTCGTGCAACTCCATTCCATACCTATAACAAGCTTCACTATAGAAGAGTGCTGCTTTCAGCTGCACATGAGAAATCCAACCTTTCTCGAAATGATCCTTCAATGGTGGAGCGGTTAACGCAGCCAAAGCTTCCTCGTAGTATATGCCAACCTGATTACAAGCAAACAAAAAAGTGCAAAATTAAATCTACCCTCCCACATCCTTTAAGTTCAGTAAAACAGATTCTCCACCAAAAACTAAATTAGTTTTCTGAGTCCATAAATGTACACAAAGTGGCTTGCTTTCACTAAAAAGAGATGGAATCATAATAGTTTACACCAGTGTTCTAAAAACCGGTCTAGGCGGGGGCTACGCGGCTAGTTGGCAAATTGGATCTGACTGAAGCTATTTTTTTTTTCAAAACAAACTTTTTAAAAATCAATCTAGTTCAAAAATGTGTCTAACCATCCACCTAAACATTAATCCTCTATAAAACAACTAAGCGCCCACCTAAACAATAATCCTCTATAAAACGACTAAAACTACTACCTAGGGATTGCTTGAGAACATTGATTGACACTAACCTGCCTAGAAATCTTAGCAGAAACACCAGGAGTACTTCCTTTAGCAATACTATTCTCAAAAACACACTCCTGCGCCTGAGCCAACATAAGCCTCTCCAACATCCCCACGCACTCCACCGACACATCCACAGTAACACTACTCTGCCCAACCGCCGCCTTACTCGACTCATTATCCCTCAGATACCCAAACGCCCCCGCGGCACCGATAAACGCATGCGAAGCCTGGCGACGCCCATCCACGGTGGTGCGATCATGCCCCAGCCCAATCTGGCTGTAACTAGCGGCGAGATTGAAGAGCACAGCGGATTTCTCCAGATGAATGTTCTGCTGAGTGGCCTTTTGCTTCTGCTTGAAGGCGTCGTGCCAGAGGAAAGAGAGGGCGTTGACGTGGTGCTTCTCGGCGGAGATTGGGAATCGAGTCTCGACGAGGCAGAGGGATTTGTAGTAGGAGATGAGGAGGTCTCTTCTGGCGGAGGGAGAGGGATCGGGGACGCGTTCGAGATCGGAGCGGAGTTGGTTTAGGGTTTCGAGATCGTCTTCTAGGAGCTGAGCTTCGCGTTCGGAGTAGGTGAAGGTTATGTAGTTGCGGAGGGGGCGGTAGAGATCGAGTGAGGTTGTTTTCTTCTCGTGGATTGCGAGCATCAGATTTGAGAGCGCCGACGAAGACATGGCTGAGCTGATCAATCGCACTTCTTCTCTTCGATTTTTTTTTTTGGTTTAGTTAAGTCCTTATTGACTAAGGATTGATCGTGTTGGAGACGGCACGAAGTTCTTCGATTTAATATGGAGACGGCGTGCTGTCTAGTTATGTGACTTTTCTTTTCTCTTTTCTTTTCTCTTTTCTTTTTGTTCACAAGTCTAATTATGTAACTTTTTTTTCTCTTTTTTTTTTGGTTCACAAGTCTAATTTATGTGACTTTTTTTCTCTCTTTTTTTTTTTTCACAAGTTTAACTAGGTGTTTTGCCCGCACATGCGGGCTTAATTATCTTTAAATCAATTTAAAAAAATATCAAAATAAATGATTATTGCCTCCAAAAAAGTCGATCTTACAGAAAAAATAATATTAGTTTGGATAACTATACAATATATTTGAATTTATTTTTATCAAACACGTATTTTCTTTCTTTTTGAATGAATTTTTATTTTATATGATTAATTCATGTTTAAGGTTTAACTATATAAAATATAAATATAAATTTAATTTAACGTGTGAGTTCAGAGGCGNTCCAAAAAAGTCGATCTTACAGAAAAAATAATATTAGTTTGGATAACTATACAATATATTTGAATTTATTTTTATCAAACACGTATTTTCTTTCTTTTTGAATGAATTTTTATTTTATATGATTAATTCATGTTTAAGGTTTAACTATATAAAATATAAATATAAATTTAATTTAACGTGTGAGTTCAGAGGCGAAAAATAACTTCACAAATATCTATCATTATATTATATTATTATATTCTTTTAATAAAAAATTACGTATTATATTTTTTTCAATTTTCTCTTTTGAATTATATGCAATTGAAGATTTTATTTTATAAATATTTATTTATGTGTTTTCTGTTTTTGTTTTTTTTTAAAAAATTCCAGATAATAACACAATATATATAGGAATTATATTTTCTTTTTAAAATAATTACATTTTATAATTTTTCAATTTTCTCTTTTGAATTATATACAATGAAATTTTTTATTTTATGAATATTTATTTATGTGTTTTCTGATTTTGAGTTTTTTTTGTTAAAAAGATATTTTCCGGATAACAACACAATATATATAGGAATTATCTTTTTATTTTTAAATATATATTTAGAGTATGGATAATTCTTATTATTATTTTCAGTTTAAATCATTTATATAATCAAATAAATATTAAATTCGTTTTTATTTTTGGCTGATTTATATATATTATTCATTAAGGGTATAAACGATATTAACCACTCCAACTTTTAACGTGAGAGCTCCGTTGCGAAAAATCACTTCGCAAATAATAGTATAGATTATGTGACTAATGCGCGTATTAATGAGACAATTAATGAATGTAGAAAACACAATACATTATACTTTTCCACCTTGACAAAAAGTCATTAGGAAGAATTGTTGTGGTGACAAACAATACAAATATCATAATCTTAAGGGATTACAAAAACTTAGATCTATGTATGAATTAGTGGGGGCTTTGGTAGCAAAGAATAATCTTATATCTGTCAAAAGTTTTTGAGGATCTTGTCATTTGAGACTCCATCCGCTACAAGCATTGATGTTATCTCCTGCAAACACAATGAACATTGAAAAAATAAACAAAAAAAATCTATCATTAAAAGATATAACATGTTAGAACCTTTTGTTACTAAACCATGAACATTGTTTAACACATAGTTAATAAATCATGAATATTCTTTTAAATTACTCACTTATATAACAATTTAATTTATTTACATTGTGTTTACACTTATGTTGATTATTAATTAAAATTTTCACAAAAACTAATTATATATATTTCAAAAATTAAATAAAAATATATTTTCACAAACCAACGTTTCATCTCGGATCAGATAAAAGAAGGAAAAAAAAAAGAAGTAATTAAAGAAGCGGTAATTACAAACTGAATTAAACGGAACAGATATATAAATCCAAAAGATGGTTATCAATACGATCATCTCGTTACTTTCAGACTTGCTCGAAACTTGCTCCGACTTCATACGACGACGGAGGAGAATATGGCCGAAGCAGATAATAAAGAAGGCATACATACACCTACTCTACAGGCGGAGATGGCTATTGCCTCCATTGCCGAGGGCGAAGAAAACCAAGAAGCTACAAGATTCGGACTCGAGTCACTACCCAAAGATGTGATGCAACTATGCATTGCACCACTGTCGAGGTTCGACTACCCTTCAATCCAGGCGGCATCCCGAAAACTTCGTAGAGACGCACTACAAGAAACAAGGTCTTATACCGAGGCTCAAACTTGTCTGAACATCATTGGAATCCTTCATCTCCGAGGCTTTTCCGAGAAATCTTCATATGTCGGCGTTTGAGCCTCGGAAACAATCAATAGTCGGGAGATTGTCGGAAATGACCGAGAAATACACATTCTCGTAAAGTCGTCGGTTTGTGTCATCGGTGTCTCCCGATGTTGTTCCGACGATTTAATAAATTTAATTAAAAAAAAACAAAATAATGTAAATTATAAATAAAACATAAATAATTATTATCAAATTTTCATTATATAAAATTTCTAATAAACAAAATACAATAAAGAATTCACTATGGAGGTGGAAGGATTTACGGCTGTGGTGGTGCTAGTGATGCAAGAAATAGTGACGGTGGTGACAGTGAAATAAACGGTGGCGGTGGTAGTGGAGAAAAGAGGAACGGCGGTGGAAGTTGAAGCAACGGTTACGGTGGTGGATCTTGAAGCAATGGCTAAGCTGGTGGACCTCGAAGGAAAGGCTACAGTGGTGGATATAGAATCAACGGAGACGGTGGTGGATCTAGAATCAACGGCGACTGTGGTGAATCTAGAAGCAACGGTGGTGGAAGAAACAGAGACGGTGGTGAAAGTGAAAGGACTGTTGGGAAAGTTTGTGGCGTAAAGAACATTTAGATTTGTCTTCTTCAAAAATAGATCTAGAAAATGAGATAATGGGAGAAGTACTGAAGAAGGAAAGTGAAAGAAAAGAAGTTTAAGACAAGAAAAAAAAAGTTGAGAACAAATATGAATGAAAGAAAAAGAACCGAGTATACAATATTTAGGGAAATATTTATGAGATTGAATTGATAAATTAATTACAAAATTGGTTCCGAGAAAATTTTCTCTATTTTTCTGACGTCGTAACGAGAAATTAGTATTGTTGTCGGTAAATACATTTTCCCGATAAACTTACGAGAATATGTTGCGAGAAACTACCGACGAAACCTTTGTCTCGGAACTTTTCGATCAAACTCCGAGAAAGTGTTTAAGTTCTCGGAAAACTCTCAAAAATATGTCATTACTTTTCCGATGAAATAGATTCTCAGAAACTTTTGTCGGAGTACAGACCTTTTTCTTGTAGTGACGTCAGCCCCGAGCTATTCAAAAAGAGGTGTCGCAGCGAGCTAACAGAACCGGTTGTGTACGTGATGATGGCGAGTCCTGTCCATACAAGACCCGAGATATACATCTTACACCCCACAAAGATGCCATCTTTACGAAGAATCAAGAATGAGGTGGATACCCCTGACATGCCTTCCAGTGCAGTAGCGGTCACAATTGGAGCAAAACTATTTATCATTGGCGGATCCTATTATGGCCAGGAAGCTGTGTCGGACATCATGGTTTTAGACGGCAGAGACCACAAGCTAGACACTACGGTCGTGTTCGTTTGCTGGTCGCTAGCGTCAGCGACCAGAGTCAGCGACCAGCGACTGCGACTTGATGTCGCTGATAGTTGTTCGTTTCTATGTCGCGCGACTGATCGCAGCGACTTGTCGCTGAGTTGTTCGTTTCTATGTCGCGCGACTGATCGCAGCGACTTGTCGCTGAGTTGTTCGTTTTAGTGTCGCTTGCGACCAGAACTTTACATTTAAATTATTAATTTAGTTAGTGTCGTTGATAAAATATTATTAATTTTTTTTTAATTCATTTTTAGTTACTCAATTTTTTATTTTTAATTTATACACATCTTATAAATAAAATCATATTAATATACCAAAACAGTTTAAAATCAAAAATCAAATGTTACAAAATTACTAAATAAAAGTAAGTACAAAACCAAATCAAATAAACTAGTAGTAATATGATCACGTAAATCCTCCATGGCTCTATCACCTCTTGGCTCATATGGAATATGTCCACCATGACCATGACCATGACCATCATCTTCATCTTCGTCGTCGTCGTCATCATCATCATCATCATCATCATCATCATCATCATCATCATCATCATCATCATCATCATCATCATCATCATCATCATCATCTTCTTCATCATCCCATGTGTATGATATTCTTCTCTTCTCTGCCAACGCACAAAATCATTATCTTCTCGATGTGAATCACGTATGAAGTTGTGTAGAGCCATCGTTGTTGTTACTAGCTTTATCCATTTGACCAAACCATACTTTGGATGCCTACGGTCAAAAATTCTCCATTTTGCTTTCCACACTCCAAATGTCCGCTCAATCACAGATCGCATGCTTGAATGTCTCCGGTTGAACACCTCTCGAGTGTTCGTTGGCGGTCCTCCTCTGTTGAACTGATCGAGATGATACCGAACTCTACGATACGGACCAAGATACCCTGTTCTTGTAGAATATCCCGCATCAACCAAATAATACTTTCCAGTTGGCGGATGTGGAAAAAAATGCTCATTCTTCGCACAATAAGTAAATACCTTTGTGTCATGTGCTCTACCCGGGACACCCACATAAGCGTATATGAACTTCATATCAAAGTTACATATAGCAAGGACATTCATGATCGGCTCCTGTTTTCTACCTCTGTATGCTGCTGCATTTTGTTTCGGAGGACGAACTGAGATATGAGTTCCATCCAAAGCTCCAATACAATCTCTAAAAAATGGCCAGTATCGATCATCACCTCTCAAAGCAGGACATACTCTTGTGAACTCTCCATCTTCTGGTTTTAGTGCATCTGCAGCAAATTTCAAGAGAGCACTCAAAACCTCATTAAGTTTCCTTTTGACCGTATCCAACGAACGCTGATATCTTTGTGCAATAACCCGTACTGTCTTATCTTGACCCACCACTTCAAGGAACATTGCAACCGCTTCTTCAATGTAGACATTGATCGTCTCTTGTAACCCATATCTTGTCGCTAACATCTTACGCAAATCATGAAATGTCCTCTGATTCATGCGAAGAATATCATAGCACTGTTGATCTGACCCATGCATAAGCTGTTGAACATGATGCGAACCAGCACCTCGATCTGTTCTATGAAGCAATCTCTCTGGCTTGAGCACATCAACTTTCTGCTCTTCCTCATAATCATCATCATCATCATCATCATCATCCAAGTAACACCTAACCATCTGTAAAACATAAAAATCAGAGTCATTACATTTAAAACCAACACTGTACTCAAAGTCATAAAAAAAAACAGAAACCATTCATATTAAAACAGTCACTCTTAAAAGAAACAATCTGAGTCATATAAGAAAAGAAATAAAACAAGAATCATACGCTTAAAAGAAATACTACAATCTAAGTCATATCAAAACATTCTTACTAAAAACAGCCATACTGAAACACACTACAATCCTTCATACATCTTAACTCCAATCATATTCTCAAGATAGCTAATCTTATCATCATCACTAGAGAAAGACATAAAAACCATTATGTTTCCTTCATCAGCTTTGAGATGGTTAACTGCAGCAATGTGAAATGGTGACCACTTTATCACTCCAGGCAGCTCATTAAGTATCTCCAACACAGAGTCCACACGGAATTTACGATCCTGCTGCAACACCACACGATCCTCTGCCATTATCTCTACCATCTTTTCAGCTATCTTATTTTTTTCAGCCAGAATTGCATTCCGTACAACATAAGGCTCTTGATCAAATTCCTTACGCTTTCTTTTTGACGTTGAACATCCAGCTCTACTTGTTCCTTCTCTTGGTGCTGGCATATCAATGTCAACTGAATCAGACTCGTCATCCTTCTCTGCATCTACTCTAGAATCTAAGCTAGCTTCTCCTTGTTGAGCACACCATCCTTCTGCTCCAGTTACAGTAACAGCACCAAACTCTGCTTCAAAGACATCCATATTTGGAGGTATTTTGTTCTTGTACTTTCTTGCACCTTGCGCGTATTAATGAGACAATTAATGTATGTAGAAAACTCAATACATTATACTTTTCCACCTTGACAAAAAGTCATTAGGAAGAATTGTTGTGGTGACAAACAAATAAACAATACAAATATCATTAATCTTAAGGGATTACAAAAACTTAGATCTGTGTATGAATTAGTGGGGGCTTTGGTAGCAAAGAATAATCTTATATCTGTCAAAAGTTTTTGAGGATCTTGTCATTTGAGACTCCATCCGCTACAAGCATTGATGTTATCTCCTGCAAACACAACACACAAACAACGATAAAGATACAATAGCTTCTAAGCATTTAGATTTCAAGTAGCAAAACAGTGCATACCTCAGCCATTTGTCTCTGTCCGCACAGCACTACTCCCGTGGCAGAGGAATCTGAAACTTGTTTAGCCCTCGCAAAAGCAGCCTATATAATACATGATGTGTAATATTAGTTTCATTCATCCACATTGAGTTCAGCAATTAGATTGATGATGTTTGTCAATCTCACCTGCACATATCCGGTTTCCCCTCTCCACCCATTATCTGGCTGTGATAATACCGGCACAACTTTGACACCTGATGATTCCCACTCTTTAAACTTTTCCTGTAAAATCGGAGAGCACAAGTAAATCCTGTAATAGATCAAGTCTCTGCACATAATTTCTATGTAGTGGCATCCTGAACTGCAAAACAACTCTAGAGAAAGAACCAAACCTGATAAGCCATTCGTTTAAGGTTCCTAGCCCCGTAATAGAGTCTTACATCAGATCTTCTATCAGCGCCAAATCCTGTCTCAATAAGTGAGCGGATAGGACTGCAGAGATAAGCACATGAGAGATTACATTCCAAGTGAAGACAATTGCTACAAGTCACATATCACCATCACTAGACATTGTTGATTCTATCAAGCACAGAACATCAAAAACAGAAACACCTAAACACTTTCTCAATATTAGATAAAACACAGAGCCTAAAAGCCTCATATAAAACAATGAATAAGAAACTAAATTCAAAGATACTGACTCTAACTTTATCCCTCACCTAATTCCAGATCCAGTGGCAAAAATCAAAACCGTGGGATACTCCTCAGGAGAATCAATCTGATCAACATCGAAACCATTACCCATCACATGACTAAGCTCCACCGTCTCCCCTCTCTTCAACCCGCATAGAATCTCCGCCGTTGATCCAGCGATGCTCTTCACCAAAAACTCAAACGCGCCATTCGCAGCCGCGAAGGAAGGAGGAGAAGCGATCGCTAAGAAAGAAGGCTTCACGACATCAGGAACACGGAGCTGGAGATACTGCCCGGGTCGGGTGTAGGAATCCACGAGATCCGGGGAGTTAGAAATGTCGATCGAGATGTGGAAAAGCGATTCGGCAGCAGATTCGACTAGAGAGAGAGGAGCAGGGGTCCAGAGAGTGGCGTCCTGGCGTACTGCGGCGGCGGAGACGACGGATGCGACGCGGTTGTTGCGGAGATGGCGCGCGAGGTGGGGTCGGCGCAGGATAAACATGGGGGAGAGGGGGTTGCTAAAATGCGCGTGAGTTAGAGGAGGCGCGAAAGAGAGAGTTGGGACATGGTGGAGAGAGTTTTTTGGGCTTATTGGACCGTCAAAATTAATCGGCACAACATAAGGAGTGTTTTTTTTTAGTTTTTTTTTTGAAACACTTATGTTTAGCCACGAAGACCGACCAGGATATCGTCTTCCTTGCCACTTGTTTCCCGCTATAATCAACTTCTTGGGATTTTGGAGAAGATGCCAAGATAATTTAGCAGCTTTTTTGTATACAATTTCCCAAAAAGTTCTTTGTTAAGCAAAATAAAAATTTTGTTGGTTTGTATTCTATCTAAAAAAAAATTCACAAAGTTATGAAACTAAAATGTTCGTTCAACTATGCAGAAAACAGTGTGAAAAGTAATTAAGCTTTGTTAAAAAAAAAAAGTGTTTGTTGATTTTAAGTCCAAACAAAACTCTTAATATATAGACCCGAAAAACATGTCACCATGACCAATTTAATATTCGTATATGTTAAGAAGAAAAATGTAAATTGTGAACCACCCATGACGATTACAAACAGCAAAGATCATAAATGTAGTTGAAATTATATTACTTATTTATTGGGATTTCTGGAAAATATTAGTAGAACGGAGACATGCAGGAAAGCAAGCACACAACATCATTATATCATCACCAACCGCCTTGGTTTTTTTTTTTTTTGGGAAAAATGTAAAGATATTATTACCAGATTTTAATATTTTTGACAGAATACAGAGGATTACCACCAGAAGCAGATTAAACAGAGTCGGTTTTAACACAAATCTCTCTCTCTACCTCTAGACTATTGCTATTCTCCATGGCGGAAGCAGAGAGCAGCACCAAGGACACCTTGCTACTACCGGTAGACAGAGTTCAAGTAGTGACATGGAGAGATCTGCGAGACGGATCATTCACCGAAGAACTCAAACGTCTTATCTGCTTCGCTGCACCTATGGCTGCTGTAGTCATCGCTCAGTTCACCTTGCAGATCATCTCTATGGTGATGGTTGGTCACCTCGGAAACCTCGCTCTCGCAAGCGCCGCTCTAGCTTCTTCCTTCTGCAACGTCACTGGCTTCAGCTTCATGGTATATGCTTTACCTCTAAGTTTTGAAATAATCTTAGTAATCAAGAACCTTTGTCTCAACACTTGATTGATTTTTTTTGTTATTTTTGTTGCATGTGATGGTGGTACTAGATAGGATTGTCATGTGCCTTAGATACTCTAAGCGGTCAAGCTTTTGGAGCTAAGCTATACCGGAAACTAGGTGTTCAGACATACACAGCTATGTTCTGTCTTACATTAGTCTGTATCCCTCTCTCTATCATATGGCTTAACATGGAGAAGCTTCTTGTTTTCCTTCGTCAAGAACACGCTATTGCACATGAAGCTGGTAGATATGCTACTTGGCTTATCCCTGGACTCTTCTCTTACGCTGTTCTACAGCCTCTCACTCGGTACTTTCAAAACCAGAGCATGATCAGACCTCTTCTTATTGCTTCCTCTTTTGTGTTCTGTCTCCACGTTCCTCTCTGCTGGCTTTTGGTTTATAAGTCAGGTCTTGGTTTTCTTGGAGGAGCATTGGCTGTGGTTTTGTCAAACTGGCTTAATGCTATTCTTCTTGGATCTATCATGTACTTCTCTTCTTCTTGTTCTGAGACACGTGCGCCTCTTTCTATGGAGATATTCAATGGTGTTGGAGAGTTCTTTAGATATGCTCTTCCTTCTGCTGCTATGGTTTGGTATAACACTTTTCTCTGTGCCATTCAACTTCTCAATGTGGTAAAATTATTTTCATGTGTTGTAGCCTAGAGTGGTGGTCCTATGAACTCATAATATTACTATCTGGCCTCTTACCCAATCCAGAACTGGAGACTTCTGTCCTCTCTGTCTGGTAACACCCCATTGCATCTACATTTCATTTTTCTTGTCATCTGCCAAACATAACATAATCCAATCTATGTGCAGTCTTCAAACAGTTGCGACAGTCTATTCAATACATCTTGCCATTGCGGCTGCAGCAAGGTTAGAGCTATAGTCATTACCTAAGAGAGCTGGTGAGCATACTTGACTCATATGGTTTTTTCATGTTCATAAGAGGATGTTTTGTTTGCATGTACAGCACAAGAATATCAAACGAATTAGGTGCTGGAAACTCTCGAGCAGCACATATTGTGGTCTATGCGGCAATGTCTCTTGCAGTGATGGAATCCTTTGTAGTGAGTATGTCTCTATTAATAGGCAGGAATGTTTTTGGGTATGTTTTTAGCAGTGACAAGGACACCGTTGACTATGTTGCAAAGATGGCTCCATTGGTCTCTCTCTCTATCATTCTAGACGGTTCACAGGGCGTTCTTTCAGGTCCTATTCCTCATTGTTACTTTCTTAATCTCCACAGTGAAGTGTTTGTATCCATCTATTATAATTTGCTAATGGATCCTTATAACATAGGTCCATGTCTTCATGTCTGTTCATGTTGTGTCCTTTTTAATCCAGTTATCCCAAAGTTATTATACTCTTCTCTGCCACTACTAACCCTGGTTTTAAAATGGTTAGCAGGTATTGCAAGGGGATGTGGATGGCAACACATAGGGGCTTATATCAACTTAGGATCTTTCTATCTCTGGGGGATACCCTTTGCAGCAGCTTTAGCCTTCTGGGCTCATCTGAAAGGTGTTGGCCTTTGGGTTGGAATACAAGCTGGTGCCGTTTTACAAACTTCTCTGCTAGCTCTTGTCACCGGCTGCACAAACTGGGAACACCAGGTCCATTTCCTTTAATTTTCTCATCTCTCCTTCTTCATGACTTCTTTCTATTGTGAATTAGACATGTATAGGTACTCAAATGGATGACTTTTTTGAACTCTAGGCCCTTAAAGCGAGGAGGAGAATGGCTTTAGCCTAAGAGTAATGTTAGCCGTTGTCAAAGACCATCTAAATATTAGAGGGACCATGTTTTCCTCAAGTTTTACCATTTTGCTAGCTGTTAAATAGATGTATGTTACTTCAGACTAGTGGTTGCTGCAAAATAAAGAGTCTTTTTTCTTTTGGTAGTAATACTGCATAACGAATATATTTTGAGGCCGTTTCTTTCATCAAAATCACATATTTTAATTGTTCATTTTCTAATGAGATTCAGCTTGTTAAATAGATCAATAAACAAATCTCATAAACGCGGGAAACAAAATAACAAACTCCATAACCGCCATAACGGCCCCTTCTCTTTCCCTATATAACAAACTCACGTAACCGCTTTCTTCTTCTTCCCTTCTCTCACTTCAAACCTCACAAGTTAGCAACAATGGCGTCTCTCTCATTCACCTCCGCCGTCTTTCTCGCTGCACTCATCCTCAGTCTCCCTCATCCATCCGCCGGAGTCCCTCTCGAAGAACTCGAACGAGCCATCACTGTCCTCCGCGTCAGAGGCAGAGCTCTCTTCGCAAACGCGATCGTAACCTCCGATCTCCTCTTCGATCTCCTCTCCGTCGAGTCGCTCACTCTCTTCGCCCCAACCGATTCCACGCTTTTCGATCTCGACATGACTCACTCCTTTTCCTTCTACGTTTCCACTCTCCGTCTCCACTCCGTACCTGTTCGCCTCCCGTTCTCCGATCTCAGATCTCTCCCTAACGCCACCACTCTCCCGACGCTGCTCCCTTCTCACCACCTCCTGCTCTCTAGGCCTTCTTCTTCCAATGAATCGGTTTATCTCGACGGTGTTCACATTCTCGTCGCTGGTTTGTTCTACGGTCAGCATCTCGCGGTGCACGGGATCGACGGTCTTCTTTCACTCACGACGCCTTCGTCTCCTCAGCTTTCCGTTGATTTGGCTCCAGTGGTTGATTCGCCGGCGGAGTCTCCGTATGCTGGGGATTCGAGATTCTCGCCTGCACCGCAGCCTTACGAATCCTTTCTTGGTCGTTCGCCAGCTGAGACGCCGAGGGTTGAAGAAGTTTCGCCGTCGCCGTGGAGAGAAGGTATGATCGTAGGCGATGGAGGTGGTCCGTTGGATTGGAGGAGTAACCACTTCTGATGGACACGTGTCGTAATCTGTGCAAGTGAGGGATTTAGCTGAAGAGACGATTTCTTTGTAAACGAGTCCTTTCTTTTTGCTTGAAAAAATTGTAAAACTTTGATAGTGTGTAACACATTACTCGTTCTTTAATGTCAAAGCTTGAGTTTAATAAGTAAATACTAGCTTCTATTTTTTTTAACGTCAAAGCTCTTACACGTTTGTTCAAAATGCTTGAATTTAATAAGTAGATACTAGCTTAAGTAATGCAACGTGAAGGCCAAAACTAGTTCATATATAAATTAAATAACAGCACAAAGGCAAATCCTTCTTACAATACCATAGTCTAGCAAAGTCTTCTTCTAACTCGCAAACTCCACGTGTACTACAACATAGGCATCAAAGAACAACACAACATACTAATAAGACGTTTGACAATCTATTGTTCAATTTCTCCTTCCACTGCTTCTGCTTCCGCAGTATCAGTTGCCACTTCTTTGTCGTTTCCTTCTCCCTCTTCCAGTACATCATCCATTGTTATTTCATCCTCGCCACCATTGATGTCCTCTACTTCATCTTCTTCCTCTTCATCTCCTCCTCCAGGTATCTTCCTTTTCTTTGGACCATGCTCCATTATATGCGTCTCTAGATCCTTATCCATTGTTTCCTGCAAATTCATAACATCGTTGTTTGCTTTCCTCGCCTTCCTTGCGTTTTCCCACTTTTCCAGCTCTTTCTCCACATTCCCCAGATATTTCTCTTCGATCTCCTTTTGATACTCACTCACTTCTAGTCTCCTTGCCGTTTTCCATTCTAAGAATTCCTGCGCCCACATCTCACCATTCACATATCAATATCACATAGTATGCATGTCAAAACATTCATCACAAAAAGCCTAACACTTTACCTGCTCTTTGCGTTGTTCCGCCTCAGTTGTATCTTCTTCCAAAGGCCTCGTTAGTGCATAGTATATCTGTGGCTCTGCTTTAGTCCTGAAACAGCCGTCCACATGCAATCAAATGAAAAGATTGTTAACAGAAACATATATATCAGCTATCAATTTCTACCTATGGCCTTGCCCATCAACATTTGTATGCACGTGAATGGAAACTTATCTTTGCTTCTATTAAATTTTGTGAATATGCACACTTTCGACCGAAATTAAAAATAACCTGTACATCATGCATAGCAAACTCATCATGAGGAATTCCTCAGGCGGAGGAAGTAATGGAACAATGGAAATAAAACAGCATCTCAAAACTACCTTATAAAATTGCCAAGGCGTTTCTTCTGCTCACACCACCGAAGGAATAGCAGTTCTAACTCTTTTTGTTCCGCCTTGGCAGCAACACGGGCTCGTAGCGTCTGATTGACAAGTTCAATTTTATATCAGAACGCGAGTACACAAGAATGCCCTTTGGAATAGAAAGTAAGAAAAAAAATCGTAGCTGGGTGCTTACAAGATCTCTTCTCCTCTTTTCAGTCAGAGTCTCACGCTCTTGCAGTCTCAGTCGCTCACTTTCTTCACGAGCCTTTTGCTCAGCCTAGATTAGTAGGAGGTATACACGTTTAAATCATTGTAGTACTAAAAATAAATTAAGATATATAAGCACATTCTAACTGGACATATAACGATCCCCTAAACCTAACATCTTAGCAACACCAGTATTATCTCAGGTCACGAACACCCAATTCCAAAACATAGATCATATCAAGATAGATTTGTTCTCCTCTACAATGTTACTCAAGTCAAACGATACTGGAGGGAGATGCTATCGTGACTATCACATCCAAGTACAATAAAGTGACAGTTCCCCTCACTAAACAGCAATAACTTAGTAAAAAATCTCGTATCTGGGTTTTAAGTACATGAAACAAGCCATGTGAATCTGAGTGTGTGCTTACCTTTTGTAACGCAGCGGACCGTCGAGCAAAGGCATCTGTTCCAGAAAGCTGTTTATCTTCTTTTCTGAACCTCTGCAGAATGGTAAGGAATGTAAACAATTGAGACTACAAAAACTTGTATAAAAGAACGACACATCCAGGAGAGACTAAAGAACATGAGCAAAAAGAGCTATGTCCATGTAATGTAACAAATACCTCCAAAGTCCCTAGAAGATTCCCCAGCATTCTTCTGTTCCTATTAACCAGTTTAGGATCCTCATTCTTCGGTAAATTCCTTGGTGCAGGCTCAGGCAATGCCAGATCTTCAAAACCCTGATAAAGAGAGCACATCAACGAAGACTATTGAGTAAAATCCCCACTACAAAAACTAGTAAAGCGATCCTCTTTGTGACAAAAATTATGTGGTTATTGATAACCTTCTTGATCCCTCTATGTTCAGCATCCCTCTGTGACCAACTTCCACGACGCTGACCATCTACCTTCTTGTCCCTTAGATCAGAGTTCCCATTTTCACCAGCTGCAACATTGGTTCCGTTGCCATCTTCAACCTTACTAACATCTTCACCTTCAACCTGATTCTCCTAATAATCAAATAAATAAATTTTTACAATCTATTAATAAGAATGAGAGCAAGAGAGACTTCTAATACCTTAACAACGGCGGAAGATAATCTCCGTTTAGCAGGAGGCTCATCTTCCACATCATTCCTCTCCGCCTTCAAACACCATAAAACCTATTAACACAATCTCAAAAAGGAGAACAGATACGAAGGCGAAAGAGTTAAATTTACAGGTCGAATAAAGCCTCTACGGGGTTGATTGCGAGGACCAGCGCCTGAGAGTCCTCCTCGGCGGAGTCCACGTGGATCGCGAAGCCTCTCCGTGATCTAATTACGATACAAAATCGCCGTCAATTAAGAGAATTAGGATGTAGATTCAAACTGAGAGTGAGATTGATGTTCAGATGATAGTTACCTCGCGCTGCTGACGGCGAAGCTCATCGATCTCATGCCGTAGCTCTGCGGCGGTTTTCTCTATGGCGGTGTCTCCCATTGTCGCAAGCTGCAAAGAAGTTCACTCGAGAAACCCTTAACACATTCTTAGAGGAGACAGAATATTTTTTATATGGGCTTTTAATACGATTTAGTAACGTTGGGCCGTAGTTTTCTGTGACGGTCCGAGTCCACTTACCATAAACTTCAGAAAAAGGGTTTTATTATATTTTAAATCATTTAAAAATCTGAATAAATTTTAAAAATTATATAAGTTTCAAATCTTGTTGATTTTTTTTTATTTTTGAAAATCTGTAAGTTTCCACTCAGACTAAAACTTTTGTGTTTAACTTTTTCTTCATATTTTTGCAATTCCATTATGAAATTATTAATAATAAACAAACTAATAATTCCACTTGTGGAAACTCTATTAGTCAAGTGGTTTGATTAAGAACTCTCTAATGCTTTTAGGTGTGTAGAATTGTTTGTTGTAATTATGTCTAATAATGTTTTTCATAGTTTGTAATATCATAATTAATTAGTATTACTAAAAAAAATTAATAATACCACTTGATTTGTTTTCAGAAGTAAAGAAAAACTAGAAAACAACCTCATGTGGTAATTAACATATTATTTATATTATCTCAAATTTCAGTATCATGAATAATAAAAGAAGAAAGAGCTTTATTGCAGCAAATATTTCACACCAGAAAAGAAAAAAAAATACAGAGGAGCAGAGAGGTTTTATCTAGTCTGGAAGTTGAGAGTCCTAATACAGAAGGCAAAGACAAAGGCAAAGAAGACAGGGAAGATAACAAGAACAGCTGCAACAGGTCCCATGAAGCTTGACTCAAAACCATATTGGTCTTTAAGGTACCGTTTCACAGTGAGATCAGGAGGACCACCAGGCATAGCAATAAGAGTCTCAACGTCACCGTACTGAGAAGTAATCAAACCGTATATGGTCCAAGCGACAGGGCAGATCCAGTAATACCATATCCACCATTTGGGGATCTTAGGTCTTGGGATAAAGAAGCCAGAGAAGAGGTTAAAGATACCATAAAAGGCTGATGCAAAGATAGAAGCAACTTGCTGGTTAGGTGTGAGGGAGACAGTCATCATGCCATAGTAAGTCCAGTAGAGGAAAGAAGTGTAGTTGATGAAGAGGAACCACAAGAACTTTGAAGCTTTCCACTCGAATCCAACCATTGCGTAGACGATGAGGGAGTAGTATGTTGTCTGGATGAAGACATAAGGTAGCTCACAGGTTACTTGGGAGATAGCATATGGTATAGCTGAGTACATTCCAGCTGCTTTCTCTCTGTAGAACACTGTACGTTCCACTGCCACCATTGGTTGCACTGTGGAGCAGTTGTTTACTCCAACGAATATAACTGCTGAATAGATTGCTCCTAACACCATTGTTAGATCCTGTACGTTTGATCTTTTGCCTCCTATTTGCCAAAAGACAGAACCGATCATAAGAGCTGTTGCTAAAGTGAAGATGAACCGGACAACGTTGTAGTCTGGTGATCTCCAGTAAGTCCACCATTGTTTCCATAGACATGATTTGTATTGTCCCCATGTGTTCTGTGAAAACTGTGTAGCAAAGTAGAGATCTGATGCTCCTTGTGGTGGCACGCTTAGTTCTTGTACCAGCTGCTTGTTTCGCCTGTGATTATAGTTTTTATCATATGTTAGTATGATTGGATGTAACACATAGAGAATATTTTCTGTTATGTTATGTTATGTTTACTTACTCGCATAAGGAAGAAGACTTGTAAAGCTCAGCAAAGTCAACACCAAGCTTCATCTCAGCAGCAAGGGAGCTAGCTTCAAGCATCCAAGTGGCTGGATTGTACTTTTCAGGAATCTTTGGCACTCCAGGAATAGCTTCAAAGTACTCAACAATCTTGTGAGAGTCTTTACCTAAAGGACCAGAGTATATAACTTGTCCTCCTCTCTTCATTAGTAGTAACTCATCAAACGCCTCAAAGATATCAATGCTAGGTTGGTGAATGGTGCAGACAACAGTTCTCCCTGTGTCCACTGTGTTCCTCACAGCTCTCATCACAATGGCAGCTGCTCTAGCATCCAACCCTGAAGTAGGCTCGTCCATGAAGATGATTGAAGGGTTAGCCACAAGCTCAACAGCTATTGTTAACCTCTTTCTCTGTTCAGTGGAAAGTCCTGTGACTCCAGGTAAACCCACAATGGCGTCTCTTAAGTCAACCAACTCCACAAGCTCCATCACTTGATCCACAAACATCATTTTCTCCTCTTTGCTTACTTCTTTAGCAAGGCGAAGGAAAGCAGAGAAGATAAGTGATTCTCTTACTGTAACTTGTGGAGAATGAATGTCTGTTTGTTCACAGTAACCAGAGATTCTAGCGAATGTTTCTTGTTTCTTGGGGAAACCAGACACTCTTATATCTCCTTCTATGTATCCTCCTGTTTTTCTCCCGGCCAAAACGTCCATCAGTGTTGTCTTCCCTGCACCACTCACGCCCATCAATGCGGTTAACACTCCTGGCCTAAACGTGCTTGTTACTCCTTTTAGTAGTTGCAGCCTTGTTTCTTGAACTCCTTGGTCTCTCATTTCCTGCATCATCAAAGTTTTCTATGAGTTTCTTTTCACTTAGTAACACAAAAAAAAAATCAAATTAGTTTTTAAAAAGATTACCGCAGGCATGTCAACATAGTATTTAACATCGTCAAAGGACAAAGCTAGTGGAGTGAAAGGAAGAACCATTCCTTTCTTTGTGTTCACATTCTCCATTTGAATCTCCTCTGTTTTTCAAACATTAAAATGTTAGCTTTCTTTTTGTTTTAATATAAATTCTTATTGAAAACAGAGGAATACTTACTTTTGGATTCATCTTCTTCTTTTGGGAGTATAGCTTGTGGCTTCCCAAGTGCTGTTATGATATACATAGAAGACATGTTAGTATTTTTATGAGCTGGTAGCAGAAGTAATACTAAAAACGGAAACTTACGGTCTAAATAAGCAAGTGCAAGTGTGAAAAGACCGTTGAAGAGGACAGCAAAACCAAACACGCCTCCAATGCCTATCCAGTACCAGTTCTCATCATCAAACACATCCCACATGTTAAGCATCGCTGTCCCTAACCTCGTACTGTTGTCTGAAGACTGCAAATACACAAACAACATCAGCGCTTTGCAGTTTTTTTTTTTTACTTTGGTATGATTTAAATAACGGGAAGAGTTACTTACCATTTTATTCATCCATCTAGGAGCAAACATTTCATTAACGGTGATGGCATTGAAACCATATGAAAGTGGAGAAGCCCAAAAGGCCCACCTCCACCAAACCGGGATCTCACGGCGAGGAAGAAGGAAACCTCCGGTCAAGAACACGACTAGTAAAGCCAGCATACCACCAGTGTTAGCTATAGTCATTGTTCTACAGATAGATGCAATGAACCTGAATATCCCAGCAGCCATTTGTTGGATTAAAAATATAATAAGGAACTGTTTGAAGAAACTTTCAGCCGCAGGTGCAAATCCTATAGAGTAATACGTCACACCCATCCATGCAGTAGTCTCAAAGATTGAGATTGGTATCCCTAGCAAGAAAGTAGGTAACGTGTATGTCCAAGGAGGATGAAACAAAAGATCTCTTTGCTTGTAGAACACGGGAAGTCTCTGTATCGTCATAGCCATCTCAGCAAGACCGTTGAACATGTTGACAATCAGACCGAACAGGAGTGCACCCATGTACATGTTCCCGTCAGCTTCGTTCCTTGTGTCCATCTCTGTTCTGAGGAAAACGGTAGACAAGATCGCAGCGATGATGATGATTTGGACTGTTTTGAAGACGTAGAAGAAGGAGTTTCGTTTCATGAGCATCCATTCTTTGTCCCAACAGGTTTTGAGAAGCTCTGACTTCTTTACTGAGTATTTGTCGAACACTAGAGCTGCTTTGTGTCCTTTGGATTTATCGAACGGTACTGATAGCTCGTTGGAGAGTTTGTTACCGACGTGGAACGTTTTGAATTTGGTGGCGAATTCAGGTACTGTTATGTATCTGTAAGGTCTGTTTGGATCCACCCAGTACTGCTCTTGGTCTTTCTTAGAGGTAACCTGTTCCACACGTAAAGTGTAATTGGTATGTTATATATGAGTACGGACAAGTCTAAATTAATATATTTTTAAAAGTATATACTCCTTCCATTTCACAATGATGCTTTACTTTGATAAACAAAGATTAATAAACTTTTTCTCATAAAAGTAATTTTAAAAATATAATTTAAAAATCATTCAATCAATTATAAAAATGACTATAAAAATCTAATTGATTAGACAGTTTGCAATAAAATTAAAAATAATATAAAAATATCAAAACATCATCTATTTTGAAACAACAAACATCTTCTAAAATGTCATCTATTAATTAAGAAACAGAGAGAGTATAAATTATGATCTAAAACTTTAAGTTTTTATATATATTACTATGTTTGAAATTTATAGTTTATATGTATAAATATATATGTAAAATTTTAAAACTATTTTATTAGATCACCATTAATATCATTTTAGCAGGGTTTAAGAATAATTTGAGATACACTAGTGAAAATCTAGCTAGAGAACTGTGTATTTTTTTTACCTCTTGTAAGAAATCAGCTGTTCCTTTTCTTTCAGGGCACTTGAAGCCAAAGCTCTCAAAGAACTCAACAATGTGTTCTCTAGGTCCTTGGTACACAGTCTGTCCTTCCGACAATAAGATTATATCATCGAATAAATCAAACGTCTCAGGAGCAGGCTGCAGAAGAGATATGACCACGGTGGCTTCAGTGAGGTGAACAATCTGTTGCAAACATTTCACGATTTGGAAAGTTGTGGAGCTGTCAAGCCCTGTGGATATTTCATCCATGAACAGCGTCTTAGTTGGTCCAACGATCATCTCACCGGTTGTCACACGCTTCTTCTGACCTCCTGAGATACCTCTCATCATGTCATCTCCAACTATAGTGTCCTTGCAAATATCAAGCCCTAGAATCTGTTTCAAAAATATTTAATAAGAAACATTCATAAGTATTAATAACATAAGCGACATACTATATGATCATAAGCACCATAATTAATCTATATGAATTTTGAAATAGAGTTTAGGGTTGGAAAGAAGCTAACTTTGAGAGTGTAGTCAGTGATGAGACTACTCTTGACACCTTGAGCAGCAGATGCCTTCATGAACAAGTCAACATCAGCTTCAGGAAAAATCCCAGCGTCCTTTTCTCTCCTCGCAAGCTCGTTTAATAGATCTGCCATAGTAGATAAGATACCATTAGACTACATAACTTATCACACAAGAAGCCATTAGACTATATAACTTGTCACACAAGTAACCTATTTATTTGACACGAAAATAACAAAAATAGTTTAAGTAATTTATACCATAACGGGTACCAACGCCTTGACACCGAGCAGAGAAATCAAGAGTCTCCTTAACGGTCATGATACCAACATGGAGATCGTTCTGACTAATATAAGCAGAGGTTTTAATAGGAACAAACTCGTTGAGTTTGTAACCATTATAAGTAACATCACCAGAGATCTCAAGAGACTTGTCTAGCTTCCCAGCAAGAGCCAACAAAAGCGTTGTCTTCCCAGAAGAAGGAGGACCCAACAAAAGCGTCATCCTCGAAGGTTTAACAATCCCAGAAACATCTTTAAGAATCGTAAGCTGCGCCTTCTTAGCAAGATGGATCCCAACCAAACCAAGAAGAGACTCTCCCATGTTCCTCACCGTGTTAGTAAGCGAAGGAAGAGACCTATCACCAGTATAACAATCAGCCTTCACAGTCAAATTCTCGTACCTAACTTCCACTGTCGGAAGCGTTATCCCAACTCTATCGATCCTGTTCCTCAGCTTCGTCAAGATCCTCTCGTTGTCCTGCTCCGCGACTTTGAAGACCATGTCGATGAACTTGGCACGCTCCTCGCCGTCTAGCTTGGTGACGTCGACTTCTTTGTTGAGGATTTGGTTGCCGTAGAGGTCTTCTTCTTCTCCTAGGGCAGGCATGAGACTTGTACGGAGACGGCTGTAGGTTGGGAGTTTCTCGATGGCTGCCCATTTGAGAGCTTCTTCGTCTTCGTTGACTGATTTGGTTCTTCTTGAGCTTGGGGAGAATATGTCTTCTAGGTTTTTGCTTGCTCTGCTCACGCTACGGCTTATGCTTCGACGCATGCTGCCTCCTCTGCTCATTGCGTGAGCTGGATCGTAATCCATCTCTCGTTCTTGATTCTTAGATTTTTCTTCTTTGTTTTTTTTTTACACTAAGGCTTATGGTTGTGACTGTCACAGAAAAAGAATGAGAAAACAGAAGAAGAAGAGAATCGTTGGTTCCTCTCCTAAAGAAAATCAGATATTAAATAGCATAAAGCAACGGTCATTAGTATCCTTCGAGGAAAAAGCAGCGAAGACTTTGTCTAAGTCTGCTAATTTGAAAGAGGGAGAAGAGTTTAAGACTTTGACAAGTCAATATTGTCTCCCCTTTGGACCTCCTCTCCTGCTTTTTAACACGTTATTTCAAATAAAATAAGAATATAATAATATATCTGCAATTGATTGAGCAAATAAAGTTGTGATTATTTTAGTAATTTATATGATAATGGAACTTCTCTTTTTATTTAACAGGATAAACCATGTGGGAGCGATAAAGGCTGCTTAACATCAATCATATACAGTTAAATACTTGATATTAATACGTCTGTAATGACTATGGTGCCAAATGATGTAGCTGGTGGGTCAAGCCTGGTTGCTAATTTTTTGGCATTATTTGTTTTGTCTTGCCTAACCTTCTCTCGTTAACTATTACAGAAAGGTGGCTTTACTTTAAACATTCCTGAATTATAGAAACATCGTTAGGAGTTAATGTACTAATTACAAGGCATAACGTTGACCAAAAAAGACATAACGAATATAGAGAAACTGGACTATTACCATGCAGAATAATTAACCAGTTTATCGGGTTCTTTGGTATTGAGTTCAAACATGTGTTTCATATGCTATTTAGTCTATAGTACCAGTAACAAATATGTACCACGAGAATGACAGCTATGTAATGTGTTCAAACTAACCCTAAATAAAATGACAGCTATGACATGCCTCGGTGAGATCGCCGCACAGGCTCTTTGCCATCTTTTTAAACTTACATTAGTATGCGTTTTAAAAATGTTTTAAAGCACGTTTTCATAACCAACGAACGACTATTTTTAGATTTTTGTAATACGAATTTAACTAATAAACGAATCTTGCATGGGAGAAATCACGGGCAACGCTTGATTGTCGGGGGAGAAAAGAAAGAAGAGGCTGAAGTGAGGATTAGCTGTGATTAAATAAAATATGAGTATTTGACTAACCGTATTAATATTGTCAGTGATCATGATGAGATATTTGTATTAGTTTAGTACTCCACCACCAGACCAGCTCATATGACTCGGAAGATTCCCAAGAGGAAGAGTTTGAATCCACACCATTTGTCTTCACGTTGAAAGACAATTATAACTGCTTCGGTGGAAATTATTAGAAACCTTTTGGCTGCTGGCGTGGATAATACATTAGTGATTTTAATTAAAAAAATAACAAGCACCTACTATCATGATTCATGATGGTTGAGTTGCTTCATGATGGTTAAGGTTGAATATGAGCTTACAAATTAGCAGGATGCATTTGGTTTGAGAATAAAGTGATTTGTTATAAAAATGACAAATTCTCTGATTTCTAAATCTATTTTTTTTTACACTACTTGTAATTTTTAAATATATTATAAAATCTAGCATTGTTGAAAAATTTCTTTTCATTTATTTAAGAGATATTGTTATGAAAAGAAGAAGATATTGTTATGAAGTTTAAATTATGGAAAATTGCCAGTAATAACCCTTTCAAGATACCACTTTTCAACTTTACACTAACCAACTTTACCATTAAAATTTTAATAGTCAAAATACTATTAGAATTTAGGGTTTTGGGTTTAGGATTGATAGTTTAGGGTTTAGTGTTGATTTTTTAGGGTTTAGGGTTTAGAGTTTATAATTGATATTTAGGGTTGATTTTTAGGGTTTAAAGTTTATTTTTTAGGGTCTAGAGTTTAGAATTGATGTTTTAGGGTTTAGGGTTCATATTTTATTTAATATTTATTATATATATATAAAGAATAATGATATAAGAGTCTTTTATCCTTTAATAAAATGTGTATTTTTGAAAATGTACCTTTGTTAATGGTAAACATGAAAAGTGGTACCACCAAACTGGTATAATTGAAATTCTCCCTTAAATTATCTGGTGGTCTTCTTAGTTAAAAATATAGAATAAAATTTCTAGTGAATTCTGTTTGAAATCTAATTATTTATTCTATTCACCAAAATTCATGTAAAACACCATTTTTTGTCACTTCATGTAAAACACCACTAAAATCAAAGAATTATGCCCAATTGAATACAAAAATATTAAGTTGACAAAAAAAAAGAATACAAAAGATATATTTCCTGGTCGGGTCTATATAGAAACGAGAAAGCCCATATAAGACATTTTAGGCCCATCTCATCGCATCGCTCTGATAGTCACATCAGTAAATCGCACACTGATTCTCTGAACACTAGCAGAGTAGCAGCAGCACTTGTTCTTTGATAATGGATGCTCCCGAAGATTCCTCTCACTATTTCACCGATTTCACCTTAGCCGAGGTCTACTTCATTGTCTACTCTTTAATTTTATTAGATTAAGAGATTCATGCGATGTAGTAAACCTTAATATTACTCTTCTTATCGTGCGAAGATTGTAGACATGGAGACTCTGTTCAGGGAGCTCGGTGATCAATCTCTTCTCAAAGACTTTTGTCAAACTGTTGCCTCCTCTTTTAGGTATTTTAAATAGAGATGCAACGCATGCATTTATTTTGAATCAATTGGAGGATTATGTTTTGCATATATGTTTTTTTATTACCATGCTTGATATCTAATGTCTGTTCCATGATTATGTTTTGGTCGGGATCAAAAAGTTGCTCAGTGAATCGGAATGGAAAATCGTCAATTACATGGAAACAAGTGCGTTTATTTATCTTTTCATACAACAACGCTATTAGGTCAGAAGAAGTAACCTTTTTGTTCTTTTGAGATGTTTGTTTTCAGGTACAGGGTTGGTTTCAAGGGAGGCTAGAGAAGGAAAACCAACGCAAATCCAAGACTGTGCCATCTTCTCCTTTGCAGATTGTTGACTTATCAAATCTCGGTGGTGTCAGAGATGCTGGAAATCATGAAAATGTTACCTCTGGTCAAAGAGAAAAAGGCTAGTTTCTTTTTTTGGTGTGCGTTATTTTCGTTCCTTAGTCTCTGAACATGTTTTTGGGTACACAGGTAAGGCCTCTGATGTGTCTGATCTCGCTTTTGAGGCTAAATCTGCAAGGGATGACGCGTGGTAAGCACTTTTACTTGCACTGAATGTCACGTTTCCAAATGTAATATACAACATATATACGTTTGGGCGAAACTCTTTAGCACAAGACTTTTGTTAAAACTGGCCAAAGTGAAAAACATGGAATGTACTGTGTCTCCTGTTGATTGTTAACTTAATAAGCAGTCCCCCTACCTAACATATGTTCAGTCTGAACGTTTGGCAATGTCAAGCATGTAATGTACTTTTGTGTGTTTTATATATGTGCTTATTTTCTGAATTTATTGTTATTCAGGTTTGACGTGGCTTCGTTCATAACTTATAGATATCTTCGCACTGGTGAACTGGTAAGGCTCGTCTCTTTTGCTCAATGGATGATTTGATTGCAACTGAGAGTGTCTTGCAACAGGAAGTGCGTGTCCGGTTTTCTGGGTTCGACAACCAACACGATGAGTGGGTGAACGTGAAAACTTCAGTGCGTGAGCGGTCCATTCCTGTAGAACCATCGGAGTGTGGGAGAGTGAAGGTTGGTGACCTGCTTCTGTGTTTCCAGGTAAACCTTCTGATCTATTTGAATGGAAAGCAACAAAAAGTTTAAACATAAGAATGGAAACATGGGTGTGTTAATGAGCAGGATAGGGAGGAAGAAGCACTGTACTGTGATGCTCATGTTGTGAATATCAAGAGAGGGGTTCATGATCATAGGAGTTGTAACTGCGTGTTTTTTGTTCGCTACGAGTTTGACGATACAGAGGTAAACAGCTTGATCTCGGCCTTTATGTTGGGTGGTATGGGAAGTATAATTCACCAAGTTGCGTTTTGACTATATGAACAGGAACCGCTGGGACTAGAAAGTATTTGCCGTCGTCCTGAAGAGTGAATTTGTTTTGGTCATGAAGTAATCTTTAGAACCAGACTCACTGATACTCGGTAAACTATGACTAGATCGTATATAGCTGAACTAAGGGTCCCTGCGACTGTGTTAGTTTTTGCTGTCAATAATGTGAACTCAAGTCCAATGTAACAAAACCTAAATGCTTAAGCAGTTTAGTTTCCACTTGACACTTTCGTTGCAATTTCCAATAGAGTGGAGAGCCAAAGTTTGTTTTATCCATAACCTCTGATGAAGGAAATACAAAAATACATGGATTATCTTGTGGTCAAATACAAAAACGTTGTAACTGGGACTACATGATGAACTTCAGTGTCTAAGTCTTATTCTTTTGGGCAAGACACCACATTGCTTGTAAAAGACGCAAACCAGTTCTTATCTGATTCTTCTAAACAATAGATGTGGTACTCACTCCTTCCACACATTGTTTTATTTGGCTACGACAATAACATCTGACTCAAGAACAGTAGAAGCTAAGGAACTAACGGAGGTTTAGCCATCTCCTCAACCGGGAAGCCACTCCCTGAGGAGGAGGGGGAGGTGGAATAAGAAGATCAAGAATGGTAACTCTCTCTTTCGGAGTCAAAGAAACACCTCTAATAAGATCCAACGCCATGATGTGTACATTAGTCCTTTGCCTGTGCTTACTATAAACCAGCCCTGCAGCAGTACCTCCAGCAATCAGAACCTGACACAACAAGAAAACCCAAACTCCATTAAACTAAAACGTCTCCTTAAGGAGTCTTTAAACTTTTTTCTTGACCGCTAAAAACTGACCGGAGTTAGCCACAATGCAGCTGTCTGCATATCGAATTTTGGAGCATAGAGCACTGTCTCCCCAAACTCATCCTCGAGCTTACTGTATATCTCTTTGTCTGTTTTTCCAGCTCCAATCTCATCACGAATCAGCTGCAAGACTCAGGTGTATCAGAGTAATATGACAACAAAACTAACTTCAACTCATCCTTTGGAATGTTTTGAGTAAAAAAGAAAAGACACTCACCTGTCTAAGGAGAATAGCGACATCTGCCTGAGAGTCTTCAATAGACTGACTCCCACACTCAGTGCAGCGAACGTTGTGGCTGATGTTTCTGGCTCGAGCGTCCAGCATCTGAGCCTTCTTCAGATCCTCGTCTCTTTTCTCCATTTCCCTGAAAAAATTTCATGGTGTTGAGTATCGTGAGTTTTCACAAACGCATTTCGTCGAACATGTTGTGGACAACATATAGCAGAAGTGAATGATGAAGGAAGAACCTGGGTGAAGAGGAATCGAGAGAGATTCTAGAAACCGCTGAGTCACCCCTCAGCTCAGATGATTAACCTGGAGCTGAAAAATGAAACCTTTCGCTTGGGATTAATCTCGGAGCAAGACTGTAAAGGAAGACGCCGGTTGATCGAGAAGGCGTGTGAAGGAGCGTTGAAACTTCAGACTGAAACGTGTATTGTAAAGACGACCTTCGCGTGTGAAAGTTATGGCCCGAGGGGATATAAACAAGGATAGGGCCCGTCCAACCTTAATAAAATTGGGCCTTGTAGTTGAAGTAGAAGACAGTGAGAATTAACAAACATGAGAGGTAAGAACCAAAACAGACAACTGAGCCAAGAAGGAACATATGTAAAACAACAATGGCACTGTACGTATCAAGCAAATTATAGGAGAAAGTGGAACTGAAATAAACGCACTACGCTGATAACTCTAAAACAAAAGTGTTGCTGTGTTGGTTATGGGTCTCCTCTTCTTCTTCATCACTCATCTCTTGCACTTGGGGGTGTGGATGAAGGTTAGAGAAGCATTATCTTTCTCACGTGTACCCTAACATTAGCAAACTGATCTCATATGGCTCTTTGAACATACTGACGCCAGAGCCTCATGGACCCATGGTGCTGATGGTTTGCTGTCTTTCTAAAATCATTCTGCGATGGAGGCTTCAATTCTATTCTCTTTAAGGGGAGATACACAAGTAGGCGTTTTGTTCATTAGACATCATAACATCCATGTTGCTTCCATCTTTTGCTTTTCTGCGGAGAATGAGCAAATTCAACAACAAAGAGAAAGGCAATGCATGTATCTTTTCTCATCCCGGGTTGCACTGTTTCTAAAATGTCTAATATGTTTCTAAATGCCTTTTGACAGACCAAGGGCTAATAAGACTCTTTTCTTCTCCACAATACATGTTCAAAACAGAGTCACCAACACACAAACTACATAATTCAATTTGGAATTTGATTCTCCAAGAAGAGATAGACAAGACACATGCCTACTAAGGAGCAGCGGGTAGCTCAGCATCATTGCTGCAATCACTATCCTTGAAATTGAGACAGAATAACAAACAAAATCAAATATTTCATGGAACAGAAGCAAGAAAAAGCAAGTCAAAAGCGATCGTATTTCATCCAGTCTCATGTTTAACATCCGATACATAAGCTTTGCTACCATTGCCAAATGGTGTAAAGCTCAGACCTTTAAAGGAAAAAGCTGCTAAAGTCTAATCCTTTATTTTATATACACAACTCGTGGAACACTGTGAACACTCTCAAACAAATCCTTCAACCAAAATCGGCTTCATCTCCTCTTCTTCATCCTCTTCACTCTGATCCTTCTCCCCCTTCCCACTCTCAACACCATCAACGTCTAACTCTTTCAAACCATCACCACAACTCCTCCCTTCTCCTCCTTCCCCTGCCACCACCAACGCATCATCCAACTTCTCATTTCCCTTTCCGACTAGACACGGCCCAGTCTCCCCTCTATTTTCCCCGCCAGCGATGATCGTATCAGAAGATCCGGTGGATGCCGGTTTCGGATCAGCTACACAGCCGCCTTCTTCCTCGTCGTCCTCGAAAAGCGTCGCCGCGCGTGATTTCACGGCGTCTGCGGCTTTACGAAATGCCTCGTGTATAGAATCAGGTGGAAGAGCACAATCTTCGAGGCCGGCGTCTGCCAACGCCGGAGGAAGGATCTTGTCAAGCAAGCCGACTCTTTCTTTCGCAGCCTCCATAGATTCAAAGCTCTCTTCTGTTAATTACGAACCCTAATTCCGATATTTTAATCTTTTCGAGGGAAAGACGGTGCAAGGGTAGTTACGTCATTATACTTAATGACTGGATCACGAAATTGCCAAGGGTATTTTTGTCATTATACTAAACGCCTGGATCACGAAATTGCCAAGGGTATTTATGTCATTACAGTGGGATCGAGTTAACGAAATAGCCAAAGGGTTTTTGAACGAACCAGGGTTCGACGCTTAGCGAGAACACATGGACTTTGGTTGCCAAGTGTAAGATTAATGAAATGCAAACCACGAAGAGCGATAGATATAACTAACGATCCTTTAATCATCTTCCCGGTAACGCTCGCCGGAGAAAGCCTCCGAAATCGACGAGCTTATCACCAAGAGAGAGAATCCATCACCGCCGATTGTATCGATCACTCAGGCTTGATTTCTATCTCCTTCTTCAAGCATCGATCCAAAATCAGCAAATCTCCCTTCGATCCCTAATTTTTCCGGGTTGTTACTCATCAAATGGAATGAGACCTTAGCGTCTCTCCTAATCCGCTGAGCGAATCAAGAGGGATTAGAGTGTTTTTGATTCAACTATGAGCACACAGAAGCAGGCTGTGTCAGTCCGTGACCTAATAGATGAAGCCAAGAAACGGATCGTAATCCTTGTGGTATGCGTCGTCGGACTCTCCTACCTCCTCTCCCGTAAGTTTCACACTTTCTCATTTGATCAAACCCTTAAAGGAACTTGGTGAAGCTTGAGAGGCATTGTTCCTCAGAATAATCTCTAATGAATTTTGTTTTTTTCCACGTGGCAGTGACAAGTTCATCAGTTTTAGTTAACCTCCCTGCTGCTGCGTGTTTAATCATCCTCCTTCGTTACTTCTCACTCGACATCGAAATGAAAAGAAAGTCTGCATCTTACAATAATACCAAGTTAAACGCACCGTTTTCAAACAAACCTCCGGAACTCCCTAAACCACCTCCACGGTCTGACTGGAGAAGCAAAGTGAACTCACAAGTCGTTGAGGATGCTATAGACCACTTCACTCGTCACCTCGTTTCCGAATGGGTGCTTGATCTCTGGTACTCTCGCATAACACCGGATAAGCAAGGTCCTGAGGAGCTTGTTTTTATTATTAACGGTGTTCTTGGGGAGCTTTCACGGCGGTTAAGAAATGTAAATCTCATTGATTTGTTGACGAGGTATGGTCTAACGGTGAGTTTCTGTTATGAGTTGCATCTCCAGGGAAGTAAAGTACTTAACTTTTTGGTTGATTCAGGGATCTGATTGATATTATATGTCGTCGTGTGGAGATTTTCCGTGAATGTCAAGTAAAGATTGAGAGAAAACAAAGGAGAAGTCTTAGTTTTGAAGATCGTGATTCGGAGCTAAAACGTGTGATGGCTGCTGATGATAAATTGCACCCTGCTTTGTTCTCTCCTGAATCCGAGCATAAGGTTTAATGCTGTCTAAGTTGCAATGGGGTGTTTTACTGCTTTATGGCTTATCAGGTGGTGGTTATATTTTGGTCTCTATTTTTCAGGTTCTCCAGCATATAATGGACAGTCTTATATCACTAACGTTTAGGCCAGAGGATCTACACTGTGCTTTTTTCCATTATACCGCGAGGGAGCTTCTTGCTTGCTGTGTGATGCGACCAGTCATTAATTTAGCCAATCCAAAGTAAGCTATTACCTCTTTAAACTATGTGGTTTCCTCTTATTTTCACGTCAAATGGTCTTCAAATTCTTTCCTAGGTTTATAAATGAGAGGATTGAAGCTGCTGTGGTATCGAGGATAAAGACTAGTGACGGTTCTAGTGCTGCAAAAGAGACTGCTCAATCTGAAGATCTCTCGGAAGTTTCTCTTGATCCTTTTGCTAGATATCTGGACCCCTCTGCCACAGGTGTTGAGCTTGTGCAGTTGAAAAATGAACAGCAGAAAAAGAAAAATGCTACAGATAAACAGCATGTAACAGATTTGGCCAAAGATCCATTGCTTTCAATGGACACTCGATCTTCCCGATCTTGGAACTCCTTACCCTTACCTTCCAAAGGGGTTGATGATATTAAAGATTTTCAAGGACATCGAGGAAGAGAGGGATGGGGTGATGCATTAGACAAGATGTCCCAAAGGAAAACTGAGACACTTTCTCCCGAGCATCTTGAAAGCGTGTGGGCAAAGGGAAGAAACTATAAAAAGAAGGAAGGTGAGAAAGTTGTTGAGCGGGTGCCGCCGAGATGGTCTAGCAAGGAATCGTGCAATGATGGTGATGATGCACGGTCTAAAAACTTCAGTGAAGGCACTGCAAACGCAAGAGGACCCAGTCAGCATAAGGTAGTAAATACAGAAAGTTACTTATCAGACTATTCCTCTGCTGAGGAGGACGAGGACCAAACAAAGAGTAGTCATTCTTATACTTCTGAGGATGAGGAAACGGTAACAGGTCTAAACAGTCCTGGGACTCGAGTCTGGGATGGTCGAACGAACAGAAATCCCATTGTTTCACCGATACACCATCCACTTGAAAATTCTGGTCGTCGTTTCGTTAAAAACAGTAAAGGGCATGAATATTACGAGCAAGCACCCAGACGTCAATCTAGCAGAAAGAGATCCAGACGTTCTGGACATATTCTAGGCAATGATGATAGCGATGTTTCTGAAAATGATTCTTTGGCTAGATCATGCAGTGGAACATCTGCAACCTCGTCTGCGTCATACATTTCAGTGGCGGGAAATGACCTCCCCAATGCCCTTAAAAGTTCTTTGTTGGTTGATTCCTTCGCCAAATTGAGATGTGAGGTGAGTAAAATATCTATTTGGCATCCAAACACCCATATAGCTGTAGACAATGATGTTTCATATACTGAGTCATATGATGGATGAATAAATTTAGGTTCTTCTCGCAGGTTTTGGGTGCCAATATTGTGAAGAGTAGTTCTAAGATGTTTGCTGTGTATTCAATCGCTGTCACAGATGAAAGTAATCATAGCTGGTCTATCAAAAGAAGGTGATATAATATTACTGTTACGGATCTGACGTGCGTTGTTTTTAATAATATTTATTTATTGGAACTTTCAGATTTCGACATTTTGAGGAGCTTCACCAGCGGCTTAAAGTGTTTCCTGAGTACAATCTTCATTTACCGCCAAAGCATTTCCTATCAACAGGCGTGGATATACCTGTTATCCAAGAGCGATGTATACTCCTAGATGACTATCTCAAGGTCAAACGTCCTGTCTCTTGTTTCTAGTCTGTTGATACTTCAGTCATGGGGCTTTGTCTAAGGATTTGTTTTGTTTTCTACTGAATTTTGTGAACTAGCTTTTGTGTATTCATGTTTTGGTATTTACTTCTGGATTTCTGGGAAGCTAGTGCTGAATGTTTTTATGCATAAAACATCACCGTGGTCTAGGGCTCTGTAGTTTAGTCTGAAGTAGAGTCTGGCAAGCTTTGATGTACTGAAGTTATGTGCTTATGTATATTGATCTGCTTCAGTAACTGGTGCTAATAGTTTTGATGCTTGAAGCTTTGTACATAGTTGTGTTTTACATACCGCCTATTTCTTTCACGATAACCAACATGTGAATGGAAAAAAAATATTGCATTGAAGTGATTTCTCAGTTTTTCTTAATCTACGAATTACCATTTCTCTACTTTGCTCAGAAGCTTTTGCAGCTACCCAGAGTTTCAGGATCAATTGAAGTTTGGGACTTCCTCAGTGTGGATTCCCAGGTAAGTTCTCTTCTGTTGACTCAAATATCACTAATGCTAACAAATTTTGAATGTGTTAATGTTGCTGCGCGCAGACTTATGCGTTCTCAAGCTCTTTCTCTATCATTGAGACGCTGACGGGTGGGTACTTCACAACGCAATGGGATTTTGACTTTTACTAGTTTGCTGTTATTAACTGTCACTAGTAAATCGTTTCAGTTAAACCTGTCCGTAAGACCTCTACAGTTATTACAAATATGAACAAGGTGACGCCGGGGCCTCTTCCTTCGAGAGAAAATCTGAATTCAGAAAATGGGAAATCAGGAGTTAAAAGCGATCTGAAGTCAAAAGTGAAAGCTCCTGGAAATGAATATACGAAGACGCATGATTCAGATGTGGGAAATAGCAAAGAGAACGGTGGGCTAAAAGTAGATACTCAACATGGTGATGTTGTGGCCTTTGCCGGCCTGCCGACCGAGGTATATATTTAACATCCACACCTAGCATAACTGCATAAGCCAATCGAAATTTTGATTATGTTCATTCTGTCTTTTGCATTGAGAGAAAGCATGAGCTCGGTACTTTTACTTCTATCTTGTTGTGCTTGTTGTAACCCATCTTTCTTGCAGTGGGTTCCTCCAAAGCTAACACTGCCCCTACTAGACTTGGTTGATGTCGTCTTTCAGCTCCAGGAGGGTGGATGGATCAGGTAAATCATATTATAACCAAGGGCCATACATTTTTTTCTTTCTCAGTTAGGGAAGTGGAGTGATTTTGATCATCTCTTTTTGCACATTACAAGGCGGAAAGCTTTCTGGGTTGCCAAACAGATACTCCAACTGGGGATGGGAGATGCATTAGACGATTGGGTACTTGAGAAAATTCGTCTTTTGCGGCGGGGAACTGTAGTTGCCTCTGGAGTTCAACGGGTTGAACAGGTGAGAGAACCTCTTCATTTTGCACAGTGAGAATGGATGAAATCATTATTGCCTAACAGTGACACCCTATGATATTTTACTAGCCTGGTTATATTTCAATCCCTGTTCAGATCTGAAAAAGTGATATTTGGTTATGACCTATCAGATACTATGGCCGGATGGGATATTCATGACAAAACATCCGAAAAGGCAGCAACAATCCAGCATTTCTGACGAGGAGCAGCGACAAGAAGCAGAGAGACGAGCCAAGTTTGTTCGTGAATTGATGATTGGTAAATCTTGTCATCTGCTGTTTTTTTCTGCATCAATGATATCATAAGCTTTGTTGGCTTAACACATAAATGTTTGAATTAACCCTGAACTCAGACAAAGCTCCAGCGACTATAGTGAGTCTTGTGGGTCAAAAGGAGTATGAACAATGTGCAGAAGACCTCTACTTCTTCCTTCAGGTAAAAACATTCCAGTATTGTCTTTAGGTTGTGACTTGTGAGAGATCAAGCTAACGTATTGGGTTTGATTTTGTTTAAATGTTGGCGTTTCAGTCATCAGTATGTCTAAAGCTATTGGCATATGACCTTCTGGAGATGTTGCTGACCTCGGCGTTTCCGGAAATGGAGCAGGCTTTCAAACAGTTGAAAGACGAAAAGCACCTCTTTGGTCAATACACACCACCAACCTGATACTTAGATTGTGCTTTGTAACTCCTCTGTATCTTGCGTGGAGTTTTGCTAAATATGTTTAAACGGTAACAGAGCATGCAAGCTTTTCAATGAATCAATCATATACCATTGAAAGAGGTCTACAATATACTCTCAAAGTCAATTGGCACAACACCTCCCAAATGAAAAGCTACATGAGAAGAAGGATCAGTTCTATAGTTACTTCAAAGAAACAGTTATATAAGCCTGTGCAGCTGGCGTGCATGATGATTGATGAGCAGTGGTGGCAAACAATGATAAGTAGGGGACCATTGTGGACACTGCTTATCAATGTGATAATGAAAGCTTACCTATAAAAGTGTTCTTGACACTCAACAAGATGACACCTTCTTTAAGTCTGACTTTGACGTATCATATCAGCTCCCTTCTTCTAACATGCCATTGAATGAATGTTAGGTTTCGCTTTTGAGTTACATAAATATGGTTATTGTCTAAAAAAAACAGCAGGAGAGACAAAAGTAGCTAAGATGATGAAACCCTCAGCGAAATCAATACAGAGAGTTGGTCGTTTCTTAAGGAAAAGCCTTGGGAGCATCAAATCCACTGTCTGCTTTGGTAAACACCACAACTTCCCTAACAACAATACTCCACTCTTGAGCCCCTTCTCATGCAGTCTTCACCGCTCATGTCCACAAGATTCCCAAACTGAAGAAACGTACAGCATTGTCTCTTGTGAGAGCAAGGCTGTTGCTGCAGAAACCAGAGATGAGAGACTCATCAACAAAAGCCAACATAAGAAGAAACCGAAGAAAAAAGTTGCAGAGCCGCCATTCGAGGAGGCCAGGAGAAGAGGTGACATGCTGGCGCAAAAGATGAAAGATCTCAACATGGTTGATCTCAGAGACGTGGAACATGCATCGGATGTAAAAGAAGCGCTTAGATGCTATTCAAGCATTAGAAGCCCTGTCTACCTTGACATCGTTGACAACTTCTTCACTGACATGTACTACGAGTTCTCTGATCCACGCACTTCTTCCTGTATCAATGGTTCAAGAAGAAAAGCAGGATCTTTCAGACTCTAAGACCCCTCTTGATCAGCTTCGCTTTCGTTTAAGAGTATGCACTACTTAAAGAAAGGTTGTTTATCCCATTACGCAGTACATACATTTCAGTTACTTCTTTGGTAAAATCACCTGTCATTCTCAGTTACTATACCTCATCTTATAGTCTTATGTTATCAATGCAACATTATTCTAGAAATATGACAGTCCAAACTGAATACTGAATCTGGAGATGAAGAGCCACTATAAAAGCATTTGATTTTAGGATAAAAACCATTTTTCCATTTCATGAAATAAGTGGTGAAAGTAAACATATGTATGGGAGAAGTAAAGTCACTCTCCTACGGACATGATAGAAGTTACACAACACACGATTATCTTTGTTATTTTTTTGAAGTTGATAAATTTGCACTGTCAAAGACAGGCTTATGGATAGAACGGAAACAAATCATTTCTTGCCGCTCTTCTTAAGTCCAGAGCCTCCAAAAGATCCCTTCTGTGATGCCTTGGCTCTTAGTTCTTTAAGTGCCTGTTTTTAAAAGCAAAAATGAGTCCGGCTTTCAACAATAACAAACGATTGCTGTATGTCTTTGGCTTAGGAATGAAGCTAAACTAAGAAACAGTTAGTAATATGTCCCCATCTTGTTGAAGCCACTAGGTACACAATGTGATTATAAGTGTTCAGATTGACAACATGACAAAACTGGACAAAGTGGCACTACACAATCTTTTAGACAATCTCTTTCTCTAGGTAGTAAGCTCCCTACAGTACATAGATTATAATCTTTGCATGAAAAAGAGGAGCCAAAACAAAGAACTCTAACTAGATGCATTTTGCGAAACACAAAACCTAATAAGAGCAACAAGAGATGAAACAAGCCGAAACTCACCTTTTCCTCGTCCTTCTTCTTCTGAAGGTTAGCCATATCGTGCTGCAGTAATCCCAAATCAAACATTCAAGATGTCAGAGAGTGTAAAAAGAATGTCTAAATACATTTTATATACGATTAGCAGGCAACAAAAAATCACTCGTAAAACACTTCAACTTCAACAAATTCAAGTTACTTTTGCACAATCAAAAACAAGATCCAGAGAGCAATATTATTATTGTTTCAATAAAGAAAAGTGTGAAAAGAGGGTTCACCTCGTCGTATTCCTTCTTATCAGCTTTGGGCTGCTTCAAAGGTTTCGCCTTTCCTCCTGTTATTAGCATAAACAAGAAAACGATTGTTCTTTTATTCAAAACATAACATAAAGAAAACATCTAAATCATAAGAGCTAAAACTTGATTTACCTTGCTTGGACGACATGACTGGTTTCTGGAGCTAGGGTTTGATGCTGCTGAGCTGAGAATTGGTGAAGATAGTGTATATAGTACTCGATAGAATCTCTAACCACTTGCTATTATATAATTGTGTTCGTAGTAACAACGCAACCCATTTAATGGGCTTACATAGATTATAGCCCAATTTAAAGCCCATTAAATATTTGGGCCACTTCACCGACTAAAATTTGTTTTTTTTAAGACCCAACCGACTTGTTGCTCAAGTAAAAAAGGAAACTGCATTCAGAAAAGGAAATCACAAAGACGGCTATAAAAGAAGAACCTAATCATCATCAACACACAAAAATCATTAACAAACAACAAGAGCTATAGAAAAAAAGAGAATCAGAGCGTGCGTTCTTGGTAAGCAAGCAAACCCTTTTGATTTCTTATTCGTTTTTGTTTCTTTAATAAAAAAAGATATGGCACAACTTGAAGATTCATTCCTCGCAGAGATCGACGAGTTATCTGACTATGAAGAAGAAGCAGGACACGACGAAAACGTTGGTAACTATGAAAGAGATATCGTCACAGACATGGCGAAATTCGAAACCCTAAAATCTGATGACGATCTCGACAGTGTTTCCACGTTACATAAAACTCAGAGATACGTTGATATAATGCGTAAGGTAGATGAAGCAGCTCTCGTGAAAGATTCAGATGATCCTGAATACAAACTCATCGTGGACTGTAATCATCTCTCAGTTGATATCGAGAACGAGATCGCCACAGTCCACAGCTTTATACGTTGCAAATACAGAGTTAGGTTTCCAGAGCTTGAGTCGTTTGTGCATCACGCAACCGAGTACGCTAGTGTAGTGAAACAAATCGGAGACGAGAAGGATTTAACCCTAGTTTCTCTCAAAGGTATTGAAGCAAAGACTGTTGTCTCTGTTTTACTCACTGCTTCATCTACTAAAGGGAAGCCTCTACCAGAAGATACCTTGCGAAAGACGTTAGAGGCGTGTGATAGGGTTCTTGATCTTGATTTCGCATTAAAAAAGATTCTTGGGTTCGTTGAGACTAAGATGGGATGTATTGCACCGAATCTTTCAGCTATTGTAGGGAGCGCTGTTGCAGCTAAGCTCATGGCTACTTCTGGAGGTTTATCAGGGCTTGCTAAGATTCCTTCTTGTAATGTTCAGGTTCTTGGACAGAAGAGGAAGAATCTTGATGGGTTCTCTAGAGTGAGTTCACTGACACGTGTAGGTTATCTAGAGCAGACTGAGATTTTTCGAAAAACTCCTCCTGGGTTTGAGAAACATGCTATTAAGCTCTTGGCTGGAAAGGCTACTTTAGCAGCTAGGATTGACGCTAGTGGAGGAGATCCATCAGGGACTAATGGTAAAGCTCTGAGGGAAGAGATTCAAAAGAAGCTTGAGAAGCTGCAAGAGCCTGGTGTTGCAAGGCAGCCTAAACCACTTCCTGTTCCGGATCTTACTCCTAAGAAGAAAAGAGGTGGTCGGAGACTAAGGAAGATGAAGGAGAGGTATGCTGTGACAGAGATGAGGAAGCATGCTAATAGAGTGGCGTTTGGTGTGGTGGCTGAAGAGAGTTCACTTGGTGATGGGTTAGGTGTAGGGTATGGGATGCTTGGTCAGGGTGGGAGCAAGAGGCTGAGAATTTCTAGTGTCCCGAGTAAGATGAAACTTAGTGCTAAGTTGGAGAAGAAGCTTAAAGAAAGACAGTATACAAGTGGTGCTAGTACAAGCACTTGTGGTTTCATGACATCAAGACTTGCTTTTACCCCTGTGCAGGGAATAGAGCTGTGTAATCCTGGAGCTGTGCAATTAGGTAGTGGGACTCAGAGCACTTACTTCTCAGAGTCAGGAACCTTCTCCCACGTCAAGAAGACATAAAAACAACTTTTTTTTATTATTTTCTTTTGTTTTGCCAGTTTTCTGAGTGATGTTTTTATTGTTTGAGATTTGATTGAAACTTAAATGGAGTGTGTTAAAGATGATTGATATTTGTTTTTTAAAAGTGTTTTCTTACCATGCATAACATGAAGTTTCAGCTTGTGTCTATTAAACTATAGATGAAAATTTACTTTTTTCTTTCTAGCTCAAGTATACCAAATTAACAACATTGTAATGGGATTTTGCTTCATCCCTTGCGGTGCAGGATTGATATCAAAGCTCCTTCACACACATTCTCAGTAAATTTAAATGCTAGTAGTAGCAAATTAACAGATGAAACTAAAAATTTAAACTCTTCAAATAGATCTCAAAAAGATATGAATATTGGAGAGGAAGTTGCCAGTAAGTAAAGTATAACATCAGCAGCTTAATTGTGTGGAAGCTTCATGAGTTATAGAGAGACTCTTGACTGCTCATAAGTTCCCATAAGTCTATTTCTAAGTTTATAAGGTTTTCTAAGTTTATTTTCAACCCAACACTAAAATAGAATTTTAGTATGATTTTGACACAAAACCTTCTCCAACCTAACACTAAAAATTATACAATTTGAATGTAATACTATAATTTTACATCAAATTTGGCGTGACACTATTCATTACACTAAAACACTATTTATTTATTTGATTAATAAATATATAATTAAATAAATGAAAATAAAAACATAAATAGATTAACATTATAAGATAACTTCTTATATATTAAAACAGAAGTCATGACTCGACTTCATGTGTGATTTTTTTTTTAAAATGAACTATTACTAGAAAGTCATGTTACATTAACTCTCTAATAATCTTATCATTATTATATCTTATAAAAAATCATATTTATAATAACAAAGATATGCTTAACAATTTAGTTTTGGTAAATTACCCCACACCTTCCAACTTAGTCACGCAAAATATGTCAATAGATATAAGTTTAGAAATCTTCTATTATTTATAGGAAAATATGTCAATAATTAATAGTTAAATGCATCCACAATATATTAACAAAAATCACAGATTCGTAATATGGAATATTTATATACCCTAACATAATTTACACGCTATATATACTCGATAAATTTATTTTGATGTAAATTTTTAAAATTATATTATTATTTTTTTAAAAAAAGAATTGTTTAAAAATTCTTTATAATATTAATTTATGAAGCTATAAGTTTAGTTTATAGCAAAAAATTCTTCGAAATTTATATTATTTTTGCAATTAAAGTATACTAATATTTAATCAAACTCTATTTATATTACTTTATCTAAAAATGAAATACTAATCTAACAAACAATAAAATATAAAAGAAGAAACAAACACATGTTTGAAAAACATGTATAATATAGAAAATTTGAAACAATCTATTTGATTAAAACACGTATTATATAATATTATTATGTTTGATAAACATTTACTATAAATATTGTAAATATGTGATTTCTATAATATATACCAATTGTAAATAACAAAATCAATTGTTTTTTTAATTTGGATAAGAAGACTCTTCGCTTCCACTATTAATATAAAAAGTCAAAGTCTCTTACTCTCTCCCTTCAATAAATCACACAGAAGAACGAAACGCCCCTCTGAAGGTAAAAAAATTAGGGTTTAGCTTTTGTTCGATTCTTCAATTAATCGATGAGGTTTCTTCTATCTAGGGTTTAGATTCACGATTCCTCTCTCGTTTCCAGGTTCCTAGAGAAGAGAGAGAGAGAGAGATATGGCGACAGCTGACGCAGGAGAACAGGAGTACGATAGTGATCCCGAGGAGCTGGAGCGTTCCTTGGCGACTCGGAGGAGAGAAGCTAGTGATGACGAAGAGGGCGATGAGGATGGTGAAGGGGTTAAGAATCGTAAGGCTGAGATCGATTCCGATTCTGAACAATCTGATGAAGAGGTTGGTGTTGTTAAGTATGATGATGACGAAAACAAGAGTGGGGATGGAGAGGAGAGTTATGAGGACGAGGAGGAAGGTGATGAGTATTTGGAGCAGGAAGGAGTTGATGATGGTGACAAGAGGAGTAAGGTAGCGGAAGATGCGGCGGGTGGGGAGGAAGAGAAGGAGAAGCAATCGGCTGCAGTGCCTACAGGTGGAGCTTTTTATATGCATGATGATAGGTTTCAGGAACTCTCTGCTGGCCGAAGCAGGTACACTCTGTTTTCATAATCTTCACAATTGCAATTGCTTTTATTGGGAGTGATAATAGACTGAAAAGGTGGAGTTTTTTTGTCTCTATTGAAGCAATATATTATCATGCAAATTCATTAAGTTTGAAGCTTTAGGGTTTGCTATGTTAGATCTGGACTAGTTCATGATATTGGGATCAGAAACGATATTTCTAAAAAATTCATTAGCTTTGTATGTTGATTCACGGTAATGCTGATTAATATGATACTTTTTTTTGGCTTACATAGGCGAATGCGTGGTGGAAGGAAACCGTGGGGAACTGGAGATGAAAGGAAATGGGGACATGACAAATATGAAGAGGTTAATAGTACTCAGGAACAACATTTTGATGTATAGCTTCTGTCTCTCTGGTTTTTGAAATTCTATTTGATTACTCTATTTATTAAAGAACAAAAATATTTATTTATTATGTGTATAATAATTTGACTGTGTAAATTCAGCAGAAGGCTTCAAGAGGCCGAGGTCGCGGTCGAGGTAGGGGGCATGGGCGTGGATACTCTAGAGGGAGAAGCTCTAACGCATCATCCAGCAGTGGCCAGCAAATTTTTGTTCCTAAAGCTGCCTCACGATGGGGCGAGCGCGGAAATGATGAGACTCCCCTTGGCAAAGGCAATCAAGCGCATTCCGTGCAGAGCAAACAGTGAGTTCTTACATTTTTTTTTCTCTTGTTGAGGGAAGGTTAATATAATGTTATGAATTTGTAGGTTAAGGAATTCTCGTCGGTCACAGCATTGGCATGAGAAAGTTTCACACAACGATTCACAGCGTTCACCATCTGCACCTACTAAAACTGGGAATGAAGATGCCCATACCAAAAAGAACCTAGCTGCTTCAAGTCTTAGCTCTGCGTCTCCTCCTTTTTATCCTTCAGTGTCCTCGAGTAATATGTCACATGGTATACAAGTTGGTATGGAAAAACTCCACACGAATGAAAGTGCCACTTCCTTTGGGAAGAAGTATAGGAATACAAAATCCGTTTATCTTCCTGTTAATACTGCCCGGAATGCTCAGTCCACCAGTCAAGGTAGAGGTGCTCCTGCTACTGGAAACGTGTTTTACCCCCAATCTCATAGTAAAGGTGACAACATGCAACTCAATGGAAATTCAAAAGGCACTGGACAAAGCTATACTAGATCATCCGGGCAGAGTTTTGATCAGCACGCTGCTGGAAACAGATCATTGTCTTCCTCTACCCCAAAAACTAGCTCATCAACAAATCGTTATCCTCCTGTTGAAATAGAATCTGCGTCGGAAACAGGTGCTTCGTTTGGTAAGGGTAAAGGGACTCTCCACCCTAGCGGCTCTTTGATGTACAGTGGATCTCATGCGATGGGGCGTGCAGAAAGTCTGGCATCTGGTGACAATTCTAATTTCCCAGCTTTTCTGCCTGGTAAGTTTTTTCTCTGCAATGGACGTTTTGAAAATAATTTCTTAAGAATGAAACCATGAATTTGTTGAAATTGAAAGCTACTGATGCTGAACCACTTGGCTTGATTGTCTTGTCCATGAAAAGTATTTGTCAGATTATTGTATCTGCTTACTGCTATTTTTCCGTATCTGGCTAGTTTTTAAATTATTGTCTATCGTGATTCTTTGCAAATGCAGTTATGCAATTCGGTGGTCAACATGGTGGGGTTCCAACTTTTGGAATGGCTTTTCCAGGATATTACCAGCCTGAAAATGGTGTTGGAAACCCGGAGATGACTTGGTATGCTTGCTCCGACCCTTCTAGTTGAATTATTTGCTTGCTTCTTCCCCTTCTAGTTGAATTATTTGGATGCTAGTTTTCAGAAGTTCTCGGTTGTAAGCATTTAAAAGAATTAGATGTTGTGCACATTGTTGGTTAAATTGCTAGTGTTTTTCGTTGTTTATATAATTTCCCATTTGATCACCATTGTTCGAGTCTGCATGCTGGAAAAAACTAAACTTGCAAAGACGTATTTTGATTAGTATGTTTGATATGATTTTGAATACTATGCTGATTGTATGTCCCTAGGTGCTCCATCTATCTGTAGTCCTGATTTGTTCTTTCTCCTGCTTGCTGTTGAGTATGTCCTGATTTTTGTGTCTGATTGGCAGGATGCCAGTTTTGACTGGTCCAGGAGCGTTAGGAGCTTCATACAGTCCCCCATATGCGGCTATTGATGGTTCTTACCAAGCACACAAGCCAGGGTTACCTTCCTCTGCAGGATCCTCCAGGTTTAAAGAATAACCTGCATTGTTCTTACATGTTTTAGACATTCTTTATAGAAACCTATCGGATATTCTTGGCACATGTTATTTCCCATATTTATATTTCAAAGCACGCATTTTGGCTTACTGAATTAATTTACCAATTTTGCAGCAAAGAAACTAGCACGAATAACCTTAATGATCTGGAGAATCCCATGGAGAGTCCTGGTTAGTCATCTTGGAATACTGGGATATAAGGGATATATTTGCATTTAATGGCTTTTTATTTGGAATTGATAAAGACAATGGACTTTTCCTTGCATTAAAGGAAAGAATTGAATAATGAAAAAAAATTATATCAACATGCACTGTCTTCAAAAGTAGTTTTCTGTTAGTCACAAAATAGCCAATTAAGGAGATATTCATCCGGCAAATATGAAGATTGATTGTTGCGATTAGTCCGTTTAAGTTAAAGCTTTTTTTTTCTTCTATGCAGAGGTCACAGAGAGTGGGGTTTCAAAAGGGGAGAACAACAACCAAAGCAAGCAACCTCGTAGGTGAGTTTTTGAAGTTAACACCTACTCTTTGAAATCCATTACCAGTTAATATTGAATCATTTAGTAGGTCCCACGATGCATTATGTCGACAGATTAGACTTGAAGAAGTAACTGGCTAACTGAATTATAGTACCTATGATCGAATATCATTGTAGGAATCATGTAGAATAAGTTACGTGGAATTTGACACCATAAAAAACAAGAGTAGTTACTTGAGTTGTCGTTGGTGTATACGCAGGTACTCGGAGATGAGCTTTAGCAAGTGATTACATTTATGTAAACTAGGGAGATGGGTTTAGGGACTCCTTGGCGCAGGGCCCTGACGCTTCTCCAAGCTTCTTTACATCTCACTTTGGCCGCAATTGTTCCTGAATATCTTAGGTAAGTGATTCAAAGCTATATTTTAAATACGGGGGATAGTAATAGTCTAGCGGGGAATGAATTTTGTGTGGTTGCTGCAGTTTTATAATGGAGGTTAAGAATAACAGACAATACTACTAGACTATCACTAGCAAATAGAAACGAAGTGATAAGGGTATGTATGCATGTGTTATTATCATCTGCTTGTTTAGTAACCGTACCATTTGACGCTATTTTCAGGGAAGTCGTTGTCTCAAAGCCTTGGTCAGCCTGTTTGGTGTTTCTTCTTTCCATTTTTTTCCTATGTATGTTTCTTATATAAGGTTGATGACTTTCTTCTGGTTTGTTAATGTGTTTACTTTTCCGTAGAACGCAGTTTTTAAACAGACTATGTTATGAAAAAAGAAATGGTTAATGGTTGAGACATGTGTGAATGAATGCCAGCTACATTTCAGGAATCTTTACAGCAATTCTCTTTTTTCTACATGGTGTTTTAACGTTGGCACTGTTATCTTTTATGGCCTGTGTTGGTGATCCATGTCCGCCTCATATTGTTCAGGCCTGGAAATAAGCCAGATTAATTTCTCGTAAAAGGATAAAAAATAGTTCCACAAACTCAGAAACAGAAAAAGGGAAAAATGTAGGAAAATTTTGCAACACAACAGTTCTAAAGTGAATCATACAATGTAATGAGAACAGAACCACCCAATCCCGAGAAGAAACCCAATAAAGCAAATGAGATGAGAGTATACTCTGCTTCACAAGAAGCTTTATTTTGTTAGCCTTATCAACCCCACTTATCAGATCATGCACAAACCGATGACGGTTGATGGTACAGCCCAGCTGCATTGTTGGTAAGTCGCTTCTTCCTCTTCTTCGCCACAATCACAAACCCTTCACCTTCGTCCGTCTCACTTTCCTTCACTCCATTGTCCTCCTCTCTTCTGTAAACTATCTCTGTTACTTTACTATCCTTTGCAGAGGTATCTTGTAACTCATCTTTAGGCTTGTTTCCCTTCTTCTTAGCAGCTACAGCCTCCTTTTGAGATGAGTTTACCATGAAGCTAAGTAGGATCTGCCTCGCCAGCTCTTCCTTCTTCAACACAGCTGCGTTTTTCTCAGCTTCTAGGCTACTGCTAGAGTCAACGGATACGCTTGCATCTCCACCTGCATGGTGAATGCTGTTCATCCCTGATCTCCTCGGAACAAACTCTGGTGCATCCGGATTCATGGTTTTTGGCATCCCAATTCCATTTGAGTATGGTGGTGAATGAGTCTCACATAAAGTTCGGCAAACAGGCTCTGCAAACAGACTATGCGGATCAGTAACCAAGAAACCTCCAGGATTGTAAGGCTCTGCGGCGGCCGACAGCTTTCTCCTGCTGATATCAGAAACCTTTTGCTCACGACAGGACACTAGATCCCCTTCAGACTCTGACGTTAGATTTTCTACTGCCTCAACACTTTCTTCTGATTCTTGTTGCTCTGTGCCTTCCACTGACAAATCCGACATTACAGCATCAGACTTGCTTTCTTCTCCAGTTGATGAACTTGAGACCCTGTATATCTGAGTTTCAGTTCTTTCCAAATCCAGTTCTAATTTTTCTAACATCGGCTTCAGAACTGTACCTGGTGGTGCCAAAGCAACCTCTTTGTATGACAGTGACTTTGAAGCCAAAGTAGTACTGGTCGCCGCAGCAGAACCAGGAGACTTTATTTGTGGCTTCACTGTATTTGTACTCACATCTATCTCTCCATTCTTCAGAGCCTTAAGAGATGATGATGACTTAGAGAGAGAGGGTCTTGGAGTCGTTTTCTGTAAGGGAGAAGATATATACTGTTGATGAACATCCTGTTTCCCATTGAGATTTCTATTACGCGACTCTCTCTGATAAGGCTGCCTTTGTCTAAATTTCTTTCCTGCACCATTTCCGGATCTCCCCTTTGAGTATGCCTCTTGCCAGCCCTCTTCCAGAGCTGTCTCTTCCACAGTTTGGTTGTCTACTTTTAACCTGTGTACTAACGTATCATTCGTCACTATGTTGACCTCATCAACAACTTCATTAGGATCTTTTACATCATTCCTACTCTCAGCGACATTTGTTTCTACCACGTCGTTCAATGTAGCCATGCCATGCTGTGAATCAACGCTGTGAGTGGCATCATCATCATCAGCTGATGCAACACTATCATTGACCGGGAATACCTGTCGAAATAGAAGTAATGTCACATACCTTTGACATGAAATCCATCTCGTTCTTTTCGTTTCAATATCTTTTTTTCCATTAAACATCTAGCGCATGTGAATGTTTTCAGCTATTAAATTTCAATTCTCTTCAAGCAGAGTTCTAATAATTAAAGTTTTTAACTCTGGTTATTTGACCCAAAAGAAAAAAAAAACTCTGGTTATTGTTTTGATCATCAAATTTCAGAAAGAGAGACCTGAGGGAAAACAAAGGATCACAAAAGTTTAAGGGATTACAGTGAGACGCCGCTGTTTTCTGTGAACAACACTTCCTTTAGTGTCTGGATCAGAACTTATATAGTCCATGAGATCTTCTACACTGCAAGAAAGGTTGGACTTTGGTGCCAATGAAATAATTTTACCATATCCTTTTTATGTGTTCTGGGAGTTTCCATTATAGTACCTAAGGTGGCCTTTGCTCGCAATGGAAGCATCAGGCTTTGGGATTCCATTTCGAGCCGCTTCCTGCTGCTCGAAGGCTTTTGATTCAAAATATTCAAGCCATGCAGCAGCATCCTGTGAAGAGACCAAAAATAAATTTGAGTTCAAAACCATTCACTTAGTTACTTCGCTAGTAAAAATATAATATCCACCTCAATGTGAGTGTTTATGACAGAAACATAGGCAATGATTTTCAAGTCACCTGTGTACGAAGGTCATCTGATCCAAGTTTTTTTGTAAGTATCTGAAGTGTAGTCTGTTCATGATGCACACTCAAGGAATATGCTTCCATGAGAGAGAGAGCCACAGCTATTGCATGATAGCTTGCTGCTGTCTGGAAAATTAAACATTAAAGCAATGGTTAGTTTGAGAATGTGGGCAAACAGGGGCAAGATAGATAAGGGTATGAACCTGAATATGGTCAGCTCCTAGTAATCTTTTATTGCACTTTAGAGCTTCATGTAAGTATCTTAGAGCTAGATGAACGTTCCCTACTCCTTCTTCCATCATAGCCACATTAATATATGTGGCAGCAGTATTCGGGTGAGATAGCCCACAAGTGAAATGAAGAAGAAACAAAGCACGGTTCACATATCTATAAACAGATGACAGATAAAAAAGGGTTAGAAAGATGGCAGATAACAGTACAAAAGAGCAAATCAGAGGAACGGTTGGATCATAATCTGAGGAAACATGAAAGGGTGATGGAAAAGCAAAGTAGTATTGGATCTGTATTGACTATATTAACTAGCTAGAAGAGATCATCATGCATCACTTACTTCAGTGCAAATTCAATGTGCTGAAGACGATAATAAAATACAGAAAGGTCCCCATAGCTTTTCATAGTGTCGGGATGGTCGAGACCAAGTTCTTTCTCATTTATATCCAGAGCCTTCTGCTGATATATAGTTGCCTGATCAAGAGAGGAAAGAAAACATCAAAAGTTAACAGTGCCTCTCATTGATTTTCGCTTTATTTTTATAATTAGGAAACGTTATCTAACTGTGCATAGACACAGAACATCAAGCTCGACAAAAAATCTCTATTTGCTACTTGAACTGATAACCAAAGGTGCTGTTAAGGAAGAAGATGAGAAGTTATGATACCTGGTTAAAATCACCAGTGTGGTACAGTACAACGGCAAGAAGGCTGTACGCACAAGCAGTATTTTTATGGTAAGGTCCACAGACAGCAATCATCTTGGCTAATGCCTAGAAAAAGCAGGAAGTCAACATCTCTTGGATACAAATTCAGATGGTTATAACATGAAGATATATTTGATACCAAATGAATTGGTACCTTTGTTCCATAGATGACAGCATCATCTAGTTTTCCTTTGTCAAGAGCAATTTTTGATGACTCCAAGAGTGACCTTCCGTCAGATGAAACACATAGCACATGCTGTTAAATCAAACATATATCTTAAAGATTAGTGTCTAGCATTTGAACCATGTTTGATCTAGTCGCTTTTATGTGGGAGAAAGAGACTAACCTTGCACACAGGTATCAAGCCAAAAACGTCAGAGCTCTTAAAAGGATTTGGAGAATCGAAGTCATAATCTCTTGGAACTAGTTCTAATCCAACCTGTAAAAGCATGAGTAAGAGAACTATAACTCTTATTCAAGCAGCAATACATTAACAATGAGATACATTACCTTCTGGCAAAGTCCTCGGAGAATGGAAACTTTATTCAAATGCTTGAACTCATCTTTCTGTATCCAACCAAATTTAGTGGCGAGAAATTTCTGTAGCCACTGTAACCTGAGGCAAGACTCTTCGCTGGAGATTCCATCACTCCCTTGGAAGCCAAGCATGAAATTTAAAGAAGCAGCTATAGCCCCAGGTAGGTCTTCCATATTACTGATAGATGCAATAACCGCCCTAAGAAGATGCTTGAAAGTTCTGGTAATCATCTCATGAATACAGATGGACTGTATATGAGGAAGGTCCTCAGCAAGTTTAGCCTGATTCATAGAAATAGTGCATCAGAATACTCATTGAACATTTTCTACCATCACTGATTCATAGGAAAGGCACTATTAATGAGGTAAAGGATTCTTACCAGATGTCCTAGAGAACGCATTTGGAGTCCTCTAATATGCATGAAGTCTGTCATTGTGCGGCCATCAACTGGAGAAAGCTCCAAGGACCCAAAATCTGCTACCTAATAAACCATTACAATGACTCCTTAATATAGCATCGTTATAGCTAATTTCAGATATAAATATTCGTTATCTAGCTTAACACATATGACATACCAGCCTTGGCAAAGCAATTTCATCATAGTATCCATATACCATCTTGGTAAGCTCTTCTTCCGACTGTATCACAACAACAACAGAGTAAGCACCACCTTCTCCATTAAATAATAAGAAAAAAGTATTCATACATAAACAAAACATAGAAGGGAGAAAATAGTTAACCTTTAAATGGAGACCAGTTCCACTTTCTTTTAGGCGAGAGAAAGCTTCTTCAGAAAGCAGTTTCTTCAGTTCAGCCTCAAAGTGTTGATCAATGTTTTTCTGGCCTAGATCAGCCTCCCCATCTAACTCAACTAGACTGACATTTCCTGCCTTTTCTGATTTCTTATTTTTGATCTTTAGAACTTTAAATTTCTTCCCCAAACCTTTGACTGAATGTTCAGTCTCACCATTCGTTGCAGGCTTAGCACATGCATCTTCCATTACTGTTTCTTTCTTCTGTAGATGCTGAACCCAGCAAGAACCTAGCTCCCATCTAATGGACCTTTCAGAAAATGCCCTTTTTTCTTCTAACTTCTTTAGGTTATTTTTAACTAATTCCTGTACAATGCATCTAAAAGACTCTAAATCATCCGAATCAGACTGTGAAGACTGGTTCCCTCCAGATTTTCCGACACTATGGAATCTGTGAAGCTGAACCCTTAAGCTGCAATATGGTTATCAACCAAGGTGGTAAACAACAACAAGTTAGAAGCTGACATATTAAGTAGTCTTTTCACAATAGATGGAAATGTAAGAAAGTTTATTATTTAATCGTATATTCTTAGTTTCATGTTATAGACACAGTCCGGAATAACCATTGATAAATTCATTGGAAACGTAATACTCAGCAAGTAATGAAAGAAAGAGAGGCCAACAACAACAACAAAAAATGCTATACGAACATGTACAATGTGATAAAATAAATATAGTCTTAGAAATCTACTTGGGTGCACATACCTGTTAAGGTTAAGAGCATTAGCTCCTCCATCAGGCAGGTCATCGATCACAATATCACGGATCTCAGTCATTCTCTTCTTAACTTCACCCTTGACATTTACCACCGCTGTATATCCACAGTGCCTTACAATAACTGTGCTTAAGACCGGAGTATCCTGGAAAAAAAAAATCTTCATTAATAAAATCTCTAGAATGCTATACATAAAAAGTATTATCTAATGTGAGTGATTACAATTCCACTCTGTTCCGTCATCTAAGAAAACTGTTGCTTGATATGATAGTACTATAAAGAAATCTTGTAATGCACAAACAGTCATTCTTAACATCAAAGCAAACTGCTGATGGTGAATGCAAGAACATAAAAACCAGAATCACTATATGCCTTTGAAATCATCACTACTTTATTCATGCTCATAATACGGATATAAAAATAGATAGCTGAGAAAAGGAAGAGAAATAACTTACATGCACAACTACACTCTCATCAGCTGTTATCCCTTTTAGCAGATTCCTTTCACTTAGTTCCTTGGATGACAAAGGAAATACTTCATTTTGAAATGCACCTTCCAGATTCTGGTCAAGGCCTCCTACATCACGTTTTACAACAATAGACAAATCTCCAACCCGATCCTCAAGTAGGATGGAGCCGTCACTAGTTCCACTTGTGCATTGATTAGTACCAATCACGTTGGAAATGGCTCTAACAGCTCTTTGAACAGAGACATCAATAAACAGGTTATGAAGCAGAAAAGCCTTCTTATCTCGAATAACCCTCTCCTCCTCAGTCTTGCAAGGGAGCGTAGCTAAAACAGAAAACTCCGCCGCCCAGGGACGAAGCTCATGTTCACCATCTCTCCCCTGGCCTCCACCATTCCCTCCCCAGTTTTCATCCTCTGTTGGTAAAGGAGAGAAGGCTGAAGAAGACTCGGAAACAGAAGGGGGTACAAGCCATGTGTTTGTGCGTAATCCATACGGAAGGTTGCCAAACTAAAAAAAAACCAGTGAAGACTTAATATTTATTGAGCTTGAAAATAATCCATTAGTAGCAGGAGAAAAACAGAAATTTCACCTTATTACGGTCAGTGAAAGCTTTCATGAGGGACTCATATGCCTGCATCATTTCCAAAACACACTAAAAGTTAAGTGTCTTTGTGTCATAAACCAAAACAGTGAGGCAAATTAAACGAACCTTGGCAAAAGCATTGCTGACATTCTGAAGCAAATCAACAATGGAATGAGTATGAGACATCTGCTTCCCAACGGCAAAGAACCCTTTAACTGATGCAACCACATGTATAACCTTCCCATTACAGATCTTGACCTGAAACGTAAAACAAATTACATCATCACTCAATATTCAAGAAATCAGTAACCGGAAATTAGCCTTTATACTTTAACCCGATTTTTTAAAGCGCCTTAACCAATTTCAAAAAAAAAAAAAATCATTCTAGAAAAATTGTTTTGTTTATGTCTGATTTAGAGCCTAAACCGATTTTTAAGCTCCTAAACCGATTTAAAAAATAGTAAATCTCACCTTAAGTTCAAAATAGTCACCATCACGCCTCTCTCCAGCTTCTTCACCATCCACTTTCTTCAACTCTGCAATTGAACTCTCTCAGATAACGTAACTGTCATAACTAACTTTACAGAGAGCAATCAACAATAATACAAAAAAAAACTTACGGAGAATCGGAGGAGAGACGTTAGGAACGGAGAAAAACTCGTAAAACTGAGAGAGCTTCGGCGTCGGGTGTATAGCGACCATATCCAATCCCTCCGGCGCCGTTTTGTCATTTCCGACGGCGACGGGTTTGTTGGAAGAAGATCTGGAGACGGAGGAGAACCTTGTGGTGCACGCTACGATGTCTAGGACTCTCCGCACCTGAGTCAATGCTTGACTTTCCTCCACGTAGTCCTCTGTGGCAACAATTGTAAATATTACACACTATAAGGGCGGATATGTAAAAAAGTAAGAGTTAAATATTTACCAACCAATTACAAAAAGATAATTAAACAAATGATTAGTGCCCATACGTATTTCAGTGACACTATCTAGTACTAGTATAAATAATAATATGTGGTAGTAGTGGTGGTAGGAAACTAGTGTAAACTGTATAGTATTATTAAATTTTAAATCACTCACGTGGAATCATACGCAGGATACAAGGCTTGAGGGTAACCACTTGGATGTTACCACTCAACCTATGCCCTTTCACCTGCAACAATCATTCACCACAAAACCAAGTTTAATAATAATCAATCTCATTAACGTTTTCGTGTTTAATCGAAAGTGATGATCTTTACTTGATGCGAGAGAGAATAGTTGGTGAGATGGCAAGTATCAACATGAGATGCTAAAAGCCTCTTCACATCAATGATCTTGTCCGTAGAGACTCCTCTGAGTATCACTTGTGTTTCGTATGGAGTCGTGACTGTTATCTCAACCAGACTTGGTACCAACACTTTCTCTTCTCTCTTCTTCTTCTCTCCTTTCCCTCTGTTTGATTTCCCTTTGCTTGATGACCTTGGTGCCATTTTTGATCCTTCATGGAAACACACAACATAAGATTTAGATATCAAACACAAACAAAGTTGAATCATATATACAAAGCTCCAAACCTTAGAGCGTAGATTCCAAGAGAGAGAGAGAGAGAGCTGAGAAAGAGAGGGTGAAGAGAGGATATATAAAAAGGGGGGAGGATAAGGGTTTTGGTTTTTTTGGAGATATATGACTAATCCTGGCCTCTCCTTCTCGCTAACGCCAACTATATCTCTCTATCTCTAATACTAAACGACGGTACATGTGAGTTTTTGATGTTCACATTAAAGTTTTTTTTAATCAAGGCACCCAATCCAATTCCCATGCAACCCGAACCGAGACTATAATGATGGTTCAGATTGAGACACGTGTCACTATTGAGTGGTGGGGACACTGGTTCTGGTCCCAACCCGGTTTGTTTGTTTTCACTTTTTCTTCTTTTTTAAGTGATCAACGGTTCGAATCCACTGCTCTCTGTAGTGGTCTTTTTTAGCAGTGGTTGCCCACTCAAAGTCAATTCACTTTTTAAAAAAAATAACAACCTACTTAGTGTCTACATTAAATATACACGAGTTACATTCATTTTTTCTATATTTCTTAACAACTTAACAATTTGTATACAACAAGATAACAACGTGAGACCTTAGCACATTGTCAGCAATCAACACCGCAAGTTAAGAGACAAGGATGTTTTCTAGTCATTTCATGAGTGAGACTGAATCAGAATCCAATACATCAATGCAATCAAAAGGCGAATGGTAATACTGATAGTTTCCTTCCACTTACAACATGGTTTCAGTTACCCAAAACTAACTTCAAAACGAATCTAAAGAACAGAGTTAAAACCTCAAGATTTTTTTTCATAGTGTTTGGTTTTTGAGCCAGTCCTTGGTGCACAAGAGAGCTTCCAAGGTTACACGAGGAAGAGAAGTCCTGTAACTGTCCATCTGCTTCACTTCTGTGTCGAATACGGAATCAGGTGAGACTGTGCTAAAAGGTATGGAGAGAAGATCAACAGCTATCTTTGAGAGGGTAGGGTAGTTGTTGCTGTTGAGCCTCCACCAGTTCAAAACGTCGAAGGAATCAGACATCAGAACCAAAGATTCATCTAGGTATTGATCCATCTCCGTTTTCATATCTGACAGTGACATATCAATCTCAAAGTCTCCTATTGTGACGAGTGTAGACCCTTCCTCGAGAAGCTCGTCACCCATAAACAACGTGTGGTCTTCCTCTGCTAGTGTATGTGTTTGAGATTCATCACCAAGTTGCTGATCCTCTTCACTCACTACCTCACATACCCCTTCCACACTCAGCTTATCTACTTTACACACTGTAGTTTCCTCTACTGTTATTGAGGCGTGCTCTTCCTCTGTTACTGAATGCGACTCTATGATTTGCTCTACTTGTGGACTTGTCTCATCTACTGATTGTGCATCTTGAGGTATGTCTTGTTGGAAATCAGGTTCTTGAGCCACCTCTATTTCCGAATATTCATGATCCACATAATCATCCAGGTTGTGTTCACTGTAATGAAGGAACAGATCATGGACGGCGTCACTGACGCTCTTGATCCAGTCTTCAGCATCCTCACCATAGGCATTCGTAAACGTTTCCTTAATGTGCTTCATCTTGAACCGAGGATCCATGACCACCGCAACCGCCAAAACCAGGAAGCATCCTCTCCAGTACAAGTCGAATTTCTCCCTCATAGAGTTCGCAAGGTTCCTGACATCCAAGTCTTCACACATGGCTGCGTGGCTCAGCTCTAGCTGTAGCTTGGTCATCTCATGGTACAAATCGTTTGCTGTCAAATGGTTTGGCCTAGTCAAGACATTACCCGCTTCGAAAAGAACCTTCAAGCACGAGCATAGGCTCTCAATCTTTCCCCACTCTTCAGGAGATATTGATATTTTGTATTCAGGATAGCATGTTTCCAAACAAGAAAACACTTGTCTATGTTCACACGCAGCCACCAACATGTTGTAACTCGTGTCCCATCTCGTTTGGTTGTCAAAGAGAAGATCACTATACGGAACATCAGTCGGAAACAGTCTCTTCAATTCATCAAACTTATCTCCACAAGCGTCGTTCGTCTTAACAAACTTGATGCTATCTCTAACTTTCTTTACAATTACTTGAAGCTTCTCATCTACAAGCGCATCTAACGCCATACTACTTAAAACACGAGCGTAGCACTTCCCCATCAACAACTGACCATTCAACACATGCTGGTTCCTAGACGACAAGAAACCTCTGAGACTCTCAACACACGTTTTGCTCACTAACGACTGGCTAACAGCGATGCTCGAAATCTTCCCCTCCAGTTTCCAATCAGATAAACAACCCGCAACAGCCCGGTTCAACGCCAAATCCGAATCAAGACAAGCCACAACCGCAACATTCAGAAGACGATGACTCAAATTCCAATCTTTATCAACAAAATGTCCCGTCACAAAAGCATAACCCACTGATTCCTTAGACACCCCCACATCAACCGTAAGATTAACCCCGCCAGGAATCTCCCCAATAAACTCCAAAACCTTCTCCTTCTCAGACAAGAACATACCAACACAACCCCCAAGAACAGTATCAAACCTCGCCACACTATACTGAGGACGAAGCGCCTTTAAAAAACAACCAAAACCAGAATGCTCCACCATGTGAAGAGGGTAATCATGCATGACAATCATCTTAACCATCTCACGGCTACAAAAATCTTCATCTAAAGCGACAAAAGAACGTTTCTTGGGATGACAAGAAGAATAATCGTTCTCGTTCTTGACTTGAGGGGTAGTGAGACTCGTCTGAGGGCACTTAGCACAGATACCTAACTCAATGTGACGCTTTAGGTGACTAGTTCCAGAGGCTTTAGCGCCGTTTATGTAAGCGTATGACTTGTTACAGTGTTTGCAAAAGGCTTTTGTGGTGTCAGAGCTCGTGGCTTCGGTTGTGAAGTGATCCCAAACCATAGATTTTCTCTTCCTCCTCCGCCTAGTGGTGGTTGGAAGTTGTGAATCTGATGAGACGTTGGTGTCGGCGAGGAGTTCTTGAGGATTTGGATCCATTAAATCCTGAAATTTTGAATTAAGAAAAAAATCGAAATCAGTTATGAGTTTGATAGATAAAATTCAACTAAAGAGACGACTCGATAGACCTAAGAGAAACATCTCTGAGAAAACCATGAGAGAGGAGAGAAACTGATTGATTGAGATACTTACGCGGAGAGAGAGAGGGGGAGGGAGCAACGGCGGGAAGTAGAATCAAACGCGCTGTAATGGGCTTTGGGAAGGAGGTTGGCTCGGATTAGGGTTTTGAGCTTTTTTTCTCCGTCGGCCTTTTTTTGTTTTTCCACTTATATATAATCAAGGCGATGCAGTTAGTTTTTCTATTTCTATTTATAAATCACTTAATTTTTCTCCGCCGTAGATCTAACGAACTTATTTAATCTGGACCGTGTGTTTCCGTGTTTCCATTTATTTGTATATTGATTGCCTTATATCACAAAAGAAAGGAAGAAAAAAAAATGGATATATAAATTTTGTTAAATGCTACAAAAGGAATGTGTATGATATATATCCAACATAAATTTCTAAACATATTAAGACGTAGAAAGTCAACTGCACGATACACACCTTAATCAAGAAAAAAACAATATAAGAAAAGATTCAGTAATTAATTAAAACCATCATTATCATTCATCTTTTTACCAAATATCTCAGAATTAATTTGGAAAAAGATATATGAAAAGTTTCTCTTCCAGGTTTTTAAAAATAAAAATATTTGAAATTTTATTTAGTAAATTATACTCTTTCATTATACAAATGATTGGTGTTATACATTTTTTCTTGTATATACAAGATTGATGTTTTAAAATATAGTTAATGCATTTTTATTTAAAATAAAATAGAAATTAAAATGTAAAACTATGATTATTATATTTTATTGATAAAACTAAAAAGTAATGATTAAAAATATATTAATTATTTCTTTGTATGTGAGAGAGATCTTAAACATGAACTAGATTCTAATATGTCCTTCAAAAAGGTGGATATATTTTTTGTTTTAATATTTTCGAAACAATTAAGTTTTAAAATTTGTATTTTTTGTATAAAAATTATTTTTTATAAAAATAAAATTATCTAAATTTTTTAAATAAAAATATGATTATTTATTTTTAAAACCATAGATATTAAAAATAAGCTGTTTTATGGTTAAACATAGGACTAGGCAAATAAACCGAACCCGAAAACCCAAATCAAACTAGATCCGATAAAAATGAATCCTAACCAATCTGAATCCGACTTAAATACCGAATGGATATTGTTTTACGGTATTTCGGGTTATGGATATTATCCGAACCGAACCCAAAATTAAATGGATATCTGATAGAACCCGAGACATTCAAATTTTTTAATAAGAACTTGTACCGAACATGATCTTAATTCCTAATATATATCTAAAATATTTTAAGATATTACTAAGGATCTAAAATAATTATCTGTTACATGAAGGTTGATGGTTGAAAATGGCGGTTAAAACTTGAAATTTTTAGATTAATGTTTTGTTTTTATTGAATTATGTTTCTCATTTTTTCAGAACTTGATTTCCGTTTTATGCTTTCATTTATTTGGTTTTTTTTTCTATTAATAACTATGTTTACCTTTCATTTGATTTTGAATGCTCACGTTTGATGTACTTTTTTTATTTTTGAATCAATTTTACTTATGTTTTGGTTACAAATTAGTTACACATCAAGTACTTTAAATCCCAAGAACCGATTTTACTTATGTTTTGGTTACAAAGTAGGTACAAATCAAGTATTTTTACACCAAAGAACCGTTTGGGACCTGAATCCGAAAGTATAACGGGTTATACCGATTCTCTAAAAAATTTACTAACCCCGAACCGATCCTAAACCCATCCCGAACCGAATTTTCAAATAATCTGAATGAAAATGATTTTGATAAACCCGAAGAACTAAGATCCGAATGGATAAAACTGAAACCCGATTGGACCCTGAATGCACAGGCCTAGTTAAACCTAGGCAAATTGTATCATCATGCCCATTACCTACATAAGTTGTTATATGAATCATATTCCCTCACGTTAAAATCGCCATGGGAGAGAGCTCGGTGGAGAAGATGATGTAAAACAAAATTAGGGTTATCGATTTCCCCTTTGTACTTTGTGTTCCGATTCTTGTTTTTTTTTTTGTTTTTTATGTTTTGTTTTATTTATAATTTAAATTTATAATTCTCCTTAATTGATTAATTTAAAGGGTATTATGGTATTAACAGATTTGAAAATCCTATTTTCCCAAAAAATCTTCTAAAAGTCTTATAGGACAAATCCAAGTTGAAAGTGTTATAATTTTCCAATTTTCCCTAGAAAAAAATGGGTTCTATATTTTAATTTGCAAGTTTAGTAGTAGTTACAATCGTATTAAACATGTTTATAGGTGTATATATATGTTAAATACTATCAGTTAATTACAAAAATGTGGGTTGTAAACAATTAGATCTAACAAATATCAACTAGTCATGTAACAATATTAAAGGCGTGACTGGTATATCCGCTACCATCCGCAAACGTATCTTTTGCAATTAGTAGGAGTTGATAGCGTTTTGTAACAATTACAGAAAACGCTATAAACTGTGTCATATCGCTTTAAACCTATAAAATTTAAAAGCTGATTCTAGCTAACGTTTGGGATTGCGTGCATTTGCGGAAGGGTAAATTTTTTTTTTTTCAAAATTCAATTAAATTTTTAAACTAAAATAATAAAAGCACCAATATATACATATATCATATTTTTAGTTTATATTATAAGGCTTCAGAAGAAAATTATTTTTTATAATTTTAAAAATATTAATATTATAATTTTATCAATCTAATTTTTGTATTTGTTATAAAATTATAGTTTTAATATTTTGATAATTAAATAAAAATGTAAATATGGTTAATATATTATATAACCACTGCTGCATTTAGTAGTTAATCATTCATAATTATCCTGCAAACGCAACAATTTTTAATCGATGTACTAATCATTCAAATTTCTTACTAACGCATAAAACCACAATCATCCACATCCAAAAATGCCCGCAACTGCTGTGGTTACACGGCCTAATAGAGTAGATCTTTTAAATACAAGGGAGCATTATCAGTAAATAATGTTCTAATGATTGGTTATTTTTGGGAAATTAATGGTTTATTATTAATTTGTACTTAAAAGTATGGAAGAAGAAAAAAAAAAAGGTCTAATACTTTGGCTGTGCAAGAAATAAAATATTTGTCTAATCATATATTTCCCATCTGCCTCATCAGATTCTGCAGACTACCAAACTGCTGTAGCATCTGAGGCGGTATGACTCTGCTCATCAGCTGTTGCGCATTCCTGTTTGAGCTCATATCTCCATTCTTTGCCATCTTGAGACCTTTCATGTTGCTAAATGCCTTTGCTAGCTTCTTGTACTCTTCCAACAGCTCCATCACTTCTCTCACAATCCTCCCTGACCCTCTTGCTATCCGCATTATCCTTGACTCGTTAAACGCCTTTGGGGTTGAGCTATCCAGCTCTGCAACATCACCATTTTTGTTCAAAACTGTTTATTATTACACCTTTAAACTACAAGGAAAAATCCAAATCAGAATTGTTCTTACCTTCATTTGTCATAGAATCCATCATTGTCATGTATTTCTTTATCTTAGCCTCGCTACCACTCGGTATCATTTGGGCACTCACTCCAGGCACCCTTGAGAACAACTGCACACAAAAGATTTAGTTTGTGTTATCATCAGCACCGTGTAGCTTGCTCATGCTAATATTTGACAAGGGATTCTCACCTCGCTAAGTGGCCCGGCATTCAAAAGACTCTGGTACTGGTCGTACATCATTCTCATTGAAAAGTTACCCTTGGAGATCTTTTCCAAATATTCAGCTTGTTGATCTTTAGGTACCACCCCTTGTAATTTATCTACCAATCCAGACAAATCACCCATTCCTGTTTGTACATAAAACATTACTATCAAAACTCTGAGTCCACAACCCATGAGGAGGCTTTGATTACTCCTCACAGTGCTGCTAATCTTTAATCAATGCCATGAAAGTTACCTAAGAGACGGCTGACAAATGGTTTGACGTCAAAGACTTCAAACTGATCCATATGCTCTCCTGTTCCAATGAAGATCACAGGGCTTTTCGTAGCTGCAACACTAACCAGATATAAAAATATAGATCAAACTCACTTGTCCAATTGAGAAAAGCGTAAAAAGAGTTACATAAGACGGTTACTTACGCACTAAGAGCACCACCACCCTTGGCATGCCCATCCATCTTAGTAATAATCACAGCTCCCACAGCAACACTTTGCTTAAATGCTTGAGCTTGATCAAACGCAGCTTGACCAATACTGCTATCCATAACAAATATAACAAGATCGGGTTTCTGCAAAGTTAAACAAAAAGAAGCCAAGATCAGCGCTTCGATCATAAACCCACAACAACAAAAATAAGAGAACACACACCGTCGCTTCAGCAACTTGACGCATCTCTTCAAAGAGAGAAGCTTCTTGTTTATGGCGACCACTTGTATCAACAATAATAAGATCACATTTTTCTTTCTTGAACCTATCAACTCCCTCAACAGCAATTTTCACAGGATCGGATTCAGTGTAGCTGCACAAAGAATCACAACACATTATAATCCCATAATCCACCCAAGAAAGCACAAACAAAGATCTCATACAAAATCTACAAAAAGGAAGTACCTTCCATAAAAGGGGATCTTAGCCTTAGTGGCATTCTGTTTCAACTGGTCAAAAGCACCCGCTCTGAAAGTATCCGCACACACTAAAGCTGGCTTGTAGCCTTTCTTCTGATGATAATAAGCATACTTTGTACACGTGGTGGTTTTTCCAGCACCTAAACATTTACTCAACAAAATCTCAATCAACCACAGACAAATACAAATACAAAAAAAAAAAAAAAAACAGCATCTCACAAAGACCTAACCTTGTAATCCGACAAACATAACTACACTAGGTTTAGCCTTTTTGGGGGCAAATGCAGACTTTCCCGGATCCAGCATCTTACACAGTTCACTTAAGATAGCCTGAGAGAGAAATACAAGACGAGAATCAATAAAAAAAAATGAAACGATTTGAAGAATTAGGGTTTAAAAGAAAAAAACAAACCTGCTCGATGATCCGGCGCTTGTTGTGGCCAGCAGCTAGATCCTCGAGGTTGACGATCTTCTTGATGTTTGTCTGCATCTCCTTCACAAGAGTGAACGAAACATCGGATTGAAGCAGAGCACGAGTGATCTCGTTCAAGCATTCGTTTAGAGCCTTTTCGTCGATGATTGTCACGTTGCGCATCTGATGTATAGCGTGTGTGATACGTCCTCCGAGCTCCGCCAACACCATGTTTCCTGGTCTATATATTTCTACGAAGATTTTACGCGATTAGATAGCTTTTCAGGGAGAAGTATCAGATTTTGAGGAATCAGGGTTTGAGTCTCGACTATTTATAAGAGAGACGGAGAAGTAAGCTGAGGATTTTATTTATTTATAATTCTGTGAAAATACGATGTGCGTAAAAAAGCCCAATAGGACCAATGGGCCACATGATTTAAACAGTTACGTAATGCTATTCGTCTTGAAGTAAACCATGGATTAGAGAGTATGTTTGGCGGATATAAAGTGAAGAGCTTCTCCTCTCGAAAAGTCAAGTGATAATGCCTTCAAAGAATCACATGTTTTGGTGTAACCTGTTTTAGATATGAACGTAGATTTGCATGTTTAATGGAGAAAAACAAACAAAAACAGGAACTTGTTTGTAACTTTGTTTATACTTTTACTAAGTACTTAATACCAATGACTATATAACAAGACATGTAATCAGCGAAACTGTTAATTTCAGGTTTCATACTGTTGTACATGGACTATATGAGTTGTTAAGAAGACAAAATATCCAAGAATGTAATCAGCAGCAGGCAAAGATTCAACATCACAGCTTTTAGTTTTACTCTCCGAATGTGTAGCTCTTAACTAGATGATCCTGATCCCTTCATAGAAACTGTCGGGTACAGCTTTTTCAGCTTCTTCTGCTCTCCGTACTGGTGGATGACGTCTTGAATCCCTGCAAATGCCACCACAAACTCTGCTGTATCGGTTTGATTCAGTAGCTTCTTCATCACCAGTTCCAACACCTTATACCTGCACATCACCAGTTTCTGCTATTCAAAACTTTCATTTAACTCAACCGTTCTATAAGACAATAACAACATTCCTTTGCTTTTAGTTCATCACTAACATTCCTTTTCTTTGTGATGCAGAGAAAAAGCAAACCTGAGTCGTTGTGCCTTTGAGATGACTTTATTGATGTTACCAAACAACTCCTGCACAGAACCTAGAGCTTCTTCACGCGACTGAGCATTGCAGAGCGGTGAAAAGGGAAGGTGAAGAACACAAGTCGCCTGAATCTCCGCATACTCCTCATCAATCACAGCCTCCTCAATACGAATCTCACGCACAAGCTGAGAGAGCACACGCTCACTCGACTCAGAGAGAGAGAAATTAGGATTCTGAGCAGCCAGTACACGAAGAAGGTCAAGAATAGCGGTAGGACGACAGTCTCCAAGCCAAGACACAGCAGCCAGCTCATGAGGCGGTATCCACGTAGGCATGAGAAGGTTAGAGACATCCTTCAAAGACGTTGCAACCATAGCCTTGTAGTAATGCGACTGGTATCTACTCAGCTGTTCCTCAATCAGTTCATCAAGCTCCCACCTGGATTTAAGCTCCTTGTCTAGTCTTGCAGCTATGATGTTCTGTTCTTGCCTCCACAGTTCGTACAATTCTCCAGGTGATTCGTCATCTAAAAGCATAATTAGAGATTAATTATGAATAACTCAAAAAACTAAGTTAAAGAATGAAACTTTATATGAGGATACCTTTTCTAGAAGAGTCGTGCTGGTGAGATCTCCAGGAGTGGTGGTGTTTTTCAGAAGAGCCACCGGCTTTGCTAGCAGCGTATCTCTCAAGATCATCCCATGAAACTGATTCTACAATGTGCGTTTCCAAAAATCCATTCCCTTCACTACATAAACAATAAAGCTAATAAGCATCAACTTCTCCTAAATTAACAAGATGGATCTTGAAATCGATCAACAAGAGGAAAACCCTAAATCATTGCGAAACGAAATAAAGAAAACCCTAAAATCCAAAGCGATTTGAACTATGAGAACACACAGAATCCTAAGTCGATTCGAAACTTCGAGCAAACACACTCGTTGATGGCGACTACTAATACAGAGAAAGAAGACGAAAGATACTCACAATCGCGCTACTTCCATCACTCTCGTCACCTTCGCGCGCTCTTCAGCACTGTTCGTTTCTTTCCCAACGTTCTTGGAGATGATGACTCATTTAAGAAACAAGAGAGAGAGATGAAGGGGTGTATTGGTAATTAACTATAATGGACCGCGCGCTAAGGCCCAAATATTCTCAATAACTATACCCGGCCGCGTGCGAATGCCCAACTATTCTCAGTAACTACTGGGCCACGGGCTAAACTAATAAAATAAAGAAATATCTCATCGACACCTGCTGAATTGCCAGGTGTTGCATGTCACGAGTAAGGATCAATTGCCACGTGTGGTTTAGATCCTTTGTCCTAATCCATAAACTTCAAAACTCGAGCCAAACATCAACAACACTTTTAAAAGGTTTCGAGAACCAACACGTTACAACCACTTTCAAGACACTTTCCACACACACACTAATTCACAATGCAACAAGAGAAGAGCAAAGAAGATCACAGCCGCTTGATCAACATCACGGCGAAAGATCTAACGGCAAGAAACCGTCGCCTAGTGGAAGTACCCTACACGGCAACACTCTCCCAAGCAATGAACACATTAGTAGCAAACTCCATCTCAGCACTCCCTGTAGCCGCACCTCCAGGACACTGGATCGGAGCAGGAGGGTCCATGATAATGGAGTCAGATAAACAAACCGGAGCTGTACGTAAACACTACATCGGAATCCTCACTATGCTCGACATACTTGCTCACATCTCCGGAGGTGAGAATCTCTCTGATCCCACTGATCTTGATCGTAAGATGGGTTGTCAAGTCTCTTCCATCATAGGCCATTGCCTCGAGGGGCTTAGCTTATGGACGTTGAATCCTAGTACTACTTTGTTGGAGTGTATGGAAGTGTTTAGCAAAGGGATACATCGAGCGTTGGTGCCGGTGGAGAGTAGTATAGAGAGTAGTAATACTATTTCGGGTGTTGAGTTGGTTGAGTCTTCCTCTGCTTATAGGATGCTTACTCAGATGGATCTGTTACGGTTCCTTAGAGACCATCATTTTGATGATATGAAGGATGTGACAAAACGCTCTGTGTCTGATCTCCGAGCTGTTAATGAGTCTGTTTACGCCATCACGGAAAGTACTACTGTTGCTAATGCTTTGAACTCTATGAAGGCTGCTTTGCTTAACGCAGTTCCTATCGTTCATGCTCCTGATGTAGCTGAAGAGGATCATTTTCAGCTAATCAACGTAGGTTTATTCAGTTTATATATTTGATTGTGTACGAGTTTGTTGTTCATTGTGTGTGTTTTTGGGATTTGCAGGGGAGGCATAGGAAGGTGATTGGTACGTTTTCTGCAACGGATCTAAAAGCATGTCGTTTGCCTGAGCTGCAGACGTGGCTGCCACTCTCTGCGTTAGAGTTCACTGAGAAGGCTTCAGGGAATGAGAGGGAGACTGTGAGTTGCACTGAGGAGACGAATATGGAAGAAGTGATAGAGAAAGTGGTTACGAGAGGAGTGCACAGAGTGTGGGTTGTGGACCAACAGGGTTTGCTTAAAGGGGTCGTTTCCCTCACTGATATCATACGCTCTATAAGAGCTGCTCTTTTGTAATATGTGATCTTTCTATGTGTGTCTCACCTCTTTAATCCTAGAGCTGCTGTTTTGTAATATATGATCTTGCTTTTTGTTTTCATCTCTTTAATCTTACTATACTATGCAAGCTTGGTGAGTATAACCTAAATACCATGTAACAGACTCTATTTCGTTGCTTATCATGTAACGCGTACCCTAAAAAGCGAGACTGGATCATGTAACAAATAACAGCTTTGTAATATATGATCTCGCTTTCGCACTTTGCTTCCAACCAAATACTATGAGAACAGAAACAGACTAAATAACATTAACAACATACCAAAAGTACAATATAGAACAACAGTAGAAAAGTTCAAGAGTCTAAATGATAATGAACACATCAGTTCTACCAGCACGTACAACAACAACTCATAATGTTAATGCTACATCTGAATCATACTAAACAACAGACTCTCCACGCTCTATACAGAACGATAGGTTTTTAACAGCTCACGGACGCTGCAGCACCCTGCTGCTGTTGGACTTGATTCGCCTCTAAGCCTCTCTTTGTATCTCCCGCCTTCACGTCATCACTTTTCTCCTCAGCTACAGCTGCTGCTGCTTCTTGTGTCCCATTCCCCTTATTAGCTTCTGCGTCTGCATCAAAGTTATGCTCACCATCTGTCTTGTTCTCGTCAGCTTCTTTGGTCTCTTCTTTGGTCTCATTTCCCTTATTAGCATCTGCATCAAGGTTAGGCTTACCAGAAGTCGCATTCTCTTCTCCGTTTGCTTCAGCGCCCAAGCTGCCCTTGTTCTCAGTCTCATTCTCTGTAAGCTTCTTCTCTCCATCACCTTTAGTAACAACTTCCTGTGGTTCTTTCATTTCAGTGTCAACTTTGGGAGTTTCTTCAGCTATCCCTCCACTCTCAGCCTTCTTCTCAACCTCAGAGCTAGCCACTTCCACAGGCTCTTTCTTGTCCGTCACAACTTCTCCCTCTTTGTTCTCCTTCTCAGCCTTCTTCTCAACCTCAGAGGAATCCACTTCCATGGGATCTTTCTTGTCCAACACAGCTTCTCCCTCTTTGTTTTCAGCCTCAGTCTTTTCCTCCTCCTTGTTCTCCTTCTCAGTCGCAGCCTCTTCACTCTCTTTGTTCTCCTTAACTTCTTCTTCTGTTTGTCCGTTCTTGTCAGCAGCCTCTGCTTGTTGATTCTTCTCAGCAGCCTCTTTATTATCCTTCTTAGTGAGAGAAGAGCGTCTCTTCTTCAAGAGAGGTTCCTTGTCAGGAGTAGGGGTTGTAGCCTTCACCTTCTGGCTGATCCTTGAAGATCTCCTTGGAGTCTCCCCAGTAGTCCAATCAAATTCAGAGCTGAGAGGATTCCCAGGATGAGCCTTGAGGTACTGCTCAAGCTGCTTGCGTGAGCTGATCTCTTCACCCGTTGGAGCCATGAACACAATCTCTGTCTTCCTTGGTGTACCTGCTCTCTTCGGATAAAACTGGAACAAACAATCCCATTATTCACATATAAACTTTTACACACATAGCATGAGCTATAAGACTTCACCAGACATAATCTACAGAAAAAGCCCTAAACTTTATTAACCAATTCTAGGGTTTAGGTCTTCAAGGAAGAGCATTTTCATCAGAAACCCTAATTTGACTCCCTCAAGAAATCCTTAAGCGTTAAATTCTTATCTAATTAAGGAATTAAAACATAAAGATACCAAAACCAACCTCGAAAACTGTTATTTCATTAAATTCCCCAAACTGAATATAAACCCTAGACCATCAGACAAGAAAAGAAAATTGCTGAAAATAGAAAGCAGACCAGACACACAAGACTCTTTTTTTACAATAACATCAATTTCTTAAAGGGGTTATAAAAGTAATTGCGGCAGAAAATTCAAGAAAATATGAAAAAAAAAGGGATACCAGTTTCTTCCATGAAGGAGGAGCTGGAAGCTCAATGGACACGAGCTCGTCTGTGTTTTCCATCTTCTTCACCTGACACAACAGACTCTCTCTCTCTCACACACTTAAAACCCTTACTTACAAAGTTCTCGTCTTTCTTTCCTTTCTGGTAATAAGAGCTGGTGAAAGCACCGTTGTGACACTAAAGGATATGTTTGCGTGTTTCTTCTGTTGATTTTTTAAAAATGATATTTAAAAAAAAAACTAAAATTGACTTTTCCTTTATCCAAGAGAGCGAGCACACTGGGGCTACGTGATAGTTCAGTGACAGACCTCTTTGAGAACACCACGTGTCCTGTTTAGCCGACGTTTCATCGTGGATAAGGAAGCATCTGTTTCCCGCTTCTGTAAGATAATAATAAAAGTAGATCGAAGAGTGGGGTTGAGGTCCGCTACGTGACCACTTGATTTTACTGCGAATCTGCTCTTCTTTTTTTGTTCCTTTCCCACTATTCTAGTGAGCCTACGTTATACAAGCCCATGTTAAAGGGCCCAAAACATGGGCCCAAGATTCTTTTGTTGCGCAGAAGTTAACTCTCTAACAGACAACTCGTTCCTATTTTCTCTAACAAAAGATTTTTTTTCCCTATCTTCTCTAACAAAATGATTTTTTTCCCATCTTCTCTAACAACATGATTTTTTTTATTTTTTTCCTATCTTCTCTAACCAATGATGCATTGACTCATCTTCTAATCCCACTATTAAAAAACTGTCATCTTTAAAATGAAGATCACATGGTTGCAAGATCAATGTGCAAGTCAAGACAAGAAACACGAGACATGTCTTAGTTTGAGAGACCTTATATGGTCAATTTGAGACACCAGTCTTGCATTTTTTTTTACTTCAAAGATGGTGGTGGTACAATAAGAGATGTTTCTTTCATTTACGGTGAAAAAAATGTATGAGCCAACAATCCCCAGTTTTCTCAAACAATTCCAAAAGGAAACAAAATTGGGAAATGTCCAAACCAGTGTGTATCTTGTTCATCAGTCATATAGACCATCTTGTTCCCAAATCTCCACTAGAAAATCCACCATTTCCTGTTTCCATCAGTAACATTAGAATTGACTGATAAGGATTTTTTCTCCGTTTTGCTTGTATGTACTAAGAGAGTTCGATAACTTACGTTGAGAGGAATAGGTTGGGGAAATAACTTGTTGCTCCCAAGCAAGTTATCATAAGATGCTGCGTTCCAACTGCAGTTTCAATCACATATAAAAATGTTAAAACGTATTCATCCTTGGCTTTAGACAATAGTGAGGCTACTCACTTGATCTTGGATCCATGATTGCGATCCGGTGGATTGTTATTAGATCTTTCCTTAGCCACCCAACGTTCCCTTGTCTGATTCCAAAGAAGAAGACCTTGCAAACACACTTCATATATAATAACTATCATCCCCAAAAAACACTATACACTCATCCAAAGGGGAGGAGAGTTACCTTGGTTAACAAACTCAGGAGGGGGATTTGAGTTTCTAGCACCAGATTGAGAATCAAAAGTCTGGTTTGATGATGAAATGCTTCCTCCCTGAGAAGGGAAGGTGATGTTGTCCATATCAACCGTACTTGTTGACCAGAAATCTTCAGACACGCTCGGTTTCTTAACCCTTTGAGCTACAGAATAGGAAGGTGGATCGTTTACAGTTTCCGTTGGTCTGGTTTCTCTGTAACAAGCCACGCAGCCACTGCTCTGTTACAAAACCAAAACTTCTTATCATCCCCCAAACACATCTCTTATGTCCAAACTAACTATTGGTTTCAAACCTAAATAATCTTGAATAGGGTTTATCTATAATGAAACAATCTCAAAAACTGAATCAACCAAAACAGAGATTGGAAGGAGAATCTCACCCCATCGATTGAGTTAAAAACGTTTTATTAACCCAGGAGACTCCAATAGATCTGGAAGCTCGAGACTTAAAATCAAACCTATAGATAACCCAAAAGAAAGAGCCAATCAAACGAATGGTTTATTAAAAAAAATCAAGAATCTATGAATCAGAAAATAACTTACCTGATGATGATAAATCTCGTTGGTTAAAATAAAGTCGTTTCCTTTTTTTTTTCAACTGGGCAGTTTCTTAACGAAGAAGAAGAAGAAGAAAGACGAAGGGCTCTCTCCTCTTCTGCCCTTTATTACGTCTTTCTCTTTTCCTTTAGCTTTGAAATTATTATTGCTTTTGTCAAAAGAACCAGACAAGTTATGATTCATCCCCTCCAGCAGCCGTTATACGGATTCTCTGGCACTAAGGCTATTCTTGTCTTTTACAACATTATCAACAAATCCAAAAACAACTTGTAATAATAGTGCGTGTTTTGTCTTAAACTCATCATTATAAAAGTCAAAATTATTGTGCCTCCTCACTACTCATCATATTAACATTCTATTATTTGAATAAAAATTAGTGTTGGAGTTAATAATACCAAGCAAATATTTATAGAATTCATAATTGTTTACATGTTTAACACGATTTGTCAATGTAAAGTGCTGACAATAACACAAGAAGAATTGTCAATGTAAGCTTTTATCATGGAGCTAGGCTCAAAGAACTGCAACAGCAAATAGTCATTAGACATTTCACTCCAGTTCACATCACCACCACCAGTCTTGGCAAACACCGACGCTGGGATCCTCTCAGGATCGTAATGCGTCCCTAAACATCTATTCATCAACTGTACTGGCCGTGAAAATGAAGGAGCATGTTCCATCCTGACATGAGATGTCACACACCACATTTCAGAGCCTGGAGGAGGAGAATAATTAGCATTCAAAACTTTTCCTCTGCTCTGATTCTCCTCACAAGATGTTCGGGCTGATTTGGTGGTGCTTATCTCTATTGCATCGTCTAATGATGACGTGCAAGAGGAAGAAGACAGTGAAGAGAAAGACAGAGATGGTGATGATGTTAAGAAGTCTTCTTCCCTCGGCCGTTTGCAACCTACATGTACGCTTTGCCCACTTATTTTTTCAAACTATTCTCATTCCACGTTGTAAACGTTTTGTTTATTATAGCCTTTGCAAAACAATGTCTCAAGAAGCATTGTTGTTGTCAACATAGAGCAATGTCCACTCTTTAAAGCTGCAAAGATATGATTAAGTACTAATCAAAAAGAACCTAAGAGTTTAGGATATACACTAGCTCTTTGTGACCTTATAGGAGACGGAAAGATATGCCATTGTCGATAAGGTTGTGAAAGAGAAAAGGGATTAACAAAAGAATTTATGGAGAGAAATGAAAGTAAGGAAGAGAGCAAATAACAAACAAACACGTTGAATTTAGTAAGTAGATCACCTGGAAAATAGACCGTTGATCGGTTGTATTTAGAGGTTGTTGGTAAACGTTTTTTTCTCATGGTAAATTAAGAGAACTCTTGTTTCGAGATAGACTAGACAGTAGACACATTGTTGTTCAGAAAAAAAAAGACTAGACACATTGAATGCATACATACAGACCTTGTGGACATCAGTATGGCCCAATGTAGGCCCAGTTTTCTGTAATCGGGCCAGCTTGTTCACGCAGTTTTTGTTTAGTTAGAGTCAGAGACGATATAACGAGAAAAGGTAAGAGGAGATGAGAACACGTGTAGATGTGGTAAGTAATAAAGTAAAACACCAAGAAAGGTGAATCATGTAAACCCGTAAAATTCACAGTTTGGCATCTTTTCTCCAACTGGAAAACCCCATTGGCCTCTTGAGATCATGAGATGTATATATTTGTTTCAGTCACGTGTATTTCGTGTTTCAAAGGAAAAATAAGTTTGTCTTCGAAATGCATTTCACTTTTGTAACCATGATACATTATCCAGATAAAACATATATGCATATCTATATATATAATACTGCAGTTGAAGATGGGTCATCAACTCATCTACTTCTGAGAATTTCAGCTGAAGGATTCATGATTTCACTTTACTAACAGGTCCAAATTGTATTAATTACAGTATGAGTATAAGTCGATAGTACAGAAGTCGACAGTAAGAATAAATATCTCAAACAATAATATATTACAAGGCATATAGTAGATAATTGGAGAAGAAATCACATGCAATATCGAAATACGATAATTAATGAAGAGACAATATGGCATGGAAGCGGGGACCTTATACATACGATGACAAGCAATCATCAAATTAGCACCAATGAAACAAAAGCATATATACCATATTATCATGTTTAAATACAAGCATACATTAGGTTAAAGATGTTTGCTCAAATATTAAATGAGATATATATTAAATTGACACATAAACAGCCTTAATTTGGACCCAAGCCGACAGTTAGGGCTTTAGGCAGTGTGTACTGTAACCAACTAATCAATTTCGAGAAAACCTTCTACTAATTGCATATGGACCACCCTTTCTTTAAGTTGTGTCCTTTCTTTTACTTTTAACTTGTGTTGTCTAATATATTTTATTAACTAATCTTCTTTATGTGTTTGTTTGTGTCTTGTGATGTATCTCATGTGTTATATTTGATCGCGAGTGAACAACCACTTTTCCCAGCGCTTATTACGTGTTTGCTGTCACGTTTGATTAATCTCCTAAAATATTACAACCTTAAGTTTGCTCACAGTAACGACCCAATTAAAGCTTATAGCTAATATTGATCAATATATGTAAGAATAAGAACATCTCCATGAAGATGTGAGGGAAGTCCATACATAAGATCAGATTGATAATGATATTGTGGATGATGGTTACTGTTGGTTGTTAACCAACATACGACGTATATAAATGACACATTTTTTTTAATTATTAATTCCCACTCGGCCTTAATCAAAAAAATGCTTTGCAAGTAATGATCGACACAAAAGGCTTAGACGTTCGTACAAATTAAAGTAACAGACAAATATAAGTAAGCATCAAATTAAACATGAGGGGAGGCGTAGTACGTACGTAGCTAATATGATGTGGACAATTGATTGGGATGTACGTTCGTAGGTATACTAAAAAACAATGTACACGGCCATGTGACACTTGTACAACTTGGTGCAATTCCTACATATATATACGATCTTACCTTGGAAATTTAAATCGTTTTACCCTTATAACCAACCTTAACATATTAGCAATCACTCTATACCAACAACTCCAACTAAATTCTCTTGACGTCTCTCAAATGTAATAAGGGTAAGAACAAGTACAAACCTTTCATCCACCAGAGTTTAAACCTGTGTATATAAATATATACAACATTACTATTTACCAAACATCCATCTTACAATATATTACTCGTCATCAAAGAATTCATGTTCTCTCTCTGACAAAGAACTCAGAGTAAGTAAAGAAAATGGTACAGTCGAAGAAGTTCAGAGGTGTCAGGCAACGCCATTGGGGTTCTTGGGTCGCTGAGATTCGTCATCCTCTCTTGTACCTTTCTTCTTTCTTTCCTTTTTTCTGTTTTGTTCATTTATTCCCCCTTGTTTTATGCATGTTAGTACACAACCAAACACACACACAAACATGCATGAACAACATTTTTAATATCTTCTGTTTTTCTATATATATAACATATTAACATGCATGATAAATGAAAACAAAAAAAGGAAAAGGAGGATTTGGCTTGGGACGTTTGAGACAGCAGAGGAGGCAGCAAGAGCTTACGACGAGGCAGCCGTTTTAATGAGCGGCCGCAACGCCAAGACTAACTTCCCCCTCAACAACAACACAGGAGACACATCAGAGGGCAAAAACGAAATTTCATCATCTTCATCTTCATCACTCTCTTCCATCCTCAGCGCTAAACTGAGGAAATGCTGCAAGTCTCCTTCTCCTTCCCTCACCTGCCTCCGTCTTGACACGGCCAGCTCCCATATTGGAGTCTGGCAGAAACGTGCCGGTTCCAAATCTGATTCTAGTTGGGTTATGACGGTGGAGCTTGGTCAAGCTGGCTCCTCCCAGGAGCCAACTAAAAACGCTACACAAGACGATGTTGGTCCAGCCACTGAGGTTGGCGGAGGAGGAGGAGGAGAAGGTGTAATGGACGAGGAAGAGAAAGTTGCTTTGCAGATGATAGAGGAGCTTCTCAATACAAACTAAGTATTATTTGCTTATATATATATAGCTATTTTTATTGCTGATTTACAGCCATAATAATTAAGTATACCCATATATGATATATATCGTGTTTATATCTATATGTGATAGCTATATGTTGTTTTATATTTCATGTTGTGTCCAAATAAAGTGTTAGTATTTGTAACTACAATCCAGAAGTGACCTTTTTTTCTTATTTGTGTTATATGTTCGTCTTATAATCGCATTCATATAATAGATAATAAAAACAACGTTACATTGTACATAATAAGTTTATTATAAGAGGACATGATTTATAGCAACATCCCTAATCTGGGGGTGAATTTGTCTCCTGTTTAAAGCAGACAGTACGCTTTCTAATTAAAGTGTTATGTGAGATCAACTACGTGTAGACCAGGGATGTTGACTAATATTGCTTCCTTTAGTTGTTTTAAGGGCTTAATAATACATGGAAATTGAATAGTTGGTTAAATTAGGTTTGTAATGTGTCATGTATCCCCCACAAAACACATGCATTCAGATTTTTTTTTCATTTTCATTAGTGATATTATTTCAAATCTAATTTTCACGTATGATGAGATGTAACAATAACAGCCCATGAAGAAAAATTCAAAACTTTGTGAATTTCCCATGAATATACCGTACGTATACTCTTTTTTATTTTGCCGTATCTAACTAGAACGAAGATAATTGTTGATTTTATCCTAACGAATAATTCAATTCAGTATAAATGAAACATCCAGTTGATTATTTTGTTATACAGTGTGGAGTTTTTGTAAAGAGAAATACAGTGTACCCAAAAAAAAAAATAAAAAAAAAAATACAGTGTACCTGACAATTACTGAATATTTATTGTGTATTTGTGTTTGTATGGGTGGGGGGGAGGGGGTGTATAAACCTAGTTACACCTGGAATAGTACGTATGAATGATTTAATTAAGATGACCAGACTGAATCATGAATTCACCATGAGTAATGGTAACTTTCATAAACTGCAATAATGATACTGTACAGAGAAATTCGAGATATCTATATACTTATATTCAAGAGCTGTAAGAAAGATGCTTACGCTAACAAGAAAATCGACTACAATAATTACAAAACGTTCATTGTCTAACCGAGAAAGGAATGTGCATTAAATAAAACCAAAGGGATTTTGATTGATCATAGACGTATCTTTCATTTGTGTTTTGTTTTGTTATGTATTTTGTTTTTGAATGAATCATATATCTATAAACCGTGTGCGCCAACACTAGCACGTATTATATTCTCCTTTTACAAAACATACATCGACGTCTAATTGTGACGTTTTAGATCAAAGACTGTAGTAACACCAAAAAATATCAAAGATTGTATATGATTGAATCCTTAAACCTTCCAAAACAACATGGGCTAGCTATCTATTTTTTTGTCCACCAAGATTAGTACGATTCATGATCATATGCAAACTTAGAAGTATATTGAGTCAGTGACGTGAGAAATTTCTAAAAGTGTTGTAACACAAACGTGAAAACCAAAAAATTTAGCAAAAAAAGGCGACTGGATAATTATGTTGTTTAAACTAATACATCAGTTAACTTAATCATCATCACAGTTCATGTCACACATATACTAGAAGAATTGGTAAAGTTAGGATTCTTTAACTTTCAAAAAAGTACAAGTGAAGGTGAAGGGATAAACGAATTAGGTAAAAGAAGAGATTCAACTTTCACTTCAACAGCAACTTGTTGGTACTTGTTTGTGCTCATCCTTTATGACTTGTCCTCTTTTCACTTTAAACTTCCACTTATACCATTCATTTTACATTATAAACTTTTTTTTCCCCAAGGTCAAGAGTTTAAGTTTTCTGTCTTTCCTCTTTCTTTAACTTGAGTTTAAATACGAATAAATTGGTACAAGTAGTGATGAAAAGAGGGAGGAAAACTGAAATAATGAATGTAACAAGAAAGAAAAAGGGTGGTCTCTACTTTCTCTAGATAGAGTTGGAACAGTGACACATTTCCTTTAACTCTCCATTGATATTGACCTTCACTTTTTCTTAACTATCAATATCTTCTCTTCTCCATCTCACTCAACTATCAAGTGTCTATCTAACTATATACACATTCACTTAATATTTCAGTATTTCTACTGAATTTTATATACAATCTTACAAAAAAAAAACAAGAAAATAGGTATTTTATACTGTATGTATATATATCCATACGTCAACTTTGTCAATATGTGAATCAATGAAAGACTTATCGTGAAACAGAAGGTTTCAAATATTCGAGGGACTAAATTACGACAAAGCCCCCTTGTCGATTTCGCTATGCTCGAGTAAGTTCAAGCGAGAATCACCCAAACAAAGATCAATTCAAACCAGAGGAGAGATTCAAGCGAATGCTTTCGAGTTAGAGACGAAGAAAATCATATAAGCATCATGATCCTTGCCGTGTTGTTCGCAAATTCCGTTGGGAATGTTTTGATCGAAAGGTTCGCAAAAAATCCAGATCTTAAACTTTTCTTTTCATCTGCAATTCAATTTGATCGCAAACTTGCTGGCTTGTGTGTTTGTTAACTCTCTAAAGATTTAAATCGAGCATTGCCCTTGCTCGTGATCTCGTTAATGGATCTGAAGTTGTTTGATTAAGGTTTTCGATTAGCTTCATTCATGTCTCTGCTTTGTTTTGTTTTTTTAATCTAGAATTGAGCCAAAAGCTTGAATCTTTATCGGAATTAGATTTACCATAATCCTCTCTAGCACACGAGAATTGAGCTAAAGTATGAAGCTTTATCGAAATTAGATTTCATTTTCCATCAGTAACATACTGAATTGAGCCAAAGCTTGAAGCTTTATCGAAATTAGATTTCTATTTCCCTCTGTAACATACTAGAATTGGAGATCCCTCAAGCTATTTTGGTATCGCTTAGGAACTTGAAAGATAAGGAGTTCTACCGTCCACGTTTGTGATGCATATAGATTGTCTTTGTCCCAAGTATTCACATGCCTTTTCTTTATGCCTCTCCGTGGATATTCTTGATCACATTAGTACGTGATTGTGTTTCCATTATCTCCTGTAATGTAGTGGATATGGTGTGTGATCGATCACCTATACATGTGACGTGTTTTTAAAGAGTTGTAGTAGCAAATCATCTGAAAGCAGTTTAATCTGACAGGTTCAATGGAGTGCCAGCTGAGGAAAGACTCACCTGGCGATCTTTCTTGGTTAAGTTGGGAGCTGAGAATCTCAAAGGTGTTAAGAACGAGGAGCTTCTCGTCGCTTGCCACAAGTAACACATCAAAACTACCTCTAATATTCTCGTTAACAAATCAAAACTAACAGCGTTTGATTATGGAAGTAACAGAGATTTTGTTTGTGTTGCAGGTCGGTTTATATTGTGTATACAATGCTAGGGGATGTTAGCATCTTCCTTGTTGGCAAAGACGAGTACGATGAACTTGCTTGTAAGCCCTTCTTTTTTTTTCTTTTCTTTTGTAGATCGTCTCATCTCTCTTTTAAACTTGCTTGTTTGAGTGTTTGTTGTATTATGTGGCGCAGTGGCAGAAGCCATCTTTATCATAACAGGTGCTGTGAAAGACATATGCGGGAAACCTCCAACAGAGCGAGTGTTTTTGGATAAATATGGAAGGATTTGTTTGTGTCTTGATGAAATTGTTTGGAACGGACTTCTGGAGAACACTGACAAAGACAGGATCAAACGACTCATTAGATTGAAACCTCCTTCTGAGTTTTGATTTCCCTCCAAACCAACCACACCTTTACAATGTCCTTTTTTTTTCCAACACTATCAACATATAATGTCATTTGTTGAGATGCTTCTCTCTATCAAGTATTGTACTGTTAACTACTATTGTTCTTTGATCAGTCATGAAGCGATTCAGTGTGGTGATGGTTACTGATTCTCAACTTTAAAATCTTCCTAAGACCATAATTAACCTCGGTCTTTTAACTCGGACTCTTAGCTTCGGTTAAGAGAATTTTTAGTTTTGGGTAAGAGACGGTTTTTAGATTTTCTTTTTTAAAAAATTGAAAAAATCTAAGAATCTTATAAGAGATATAAGAATTGTTATTTAGGTGAAAATTTTTTTAAAAAAATGTCAAATCATAAATTAAGAATTCCGGTTAAAAGACAGGAATTAATCATGCTCTATGAATTAATCATGCTCTATTCGGTTGTAACAGTGTATGGAAACTCCTATAAGGAGCTGGTTTTGACTAATCTCGCATGTGATTTACATTTAGGTTTGTTAATGGGAAAGCTGCATATAACACATCATAGTTCATTAAAATTTTGATTTTGCCAGCTTCTTTATTACCTTGAACAAGTCTGGCTGATTGTAGATATGCTTGAGCATCAGAGGATCTTGGTTGGTCTCAGGACACGTCTAGTCTTAAATAATATTTCCATCTAGAAGCCTCCTGTGGAGTTAAATATGATCTAATTCTATGTTTAGTTGTAATCTTACTTATCTTAGCTGGAGAGCAGAAGTGGTAAACGTAAAGTTATGAACAATCGTTGTCGCCTACTGGATGAGCTGTAAGGATCAGCACTCAATCTTCAAACGCTTCGATCAATCAATAAGATCAAAAGCATTTTGATTTGATCTACCTACAGAAACGGTTTTGTTTTCTGCTTGACAGTCAACATAGGCAACTCAACGTCAACCTCAGAGACTTTCCTGTTACCGTAGAAAAGAAAAGAACTCATCAGTCTGTTTGTATCTCAGACATTAGGTTGCTTTTAAAGAAGAAGAAAGATTGAAACTTCCTCTAACCAGACAACAAAAGAACTATCGTGTCTCGGCTATTTGATGTGGAAACTTCTGCATAGTGAAATATTATTACAGTTTGTTTTCTTTTAACGTTTCAAGGTACAAAAGAAAAAAGAAGGTTTAAGCTTAGTCATTTATTTGTCCCTACCATTGGCTTGTTAAGCATGTATGTAACTATGAATGCGGTATGCTGATCATATGCACTACTTATTTCGACTATGTAGTTAAGCAAAACTATTTAAATCAGTTTTAAAAACGAGAGAAAATATTTTTAAAAAGCTTTATTTATCTTGAGGTGGATTCCATATCTAGTTTTATCGGGCCTCCGACAAGAGAAAAGGCTGTCTAGATGGAAAGTAAAAGTAAATGTGTAAAGGGTTTAAAGTGAGTGATAAATATACACTCACTCAAGTCTATCTAAATTAAATGGTTAATTTGTAATGGCATGAAACTATAAAACGATATCATTAGATCATGAGAGATTAGGTGAAAACGTAACAATCAGGCAAAAATCCAAAGGGAAACTGTAAGCAGCCTTGCTTTTCCTTACAGTGTTGTACATGTGTGTGTTTTTCTTCTCTCCAACTCGAATAGTTATTACTGTCATATTCGTATCAACTTGTTTAGAAATATAAGAAATCTTTTATCTATCAAAAATTATACAACCACGAAAACAGATTAGTTAGTAATAGTGTGTTACGTACGGTCGTGTTATATTTTAATTTCAAACATGATGTGCATGTGTATTTTACTAAGTTATATCTGCTCAAAATCAATATGTTTTTTTTTTAATCTACAAGATATCTCATATCCATGAAGAGATTCAAACTAATTTTTAAGAAAGTGGTATAGTTCTCATTCCGAATATTTAAATAGACCACAAAATAAATCTATACATGTATAAATCATAAAATGAAATGTATGGGATATTTTTGGATCCGAATTGTTTATCAATCTCAAAATTCATCTACGCCTAGATCATTGAGACGACGAAAAAGTGACATCTCTTTTCATTTATTTTTAAACTAACATATACAATATAATTTTTTAAAATTATACTTTATAAATTAATATACTAAAAATCTCTATAAAATAATATAATTTTTTAAAATTATGCTTTATAAATTAATATATATTAAAAATCTCTATAAAATAATTTTATAGTTCCAAATTAAGTTTTAGTTTAGTTAGTATATTGATAAATTAACTTTTTTTATAAATTAATAAAAAAAAATTAGTTTTGGTATATAACAAAGGAGAAAGGCAAAATACTTAAAATAGTTTCACCTAAGGTAGATTCTTGATACTCCGTCTATAGACATCCCAATATCTCGCAAACAAAAGATAACACGGCAACACATAACCACAAAATCTTATGTTTGGTAATTGCTGACGTGTTCAGTATAATCTCTATCTTACAAAAACATGAATTTAGGAAAAAACTAGAAGTTGTGATTGTCCGAGTCAGCTTAGTTGAGTTCTTACGTGTCGAACTCATCTTGAGATTCCTGACAGTGCCAGGATCACAAACAGTTTCTGTCTGTAACGCCCTATTCTCACATTTTGCACCTTCCATGTTTTACAATCGCATCAGTTTTCAATCATATATTGCGTAGTTCTTGTAACGTAGTACCTAGTTATTGTTCATTACATTCTTTAATTACTTTATAGATCATTTCTTTTACGTACCATATAAGATTATCCTCATAAGTTGCCTTTATATGGCTAAATATCTATTTTCTTTTCAATAGCACATGTTAAGCTTTTAATAAATCCAAATCCGCTAAACCAGCTAATAAAATTATATGAATCTATATGCCTAATTAATCTGGCACGTGTAAGTGCGGAAGATATTTTTTTTCTTAAAATCCATAATTTGCAAATTGCTTAGAGACATTCTATAAATACATCATCATGTCTATGTATTTTGATCATTAGATAACCTGCGTAGTTATCCAATATTTACCTTCCTTCCTTACAACGTCTGAAATTGTCTCACCTAATCAACCTGATATCTATACCAACGTACGTCGGCGCCATTGTATTTTAGGAGTTTTCTGGAGAAAAAAAAAATGAAGGAGAACGCAGGAAACCCTCTCCATCTCACGTCACTGAACCACGTGTCCCTCTTGTGCCGATCCATTGAAGAATCCATGAACTTTTACCAAAAGGTGTTAGGGTTCTTCCCTATTCGAAGACCTGAGTCTTTAAATTTTGAAGGCGCTTGGTACCCTTTTCTTGATTATCTTTGTGATATGAATCTTGAAAAATGTTTACAGAAAACTATAAATTGAGTTTATAAAACGTTTTGGGTTTAGGTTGTTTGGACATGGAATTGGAATACATCTCTTGCGTTCCTCAGAGCCAGAGAAACTTCCTAAGAAAACCGAAATCAATCCCAAAGACAATCATATCTCTTTCCAGGTTAGTTTTTGTTTCTACCTTTTTGAATATTTTTTAAAATAAAACATAATTTAGGCATAATACCAAAGACAATCATATCTTTATTCCCCTTAAGATTAGGATTGTGTTTAAAATTTATGAATATTTATTGCATAATACCAATTTCATAACTATTTATAGTTGTTGCTCTGTTTTGGGCATATAATATGGTTATTGTAGCATTATTTTGGTGTAAAGAAGAAGACTTATTGATTGTGGAAATGTAGTGTGAGAGCATGAAGGCAGTGGAGAAGAAGCTCGAGGAAATGGGGATAAAGTATGTGAGGGCGATAGTTGAAGAAGGAGGGATCCAAGTGGATCAGCTATTCTTCCACGATCCAGATGGCTTCATGATTGAGATATGCAACTGTGATAGTCTCCCCGTTGTCCCTCTCATAGGAGGGATGGCTCGGTCCTGCTCCAGAGCTAAACTTCATCAGATGGTGCAGCCACAACAACAGACTCAGATGCACCAAGTGGTCCACCCTTAACAGTGAACTCTGTTTTTGTTATCATTGTGTGTGTTTTGTATGTATTGTTGTGCTTGTTTTAGAGTGTCATGAATAAGAGAGACCGTCGTGAATCAGTGAATGTGATTCCACTCGAGGAAATGATCATTCTCCTTGCTCTCTTTCTATATGGTATAACCAAGAATTAATGCAATAATGTTTATATATTTTATGTTTTAAGTCCCACAACGTTTTTCTTTATGTGCCGTACTCCATATCTAGGTTGAATTAACCTATTTATGCTACTTGAAATCCTCAACATATGCGAGATAGACTGCTAACAGCTGACAGAATGCAACATTGGTACATAGTGATCAGCACGATTTGTGTCTTGTGCAATGAAGAGCAGGAATCTTGTTGCCATTTTTTTTTGGTTGCCGATTCACCGGGCAGATATGGAGAAAGCTCAGTGGAGGACTGATGCTAGATGATTTTACCACGGACTGGAACACACTAAAAGTGCTCCTGTCAAATCTGAGACTCACCCCAACAAAGACTTATTTTTCGGTATGTTCTTCAAGCTACTTTCAGTCAAAGGTAAGAGGCAGCTGTACCTTGAAGAAAGTATGATCACATAGTTTGAGATACAAGAAACCAATGGAGAAGCTGGATAACTTCTTTAGTCTAGAACAGAATTCTTTGATTCTTTAATTACAAATAATAACAAAATACACTTGATGTAAAATAGTTTTGTTTGAATAAAATTTTACATTCAATTTTTTTTTTCCGTTTTATCTCTAAAATATGAGAACTAATTTAACGTGCTAAATATATAATTTGTGATTCTAGTTGGCTATAAAGTTTAAATCATAGTAGATTCAGAAAGGTTCTCCCCAAATATGCATAAGCCTATGTACAATCAGAACCGGCTGAGTATATGGGCCGGTCCGTGCAACCATATACCATTTTTTTTTTTGGAAAATTTTATATTTTAATTATATATATAATATTTTAATTAAATATATAGCGTAATAAAAAAATATAATAATAAAAACTAATTTCCTCTTATGAATGTTCAGACAGAAATAATTTTGATTTTTTATTTCAATTTAAACCTTTTTACAACGATATTAATTTTGGTGTCTAAAATTTTTTTGGCACTAAAACCCACCATGGTTTTGAATCGGTCCTGGGTACAATACATCTAAGACCAACATTATCGGCAACTCTTAGAGCATTTCTTAAGTGTTGGGGTCACACATTTTTTTGTAAAACCGAGGTCAAATGTCCCTTAATTAACAAACGTTTGTGGAAAGTCCTTAACAATTCGTGAATGTTTTTCGAACAAAAGAAATAAAAAAAAAACTTTGTGCCTAAGAATTTGTAAACGTCCTAGCGATAATGTTGGTCTAAGAAGAATAAATACTAGAGTTTAACTAACTGTAGCAGCATTCCATAAAGGTTTTTTTTTTTTGACAACGAACGGCTGATCTATTACTCAAGCTTGAGGTGGTCTGGGAATCCAGACCGGAATAGAACAATCTACATACACCAAATCTCGATAGAATGATCAAGCAGTCGTAGCTAGTGAATCGGAAAAACCATTATGTATCCTAGGCACATAGACAATCTTAAACTCGGGAAAACAAATCTGCAGGGTAGTGAGCTTTTCCAGTTCCGTTGAGAAGCTTGGCCAATCCTGCGGGTTCCTTAGCATTGATATCATTTCCTTACAGTCCGTCCCAAAGCTCTGACATGGCGAATGTTGAAGCATGTTCTCCATTGCCCACCACAGTGCTTCCAGCTCAGAATGCAAAGCAGACTCCACTCTATCAAAGTTACGCATTCCCATCAGCTGACTTTTCCCCATACTATCCTGCCATACCCATCCACATCCGCTGTACTGAGCTGTAGAGGTCCAAGAACCATCTACCAAACAGATACTCCCCAGACTTATGATCTGATTGTCGTCACTCGTGTCAATTTGAGAGGGCAAGGGCGGTTGTTCACCATAAAGATTTATATGTAGAGGTTTTCTAGGGTTGTATTGAATTTCACAAATTCAATAAGAAAGTCATATACATTTGTCTCAAACTCTCAATCTGAATGATCTCTTATTTTTGCTTTAGAACAATCGTCTTATTTATCAAACAATCAGAACAAACAAGTAAAATAAATAAACATATATCACTATCAACTAGTTTAAAGTAGAAATCCCATGAAAATGGAGTTTAACTTAAAATGACAATTATTCTCTCTCAAATACTGCATAGTAGACATTCAAATTAAAGTCAACCAAAGAAATAAATAATAGTAATACATACAAATAACTGTGCAATGATAAATAGTTTTAAAGGCCTCGAGAGAGCATGTTTTCAATGGATTCGAGACGCTGGAGAAGAAGCTGCTTTCTGAAATTTGCGATGAAAGCTTCTGCACACTTGTCCACGTCCATCGATGCCTTCCTCTCTACCTTATTATTCCTCGTCTCTGTGATCACGATGTTTGTAGTTCCATTGCCACTTTCTTGTCCCGAACTCATCTTCATATTGTTCTTGTTGTTGTTCATGGTTGATATGTATGTTAGACTGCTTTTGTTTCCTGATATGATGGTTTTGGAGAGAATGTGAAATGTTTGATATTTGTATGCACTCCTAACCTATGTATTTATAGGTGAATTTTGATAATATTTTTTAAAGATTTGAAGGAAACGATAAGACGTCTCTCTACAGAAACCATATTTGAATGTTGAAAGAATAAAAAGGAATCTTGAGTTTCAAGTTATATACGCGACTTAGCGGCAGATGAACTATCCTGAAATCACCGCCTTTACTTTTATTTTACTTTTATTTTTCTTTCTTTCATTCTACTGAAGTGTATTCTCTGCAAAACATTATAGTTATGACAACACCGAGATTAGTTAATTTAATTTCGTAACCTCAGTTAATTTTTCTTCTAAAGCGATACCACATCGATCTCCCACTTTGAACAGACTGATATTACATTTTACGTTTATGAGTTTATAAAGAAAAGTATGGATGCTAATTTATATTTATAAAAATAATATATATACATTGGGATGCATAAATACTGTTTTATTATTGAAAACAGCATTAAATCTAAGATTCTACTTGGACAAAATGTAAAAGATGTTGCCTAACAATTGAATTTGACTTTGTCAATTTGGAGACACAAGGAAGTAAGCAAGCAAGATTCCAAAAGAAAACTAAATAAAGTTTACCAGTTTTTTTCACAAAGTTGTTCACACGTAAAGAACTACGGCTTAAGCATCGGAGATTAGCTTCCTTAATTAATTAACTCGCCGCCCTTTCTTCCTATTGTCGCCGCTCCGGTAACCCTCCCCGCTTTTTGTTGCTTTTACCAAGAAGATTAGTGAAAAGAACAAAGGAGAGATCATGTGGCTTAAGTTAGCATCTAACCTAACTCCAAACCGAACTAATAAATTTTAGGCAGATCCACTGAATGATATTTACAAATATGTACCAAAATTATTAAATTATTGGCTCAAAGCCAACGTACAACGTACGTGATATGTCTACAAGTTAACTCTGAACACGGTTCTTGGTCATCACCAGACATAATCCATTCTCTAAGCACAATAATAGTTAAATATTTGAATCAATAGTTTAGGATGAGGATGCTGTTTCCTGATTACAGTTTGAATGATTTATTCCATGTTTCTTTTTTAATACTACTTTATAGAAACCGTGGTGAAATGATCCGTATTACATCAATGCTATCAAATCAGCTAACCACAAGAACTAAACCAGCAATTAGACATCAAAATAAACATGTTTTGGAGAGAAAAAGACAAATCACATTGGGCTGGTAACATAATGGGCCAAAAGAGCCACATACGTTAGCAGCGTATCAGGCCCAAATAGCCATATCTCAAGAAAAAGACCTGATGGGACTACTCCCCTGTTTCTCCCAAAGCAACGGCCATGGTAACCCTTTTCAGATTCTCACTTCGTCTCCTACCGGTTTCCGCCGCCGTGACATGTCGCTCCATCCGTTTCCCCGTTTCAAGAACCGACTCCTCACACTTGTTGAACCGTAGTCTGTATAAGTTTTCTTCTTCCTCCTCCTCTGTAAAGACAAATGCTGGTTGGCTATTGGGTCTTGGAGACAAGAAGAAACAAACGAATTTACCGGATATTGTAGCAGCTGGAGACCCGGTTCTGCACGAGAAGGCCCGAGAGGTTGACCCGAAAGAAATCGGGTCGGAGCGTATTCAGAAGATAATTGATGATATGGTTAAAGTTATGAGATTGGCTCCTGGTGTTGGCCTTGCTGCTCCTCAGATTGGTATCCCATTAAGAGTAAGTAAAGCTTAATCATTTTTTTTATTTAAATAAGAAGGCTTGTAATCAGTTTTCATGATGATTCAGATTATTGTTTTGGAAGATACAAAAGAATATATAAGTTACGCACCAAAGGAAGAGGTTCTTGCTCAAGAAAGACGTCCTTTTGATCTCATGGTAATAAAACAGATTAATCCTTTTGATATTTTTTAAAAAATTGAGACAACAAAGTTTTAAACTTTACTTGTTAGGTTATGGTGAATCCGGAGCTAAAGGGGGTTAGCAACAAGAAAGCTCTCTTCTTTGAAGGATGTCTGAGTGTTGATGGATTCAGAGCTGTGGTGGAGAGATACCTTGAAGTGGAAGTCACAGGCTACGATCGTCAAGGAAAGAAAATCGAAGTGAATGCTTCTGGTTGGCAAGCGAGGATTCTGCAACACGAGTGCGATCATTTGGATGGTAATCTTTATGTGGATAAGATGATACCACGTACTTTTAGGACAGTCGACAACTTGGACTTGCCTCTCGCAGAAGGCTGTCCTAAACTCGGGCCTCAATGACAAGACAATGTTTGATTCTTAAACACGAGAGCTTTATATCTTAAATTTAAAAGGTTGTTTTGTTTCGGATTCAAGAATTTTATTTAATTCATTTACGAATATATTATAAATTTTAAGACTAAGATTATATCACAAATTAAGACAGCTAGTTAATAGTCGGACATGTGTAGTCTTGCTCGATCTGGAAGAGACACGGCGAAGACGTGAAGTGTGCGGCGGTGAAGTGGACCTCAGATCATAGAACTAGAGCTTAAATTTAAGTTAATTAAACCATAAATAAAAAGGGATAATCTAATCACAGCCGTCCGTTTACCAATCAACGGACAAACCCCTGTCGGAAAATTAATTATCTTCTTTTTTCTCTGGAACATACTTCTAAAATTCGGACAGAGATTGTGGAACCCATGTCGGAAAGTCGGAAAAAAATATATCTTGCCTTAAGAAAGAGCTTTTGATAAAAAAAAAAAAGAAAGATAGCTAATTTACAATCACCCAGAAAATTCAAAAGTTATCAAGATCTATAAGCTAAACGGGAAAAGATCAAAAAGAGAATTAAAGATTGTATCAGAGAGCACACAGAGAGATACAAACAAAAAAAAGAAGATTAAAGACGGTAATAATATCTCTTTTTAATTTGCATGCCTACCTTGATCTGCGCTTGGGTGGCCTTTTCCTCGGATTGTTCTTCTTCCCCGGCGGTTTCTTCCCAAACGCAGAGCAGCAACCACAAGCAGATAACCTCGGAGACGGCGGGTCCACCGCAGGAGACACTCTTCCGGCTGTTCTGTGATGTCGTGGCGCTCCTCCACCGTTGGATCGACTCCTTTCCATTGTTGGTACACTGGTTTTGATAGGCCTGAGCTTGTTGTCTTTCTCATCGGCGGGGTTCTGTTCGTTGCGTTGACTTTCTTCTTTCTGCTCGGTGGCTTGTTTATTAAGCTCGGCGATGACACGGTCGTCCCAGACTATGCCGGAAGATCCCTGACGACGGAAGGAGATGGTTGATCTTTGAAGACCTTCCATGAAGATTTCTTTCTCTCTCTCTGTCTCTGTCTTGATTTCTTCGCTTCTTTTGAGCTAAAAGACGAGTAAAAAAGAAAGGAGATTAAGCTTATAAGTGATTAATCAATCATTGTGTTCCAGACTTTTTATTTCTGTCCTCATTATTTTATTTAAATGAGGTCCGGTCCACTATTTATTATTTTGATGATTCATTGGTGATGAATTGATGATGTTTTATTGATTTTGATTTATTTTTGTAACCACTTGTATTTAAATGTTGGTCTTAGCAGAAATAACGATAAGAATTTAATCTGTGGTTATTCAGAAAAACTTTTCTCTGAATATACGAAAATCTCTAACACAACATACCCTCTGAAATTCATTTGCAGATCCAGAGAAAATTTAGACAAATGGTGTTGGATTAGATAATAGTACTAATAGCTTAGAAAGTGGAAACGAACACGAGAATTGACTTATAGGCGAGAATTTATTTAATCTAAAAACAAAATCTTCCTCTTGGGTAACCAAATACATTAGGTGAGTGGGTGAGGATGACATTAGTACCAAATCTCTCGTCTGAAATGAAAAAAAAAAAAAAAAAAAACAATTATATTACAGAGAGGTGAAAGTGGGTCAAAATAATTCGGTCGACAATTTGTAACTAAGTCAACTCTGCCGTCGTATATTATATAGTTTTTTTCAAGCAAGTCATCCCCCCTCTCATGTGATGCTCTGTTTTCCTCAGGATTAAACTAATTAAAACACATGTACAATCGGTTTCCTTAAAGAAACATTTAGCTTAGGAATAATTAACGGTGTGAAATCGTTATTGTGAACTATTTGAATTTCTCCTTAACAATTTGAGATTTTTCAATATCTGATAATGGCGCACCACTCTCAAGACTCAAACCATGTCCATGTGTATAAAAGGTACGAAGAAAACGAGTGAGATGATCATCTGTAGAGGAAATTAGTATGCTTCAGTTACAAGAAATGAAAGTTGAGCTAAAGGAGCACAGCTGTGGCGCCTTCTTACACTTGTGGTTTTTCTTGCGTTTACAGTTCTGGCTATCGACATACAGAAAAATAAATTCGGCAATAAAAATTGATGAAATTTTGAAAAAAAAACAAAAAAAAAGTTGGTGGTCCAGCTGGGTACGAGCCAGCAGGCCATGGTGAATCTGAGTGGCGTTGGGCCGTGATCCGTCCACTGCAGAGAGAGGGAGGTGATCGCTGCTCTGTGAAACCAGCCTCACGCATTGCCCTCCCCTTTAGGAACCGTCAGAGCCAAGCCTTCGCTCAACACACACGGCTCACTCTCAGCTTGGACTGGGCAGCCCAGAACAGTGCCACAACAGATCCGACCTGTGGGCCGAGCCAGAGTTCCACCAACTTATCATCCCCACTTGGGTTACAAGCTCTCGTTACTGAGCTCGACGTGTAGTTGTTGTCTTAAGGACATATATAAACAAGACAATTTCAAGTCAAGTAACCGATGTGGGACAAAATAGAAGTTTATAAATATTCTTGTTGTACCAGTAGTACAATCTTCATCAGTTAGTATGTAGATGTAAAAAATAAAATTAGTATGTGTCTCGCATGAAAGCTAGGTACCTATTGAATCTGTTACTGCTGCTCTAATTTTTTCGCCTTCAGTAAAAAAGCTGAATTTGTATCAACCCTAAAGCTACTTCTGCATTATCAACCCATTTCAGGAAGATCACCCCCTCGCATCTCCTTACAAACACACGACACGTCTCTGTGAAGATATCAGTAACTGACAAGAAGAATGTGATGTACCATGTGGAGAATCAGTAGCAAACAAGAAGACAAAGGAATCCACCTAACAAAGACAACCCACAACTTGTGCTAGAAAAGATATTTATAAAAATATCTCAAGAAACCGAAAAAAAGAACCAGACAAAGAGACACCACCACTCTCTTCTTTGATTTCATCGCCTTATTACATTTTGAGTTGATTTTTACTCACTTCTAACTTGATGCGACTAACTATTGGTCCGTTTCTCATCAGATAATAGAGACGGACAAGCATTAGATTCATTTGAGACCGTTGTTATGATGCCCCCACCTGTTACTTTAGTACTCTTTCCTTTTTGTTTCTACCATAAATGCAATCACTCATCATGTTCAACGAATCACATAGATTTCTTTTCCAAGAGAATCTTCTATATATAAAGTTTCTTGATTCAGCTAGATGTTACAGATTCTAGGATCTTAGCAAATCTTAGTTCTCTGCAGTACTAAAGCATTTTCAGACAGAAGCTTGGTGATGTCTCTTCAGATATTCACCAACCCATCTCATGGTCTAGCTCAGGTATTCTACTCCAAGAAGATACCATGCAGAGTGAAACTGAGTCGTGTTCTAGCCACGCCACAGTCTTCAATACTCTTGCAGATGGACGAAAGCAACAACAATCTTCCCAAGTCCAAGAAAGGTTTTGGTCTGAGTGAAGATTCAAGAAGCAGTTTGAACAAACTTTCTGCAGATTCTATGCTCAGGCAAGCCAACACGGTGGGGATCATCGGTGGCATTTCAACTGATTCCACTCTTAACTTTGTTAGAAAACTAGAGGACTGGAGCTCAAAAGATGGTAAGAGCTCCTTACCCTTTGTGCTTTGCTCGGATCCTATTCTCAACAAGGAGCTTCTCTTATACGAGGAGAACTCTTATCCTTCTCTCTACCATAGAATAAAGCGTACTCCACCGGATCAAAATCAGATTGTGGAGAATCTAAGGAACAAGAGGAGATCTCTTGAGAGGTGTGGAGCTAAACTAATCTTAATGCCTTGTCATATTGCGCATACATGGTATGATGAGGTCTGTGAAGGGAGTTCAGTTCCTATGCTTCACATGGGTGATTGCATTGTCAAAGAGCTTGAAGAGGCCAAGATGAAGCCTCTTGAAGCTGGGAATCCTCTGCGTGTAGGTGTGATGGCGTCTAGCGCCACGTTATCCGCAGGGTTCTACCAGGAGAAACTACAGAACAATGTCAGTGTTTCCTGTTTGTGTCCACTGAATTATCATTTTTTGTCTAATAGTTGACTTTAAGCAGGGATTTGAGGCGGTGCTTCCAGACAAGGCGACAATGGAGCACACGGTGATCCCAGCTATAGAAGCAATGAAGAGAGATGACATGGAAGGAGCAAGGAACCTTTTGAGGATAGCATTGCAGGTACTGTTGGTGCAGGCTGTGAATGTGGTGGTTCTAGGGTCAGATGAGATGAGGGACCTCTTGCCAGGGGATGATCCTCTGCTAAAGAAGTGTGTTGATCCAATGGATGCACTTGCAAGGTCTGCCATTAAATGGGCAGAGAGTCTATCATGAATGAATCCATAGTTGAAGTTTGTTTTACTATAGTTGGATTTTGTGGATGTGTGTGTAGGTGTGTTAAATAGAAAGATCATCATTACCAAAAAGTAAAAAACCAAAAGTCTTAAGATGTGTTCTTTTTATTTGTTGGGTCCAACACAAGTGTGAACATGTCTAAAGCCAAATAAGTTTGAATATGTGTTGGCTTGGATACATTGTGTAATATTCCTTATTGTTACAGATAATTATTAGTGAAATTATAAAGTATTAAAGACCAAAAAATGAGTTTTTAAATATCGGCAGGAGGATGACCAGGCATGCTTGGACAGGTTGTTTTGTTAGGATTCTTACAGTCCAAAGGGTTCTTGTTCTTATATTCACTGTTGTTGTTGTTGTTGTTGTTGTTGTTGTTGTTGTTGTTGTTGTTGTTGTTGTCAGTGTTCATCCCCAATTTGTTCTTCACTGCCTCTGATGCTCCTTGTGCCATGCTCTTCACTTTCTCTCCTTGCTGGTAAATCACCATTATTATTTCTGTTATAAAAAATCTAAAAAAGAAAATCCAAAAACACATGTAGAGTTGATGTGTTAGCTAACCTCCTGGAGGAAGCTTGATGTTTGAGAAGAGTTGCTGTTGTCTACTTTGCACTCAGCCCGCTTCACCTGGCATCAAATATTAGATTTCTCCTCGTTACACTTAAAAAGAAAAATGAAAAGCAATCTAATATTGTTTGTCATTTACACAAATTAATATGATCACAAAAAGTCAGAAGCAGTGGGGAAATTGAACAAGATCACTTACATGTGCTTGGCCCACGATTTGGCCGGCCCTGACACTGAACTCCTCATCCTGTCTGCTCGCCATTTCTTACTTTTCTTGTCAAACAATATCATCTTATAATCATGTCTTTATAAACAATTCTTCTTTCTATATATTCAATGGTGTTCCATTTTTCAAGGAAGGCTTTTCGCTCTTATGATCCATAGTTGTCTAAACCATTCTTGACTTTTTCAACCATATTTACATTTTTTTTTTCAACCATATTTACATTTACCTTCCCATATTCACGTCAATTTCTTTTTAATGTAAAAAACAAAACTCTTTGTCAATACAACCATTACATGAGGAGACTTGTTGACTGCACCTTTTAAACTCACTCTTAAGCATCTAACAATCAATAAGCCTTACACAAATCAAAACTTTTTTTCCGTTTCAGGAGTCTTCTCAATCGCTCATGTCGTCAAAATCTTCAAATTCATTGACACCATCAGCTGCTTCATCCTCTGATTCGTCTGCCTCTTCATCTGTTTCCATTGCTTCATCTGGTCCTTCTCCTTCTTCATCATCAGTGTCCTTGTCCTCATAGATCACGGGACCTTCATCTTCTTCTTCCTCATCCAAATCGTCCACAATCTACCAATAACACAAGTAATGACAAATCACTAACACACACACAGTCCAAATATGAACATTATCCATGCAAAGCGCGCAACCATAATAACACAAATTGAAATCAAATACCAAATCAAATGCTACACCAATGCCACACATTGAAAATTATATCTTTCCTTATTTCAGGGAAACACAACACATACCAAGTCTAAGCTGCTTGAAACTTCAACGGCAGTGTGAAGGTTTGATACCCGTGATTCAATGAGCTGCACACACAAACCAATCAAATAGATATAAATCATTCATCTATCCCAACTTTCAGTTTTACTTACAGAGCCGCAATATGCAGTTCCTAACCTGATACATGGAGTTCAAAGCGAGCAAGGATGACTCTTGAGACATAATCCCACTGGAATGAGTAAGTAACAGACACTTTATCCACGGAATCGCACAAGCTAAAACCGCCCCCCTGGAGAGCAATCACAACTTTAAATCAGCTCCAACAACAAACATAAACAGACCACACACAACTCTTACCTTGATTGTAGTATTGGTAAAAGAGAGTTTAGAAGCTTGAGTACTTCTGCTGAATTCAACTTAGCAACCGAGTTAGCAATCACCTGTAAACAAACACACATAATTGGCAAAACTCAAAACAACGAAACAAGCAATAATAAAAAAGGTAAAAAAAAAAAAAGACAGAACACTATCTTATAAACCTGTTCATCTCGGTTGTACAAGCAATCAAGTAGAAGAGACCGATCATCAGCATGCAAAGCTTGTCTCAAAAGAACATTAACAGAGGCTGCAGTAGGAGGCTTATCATTACTCTCCTCATTGCTAAGTTTCTCTTTGTCTAATAGGTTAAGACTCTCAAACTTTTCACCCATTGTTGGCTCGTTATTAGCATCCTCTACTACCCCTCCATCTCTATCTTCATCAATACCTACCATATATTTAAAATCAAGAAACACGAAACCCTATTTTAAGATTTGAGCTTATGAAAATCTCTAGCTTTATGCTCGACAATAAAAACAGTAACTTTTGTTTACCGGAATCACGAGTCTCTCTTGTTGAAGGCACATCGGGATCGGGTTCAGATCGCTTCCTGTTCTTCTTATTCTTCTTATGCTTCTTCTCTCTGGGAGGAGTCTCGGCGATTTCACCTGTTGAGTTCACAGAAAAAAAAAAGGAAGGTGAAATTGAGTAATCGGTTAACCTAAGGGCATAGAGAGTGAGGCAAACCTCCATCGGAGGAGGGAAGAGGCTTCAATTTCTCTTTGGCCATGGTCGACGGTGGACGTGAGAAGCGAGAGAGAGAGAGACGGCGCGGGTTTAGGGGTTTAGGGTTTAGTCTCCACGACTTTAGGTTAAAAGCTACGGGTCGGGTTAGTTTTGAGTTGGTTGAAGTGCTTTTTCTCTCTATTGGGCCGACATTACTGAATAGTTGGGCTGAGTTTATTTTTGTAATTTGTTCCCATTATATTTTTTGTGAAATGCTTTATTTTTCGATTAATTTTATTAAGGAAAATAATATTGTCACGTTTTTCTCAATATCTATTTTCCCTAAGAAAATTTTGAATGAAGTGTTTCTAAAAATAGGTGGAAGCCTGTCGCTTTGATTTTAACACAGGCTAATTCCTTACACCTGCATAAATGGTATGTAGTTATTATCAGTGGCTCCGCCACAATCTTTTATTACCAGGGTCAAAATATGTGTACAAACATTTTGTTACATATACAATTTTTTTTATTAATCACCAAAAATATTGTATAAATATATTTACTATTTAATTATATTTTTACGGTTTAGTTTAATTTTATAAAGTAATTTGAAACTCAAAATATTTTTGTAACGTAAAATAGTTTTTCCATAACCAATATTTTTTATATAAGAATAACAATATAAATAGAACTTACTTTAAAGTTTTCAAAATTTTTAAAGCAAACCATTTCATCCTAAAATCAGTTAATTTCCTTATTAGTCAACTTCACGAAATAATCAATTACTAAATGATTTATCTCATAATTTAATATAATTCAAAACAAAATCTATGAATATTAAAGTGAATTAAACAACTTGAATATATAAAAAATATACATTTTCAGAGAAAAGGTTAACAAAAAACGTTTTAAAGTTTGAATTTTGTTTTTATATTTTTTGGTAAGAATTAGTTAATAACCAATCATCTACATCCACAAAACTATAGACTATAACTGTATTTAGATGGACCCCAATCAAATTAAAAGCATAAACCCAATTGTCTAATTAACTAATTAATTAAACATTAACTTTTTTTTCATTTTTACCTTTATAGGGTCAATCAATAATATTTAGTGAGATCATGAATTTTTTTAGTTAAAGCTAGCTATTTAAAAAAAAAAATGGGGTTAGCTGACCTCTTCAGCTCTACCTCTAGTTATTATTTATGTTTCTTTTAAACTTGTATCCGTATGTATGTAAAATAATAGTCTATCTTAAATGTAAGTTAATATACATTATCTGAGTGTCTTAGGTGTATAGAAAAACTCATATAAATTTTCCAAAAATATATTTATGGATATAATCTTTTATGCAAATGATATGAGTTGAAAACAGAAAACCTATCTAAAAATAATGTAATTTAGTTTCGCGCATTATGTGAATTGAACGTTTCAAATTTATCTCTTTACCACTCGACTACAAAGTCCAAACAGATAATGTATGTATATATACCAAGAAGAGAAGACAATCTGTATATATAACATAAGTAATGAAATCTGGTCAAAACCATATATATGAAATCTATATTGATCGTATATTTTATTTCATCAAGCTTAACAAGAAAGAGAATATCTTTGAAAGGATGCAGAGAATAAAGAAGCATAGTTTTAGAAAGAGGACCAACCAAATATTTAAAAATAGTAAATATAAAATCCAAAAGTTAATGTTATGATCTATATGATTTGTTGTTATGTTTTTTCGAAAACATATATAGACACATAAAGCTACCTATACAACTTGTATTCTAAATCGGTTTGAATAGAATAATTAAAAATCATCACCTACAATGGATCCGATCCAACAAATCAAAAATTGATTTGAGAGTAGCTAACCACAAAACTTTTACATGTTATATAGAAAGAGAATATGACTGCTTATATTTATGTTTGACTGAATAGAATCAAATCATTTCATAATAAGTCTAAATATATATTATTTCTAGTAGATTTGAAGGAAAACGAAGTACCATACAATAGCTTATGGATCTACATGTATTAATTTGATTTCGGTAAGGAGGAGGACACGTATTGAAAATAGGCAAAAGAAAAGAGACTTTATAAGCCGTTTTTTCTTTTTTAAATAAAGAGAAAAGTTAACGGGCAAAGAAAGTCAAAAAGACAAATGTGTTAAAAATGGAAAGGAAAGTAGAGAGGGTGGACTTACACGAACAGAACACAGCAGGGCAGTTTCGTCATGTCTGAAAAGACGTCTCTGATGCCTATATAAAGGCAAAGGCACCTCACCGGCAATCTCATATTCACGCACGCGTCTCCCAATAATCTTTTTTCATCTTCACCGTTTCTTATACGTAACTCTCTTTACGACCCTCTCTCTCTCTCTCTCTCTTTCATTCCTCCGGCGAGGTATTATTTTATTCCTTTTTTTTCTCTTCTATGGGCGATTTGTTTACTCGTCGGTGAATCTCTCGATCCGATAACGTCCTGTCGTTTTGCTGTTTGTGGTGGATGTGATCCGGCCATTCAATTTCATGTTCTGCCTTTTATTTTATTTTTTAAATCCTGGGGAAAAAATTTCAACCAAATCTAATTGATCTGTTTTCTGCTTAGAAATCTTTGTTAGAATCGAAAGTTTATCCGTCTTTTATAGGATCAAGAAGTCTTTCAACACTGTTTATGATAACTGAATAGTTTCAAAATTTTATTTGACCGATTGTTATTGAGTTCAAAATCATCATTGTCTTCTTTGTTTATCATCTGTCGATAATGTAACGTTCAGTAAGAGACTAATCTCGTGTTTAATCACTCATTAAGCTATTAATTACTACTTGTCCTGTTTCATGGATTTTTCGTTAGGCTTTGTATCTATTCGAATGTAAACAGATTATTGAGCCTATATTGGGTCTAATTATAACTCTTTGTGTTACTTTCAGTGTGCAAGATGCTGAAGGAAAGACAGGTATTACCGGATTCAAGCAACAAGAACAACAGGGTATCTCCATACCCGCTACGCTCTTGTCGGAGCAAGAAACAAAAAGAAGCAGAGTCACCTCTTGAGCCAGAGAGTGTGAGTGAATGGGAAGATGTGAGGTGTGTGATCTGCATGGAGCCGCCGCACAATGCTGTCCTCTTGCAATGCTCTTCCTTCTCCAAAGGATGTCGCGCTTACATGTGTGACACAAGCGCGCGTCACTCCAACTGCTTCAAACAGTACCGTAGAAACAAGAAGAACACGAGCCGTTGCAATAGCAAGACTCTGAGCTGTCCTTATTGTAGAGGAGAGGTTTACGGGACGATGAAGTCTACTAGCGCAAGGAGGTTTATGAATGCGAGACCGAGGTGTTGTTCTATGGATAAGTGTGAGTTCTCTGGGAGTTATTCTCAGCTCAAGACTCATTTGAAAGCTGAGCATCCGGGTTTCACACCGCCGAAGTTGGACACTTGGGAGCATAACGTGTGGGAGGAAGTGGAAAGAGCGGAGTTCTTTGAAATGATCAACGCTCGTCAGAGATGGGAAGCAGAGCAGAGATTGTTGGCTAACTCTCTCTATCAGCTTCCACACCATCATCATCATCATCATCACATGATAGATCTCAACCTTGATGCTTTCATGCACGATGTTTTTATTGGTGTGAGGGGACAAGCAAGTGCCTCCAGTTACCCGGCTCACATGTCCCAACTTGAGTTCCATGGAGCCATGTATCCTAGTTGGACTCCGTGAAGATTCTTGTAGTGCCGCCGATCAAGTTTTGATGTCTCTTGATTCTTTTATCTAAAATGTACTATCAGTGTTTAGGTTTTTATAGTGACATCAGCTTTGGGTCTAGGCATAAGTTTTTACTTTTTGTTTGTATTTATGTTTATGTTAGTCAAAGTATTCCACAGCTGCGAGCTCATCTTCGCATATTCAATGAAAATTCTATCTAAATGAAAAAAAATATTCACATTTCTTCATACTTATGTTATGAATGCAATTTGCATTACGGTACATTGCTCAAGTTGCGAGCTCCATTTTGTTACAGCATTCTAGTAGATTAAACATGTTTCCACCAGGAAAGAAGAGAATATTCACCTTCTTTCCATTAATATTCACAATTTTGCAAAACTTGTGTTGTGGTTGCAATTTGTACTAATGTAAATTGCTCAGTTCTGAGCTCCATCATGTTTTGCACTCAAAACTCATAGATCAAAATTGTTTCCACAAAAAGAGAGAAGAAAATCTTCAGTTACAAAAATAGTTGTCACATGATGTGCATAAAAACATTAATCAATGATTGTTTGATACAGAACACAAGTAGCGAAGCGTGTACTCGTTGGAAGAACACATATCAGCCAGATCCTGGTGGGCTCTGGTGATTGCCTTCTGCAGCGATTTCAGTGAAGGTAGTAGATTTCTGTAGTTTCTCTGAATAGAGCTTCCGTGTGCCTTACAGATTTCCTGAACACACAAAAGTTTGATCAGCTAAAGGCAGTTTTGATAGAGAGAGAGATCAACGGATGAAACGCAAAGCGAGGATATACCTGACACCAGTGAAGTAAGAACTCCAGATGAGGACAATTCTCAAGCAGATCTACCAAAGCTTCCATAAGCCTTTCTAAGTATTTCTGGGGGACAGAGATTGCAACCGCTTTTATGTCTGCAGGTGCTACAGCAAAGATACATTTCTTTATGTAGCTGTCTTCGTTCAAACGCATACTCAAAGCAAGTGCTCTGACCACTTCATCCTTCTTTAGCGCATCCTCAACCGCCTACACAAACAACACATTACCTTTGCTTTTAAAAACCAGCGTCACCAACTTATAGAGTTAATACATACAAGAAACCTGACACAATAAATTCGATTTTACAAAAGGCTCACCTCTGGTGTCACATCTATGTCGAGATCAGTTGGATCAAAGATGAAGGATTCGTCGACTGAAAAGATGAGAACTCCTTCCGTTGTTGCAGCTGCAAAGCTCCTCCCAGTAGGGGCAATGCTGAGGCTTTTGGTCCGGATAATGGGCCTGCCACGGTTAGGCTTGGATCCAGGAAGATCATAACCTAAATTCCCACGAGACTGTTTGTCAATGCCATCTTCTTCGTCGCTGTTGTCATCTTCAATTAGATCCATTGGTCCTGCTTCTGTCATCTTCTTCGAGTTCAGGAAGTCAAGAACCCCATCATACGAGAGATTATGGGATATTTGAAAACGACGCAACAGAACCTGAAAAGGTAATATTGCACACCTTTTAACTTGGTTTCTTTAATAAGCAAAGCAAGAGCTTCCAAAATCTAAATCAGAACAGTTGAGGCCAAGAGAAGTAGATCCAAGTAGAGCTAGTGAGTTAACCTGATCGGAAATGTCATACATGCAAATATATCTGCTATTTCCTGCGGCTAGAATATAGCTGCCATCAGCGGAATAGCACAATGATGTAAAGCACTTTCCAGAACTTGAATTAGCTGCAGACTGACGGTCAGTCATGCTGCGACCTCCAGCAATATCTCTCCGCCCCTCAATGGTGTACATCAACACACCATCAACGGTGTCCCAGAAATGGATCTGCCCATCTAGCGTACAAGAGGCTAACTGCTTGCCATCAGGACGGAAAGTAACTGTTAGAACATCGTGGTTGTGTTGAAACGTCTCTACTGTGCCTTTGCTTGCAAAGACATCCCACAAACGAACCGTCTTGTCCCATGAAGATGAAGCTAGAATTTGCTGCGGAAAACGAAGTATGGATCAAGATTAATCATGAAAGTCATAACAAACGTAAGCCAAGAAGTATACAAACTCCAAAAAGTTAAGGTCATTAGCTAGTTTTCACATTATTTTTTGAGCCAAGAAAAAAAAAATATTGGGTCCAGAAGAAATGAGACTACAACAACTTCTTTTACCGTTAAGGGAGAAAACATTAGCCCATGAACGGGAGCCTCATGCCCATTCAGAATATCCTTTATTTGCCCAGTCTTCTTGGACCATACAAAAATCTGCACATAGACGAGTAAAAATGTGATTCACCTTGCCAAAAGAGACTGCGGTTTTAGAATATATGATTATGTGACCGGAAGCAGCAAATGCATAAGTTGAATTACCTCAAATGAATCTAGGGTCCCAGCACAGACAACGTCACCACTCGGGTCTGCTGTTAAGGAAACAAACTGCCTGGGTGTAGGGGTTGTATAAGTTTTGTAGTTCTTGTATCTTCTAAAATCCCAAGCACGAACAGTTCCGTCCAGAGATGCACTTAAGAGGGAGTGGTTGTCAGCCATAAAATGAAGAGCGGTAACTGCATTGGTGTGCTCTGTGAAGGTGATGAAACATGATCCTGACGCAACATTCCACACCTGTAAAATGCAACATTACAAAAACAGGGGATGATTATCTTCATATATAGATTAGAATCCAGAATAGAACATAAGAGTTAAGTCTTTAAGATTTTAATACCTTGACTTTGTTATCATCAGCACCAGTAGCCAAAAACTGAGAATCAGACGAATAAGTGACACAATTCACATCGAAATAGTGTCCTTGCTGCTTCAATATATAACTTTCAGACCTCCACTCCCAGACCAACAGCTGCCCAAGCTTCGCACAACCAAATGTCAACCAATTACCACGCTGATTAAAAACAGCCGTTGTCAGCTTCTCCCTAGAAATAGACAACAGATGGATACAGATGAAATCCGGCATCTGATAAAGCCCGAAAACACCGTTCGAAAACCCCACCACAACCATGTCAAGCCCCTGGTGATAATCACAAGCCGTAACCTTCGCTGACCCCTGATTAAACCCATCCTTCCTCAACAAAACCCACTTCCCCCTATGCAAATACTCCTCCTCTGAATCACCATCTCTTCCTTCATACTCCTTACGTTTCTTTATATCAGTGCCTTCCACCATCACCTCATCAGCCCTCTCTGGAGTATCAGGAGACAATGTCTCTTCCTTCCCACTATACCCCCAACTAAACATGTAACCGTCCCTAGCAACAGTGAAAGCCCTATCAACCTTATTACTAACCTTATCAACACCAAAGAAACACCCCACAACGGAATCCCTATGCCCCAAAAACAAAAACGGCTTATTCAAAACACCTTCCAACTTCCTCACACAAAACAACCTCGCAGCCAAATCCTTAGCACCAACAAGCAAACACTCACAATCCAAACTCCACTCCAAGGAGACAACTTTATCATCACAGCCAGCAAAAGTCCTAACCTTTTGAAACGCAAACGCAGCTTTACTGAAACCAGGAGACTCCCAGATCTCGACGAGCTTCCCCACCCCGACGGCGACGAACTTCCCGTCGGGGCTGAACTTCAAGGCGCCGACTTTACCCTTGAAGGCGATCCTGTGGAGGACGACGCGGCGAGGGACGTTGATGAAGAGGCAGCGGCTGTTCTCGTCGACGGCCATCAGGAATGTGCCGTCGGGGGAGGCGGCGAGGCGGTGGATGTTGGTGGAGGTTGTGAGATCTAGGGTTACGGTGTGGTGTTTTGTGAGGTCGGTGACGGAGACGCGGTTTCCGACGGGGGAGATGAGTTGGGTGTTTTGGGTGAGGACGGCGTTTCCGCCTCTGTAGGGAGCCCCGAGGAGGTTTTGGAATCGGTAATTCATGGGTTAAGGATTCTTAGGAAATGCCGGCGGCGAAGTTTTGCGGGCGTTAGGGTTTAAGGAGAGCTAGGGTTTTGATCTATCTCTGACGCGGAAACCTTCTTCTCTATTTATTTTCTAATTTATTTATACTGGTTTAGTTACCGCTACGGATTAAAAAAATTAATAAACGGTTTAGTTCTGGCTATACAACTAAAAAAAAAATTGAAGGACCAAGATTCGGGGGTTTGAACCCGACGTGAATCGAACACGCAACCTTCTGATCTGGAGTCAGACGCGCTACCATTGCGCCACGGATCCTTGGTGATCATTCAATCATCTACTACATTTTATAGAATGTGTAATTCCAGTGTACATTGAAAAGGAAGAAGATGAATACTGTATATGTACAATATAGTGGAAAGGCAGAGAGATCGTAATTGGTACATTTTCATAAGATTTATGTATTACTCTGCTAAGAACAACATGTGGAGTCTTGACAAACACACATCAACTTGGGATTAAGGAAAAAAAGAAGCCACACATCATCTATCTTTTGAACTACTATGTGGTCAAATAACTTGAAAAATGGTATTCATTGTTTTTTTGTTATTATATCACTAGTCTCGTAGTTCTCATGTTCCATCCCCTCCTTGTACTTGTTCCTTGGGATATATCTGCATTAGGTTTTCAACAGCACAACATGAGTGTCACGTCATGCAAAGTCAAGATATTAAACTCTCTCAAGAATCGATCTATATAAGTTTGCTCAAACAAAAAGAACTAAACCTGGTTGCCTCTGTCTTCATTAAGACTGGTCGTACGGACTTTAAGCTCCCCTCTTCTCGTTGTTAACTCGTCTAAAATCTCAGCATCATACTCTTGAACTCCTTTCGTAGTATCACTTGCCTAGACCAACATTAACTCAAGACATTAATTCAAACAAACTAATAAACGTCTAACCAAATACAAAAGGTTTACGAGTACTCACCCGGAAAGATAACTCTAGCGGGTCCCTAGGAGTTCCAGGGATCTCTTCGTACTCAGCCGCATCAAGTTCTCGTAGATGAGACGGGTTAAACAGCTTAGGTAGAATGTACTGTCTGATAGCTATTAACAGAAAGAAAGGAACCGGAAACATTATTCCCGCCACAGGAATCCACGTCACTCCGTAACAAACCCCAAAGTATAATATCTGCAAGAGTGTGAACGCAGCCATTGACTTATACGGTACTTTCTCCACAAACGACGCGTGTGCTCCTTCCAAGACCCTGTAAAAAATAATCACATGATCATTAGTCCCCATGTCTTTGCTTGGCAAACAAGAAAGAGTATTTTGAGAGTGCGCATACTTGAATCTCCGATTTGGTAAGACGAAGAGAAGCATTGTCCGCTCAAAGAATTGGTTTCCAGGGAGGCTGTCGATGGCCA